TGTACATGGTCTGACACGTTCTTAGGGTCTTGCATGTATAGCTCTTTGTTCACGTGAAAATTTTATTCTTTTCTTAAGGGGAGTTAAGCATATGAGTAGAATGAAGTCCAACACGAAGATCTCACTCAATTCTGCCTTCGATACCACTGAATCCTTCTCTGAGTCACTTTGTCGTCACCAACCACATACTCCAGAACTTGTTTACGACGACAAGATGGGCACATCCGGATAGTCCAGTTCAGGTGGTTGAGTTCTTCGCCCAGGTACTTGAGATTGCCTTTGCTCAACGTTGGCATTGGTGCCAGAACTGGCGTTGGCCCCAGATCGATCACCCTTTTTCCCCATTGGTCACGTAGGTTTTCAAATGGGGTCCGACTGAGGCACTCCTCACAGACATAAAGGCTGCTCGCGCACATGAAGAGCATATAGCTCTTGGATTCAGGCATATTGCGAAGAGTGCGAAGTGGCATCTTGGGTCCAAAGGCCACTAAATACATGTGGGACCACACAGACAGAGAGGAAACGATCTTGTTAAAGTTCTTATTGACCATCGACATCCGGGTGAGCTGGGATGGGTAGAGGCGATCGAAGATCCGTTCCCAGATTTCTGGAGGTACTCGCTTGTCAATCTGGTCGTGTGTTCGGGGTTGCGACAGGGGTTCGATACTCATGTTGAAGTGCTGTGTGAGCGTGCGGCCTTGCGACTGTACAGGGAGTGAGGTGGCCCAAGAAGAGCGTGAGAGAAAAAAGAAGTGGAACTCAGGGTTCTTTCGTGGACTGTGCTCTTATGCAACTCATAATTCGGTGACGTCATCCCTCTTTGCGCTCACGTGACCTGTGACAATTCGATAACTGGCTTGTGCGTTCATAGCGCCATTGCGATTTAATACATTCTAATGGTGAAGGCGGACCTATTCTACATACACAGTGGTTGAGCGCGCAGGTTAGAAAACGAATCTGTTATGGCAAACATTTCCATCAATAATAAGCGTCAGGCAAGATCTCAATGTCCTTCAGTTCGTCCGTCATAAGCTGGGAATAGTAATTGTGCTGCTTAAGGTTCTCCTTCCGGATGGCAATGCCGCGCTTGAGATTCAGGGTGATGCTCTCTTGGCGGTATTGGTCTTTCACCAGTTGCTTCCAGTGCTCAGTGGTGCTCTCCCGCTCCAGGAACTCTTGTTCACAAGAAGCTGGCAACCAGGCTCCTTGAACCCCTGTATCCAGCCTGCCAACTCGCCAACCAAACTCTTTAGTCTTGAATGTCGCCCCGCGAAAGGCAAAGTAGGCGATCGACGACCATGTCAGAGGCGTGGTTCCAGAAAGTAGCGCACTCCTACTCATATGACAGGGATGTACTTGAGCCACTCAGGCGGCTGAATGGTGTAGCTGATGGAGCAGGTTGAGCGTTTTCTGATGTCATTCATTGGAGTGTCCTTATTTCATTGCCGAAGGCCATACGATAAATGATCTTCGGAGGGAAATAAGGACTCAGGGGTGTGAGGGAGAGGTGAGCGCACGTTAAAAGTTAAGGGGTACCATGTTTTTTCGCACTAAACCCATATAAAGCGAGCGAGCACTCACGGACCTGATTAATAAACCCTAAAAAAGGGTGGCAATAATAGGATCCGCATTCCCTGGGGTCTTGAGGGCTCAACAAGGGTTCTTTTAGACGCCCTTAAGGCATAAAACCTTTAGGGAGATTTTACAGGACAATTGGGCGCATAAATTACGCCACCGAAGTGAGCAATCGCAACTCCTTCCTAAACCCAAACTCGATCTATGCTTACTAGACTCCTAGGGCGAGGGCGTGGTTTGAATCCGCGCTCGCTCGGGCATTTCTTCGACGTATAGTATTCATTGACGCCCACGACGACATAGCCCAGGGATCGGGCCTAATAAAATAAAACAGAATCAAAAAAAATTCAATTTGGTAAGTGATCCCACTGCATTGCATTGACAAAGTTCCCTTTTGTCCATGTTCGTCACATCCTGCGGTCGTTGTTGCTTAGGCGTGGGCCTTGGGGGGGGGAAGGTATCGATCGACGGATCCGGCGGAGACTCTGGTTGCGATTTCCATGGCTTCAACTGATTACTGCTTCATAGTCTCTAGAAAGTCACGTTTCTTTAGCTGAGAGCGAGTCTTGATGGCGTATCGTTGACGGTGTTTGCAATGTCTTCCTGAACCATGGGGAGGAGGACGACGTTCCGGAGGGTGATCGACAGTATTGTAACGGTTGAAAACATCTAAAACCTCCTCGGCTTAACTAGCAGCAATGTAATTACAAAGTGGCAATAAGTAAATACTTGAGATTAGAAGGACTTTTTTTTCATTTCGCTGTCATTAAAAGATGTAGCTGAATCACAGAAATGTCGCCAGACTCACTTTCTAGTGTTTTTTTTTTTTATTCCAGCCAATGCAAAGTAAGTAAGGAGTAATAATCGTGTGCAACCAATAACGAGGCACAATGATGAAAAATGTTACTAGCCTCTGAGCCATTCTCTTGGTTCTCTCCTCCATCCTTTTCAGGAACATCCCATTTTAGCTATATGCTGGTCCTACAAGTCAAAGTTGGCCTGGTTAGTATGCTACAATCAAATACATTCGCAAGAGATGCCAATCGCGCAAATGCACATCACTTTCAAGTTCATTCAAGACATTGACCACCAGTTGCTCTATTTGATCGCGAGCAAGCTTGTCATTCATACCAGGATCATCAGTGCAAATATCTGAAGCGGTGAACTAGTAGTACAAGGATAACGTTTATTAACAAATCGTGTGACCAGAAATGATTGATTGTAATCGCACGGCCTGTGTAGTGTAAAAAAGGTTTGAAAGTTTAAAATTGTACAAGTGGTAGGTGATTATTATAGTGGTCAGTTTTAGACAAACATCTTAAGGATGCGCTTCCAGCGAGGGCCGTGGGGCCTCAAATCCTCCTTATCAGACTCGGACGGAATGAAGCGACCAGTGTCGAGATCGGCATCAACGGCCTTGATGAGCTTGGTACCGCAGATGTACTTGTAAGAGAAGTACAAGGTTGCAGACATGAACCATGGGAACCAGGCCCCCAGAATACCCTGGATATACGCATCGCGTCTGCTGCGGTACGCATTCATCAGATCCTCCGAGGCACCAGCACCAGGGTGCTGAGGAGGGTTGATGACCGACAGGTACCAATTGCAAACGATGCAGCAGCAGCCAATGATGGCAGCAAGGATGTTGCCATAGGGGTATCCCCAGGCGACATAGGGCAGGTCGCTGACGGCACGGCCCTGGGCCTTCCAGCAGTAGCGGAAGCGGAAGTGGAGGAGCAGGATATAGAGCCAGCCCTGGAAGCTAATCGAACCAATGATCGAGACGAACCACTGGAAGACGACACCAGAACCAACAAAGATGGTGATCAACGACAGGCAGGAGCAGGCAGAGACAACGGCGACGGCAACCACGGGCACACCGCGCGAGTTGATGTAGCCGATCGACTTGTGGATCCAGCCGTTACGGGAGAGCGACAGCAACATGCGAGTGGTAACATAGAACTCAGAGTTGATGGCCGAGAAAACCGAGGTGAAGACGACGGCGTTCATGTAGTTGGCAGCACCACTCATACCGGCCTTGGCAAAGACAATGGTGAAGGGAGCCTTTGCAGCGGAGCGGTCGGTGTTGACCAACAAGGGGTTGTCGTTGGCAACAATAGATCCGAGCAAGAAGATCGAGACCAAGTAGAAGAAAGTGATGCGAATCACCACGGTGTTGACAGCCTTGGGGACGTGCTTGAAGGGGTTGCGGGACTCGGCAGCGGTGATACCAGTCATCTCGACTCCACCATAGGCATAAGCGACCGAGATTAGGGTGGTGATGAAGCCCATGAAGCCGCCCTTGAAAGGAGCACCCTCTATCTTCCAGTTCTCGAATCCGTAGGTATGGCCACCAATAGCACCGGCATCGACAAGGATACCGCAGATGATAAAGATGATGATGGTGACAATCTTGAGAATCGAGAACCAGTACTCGAGCTCACCATAGGTCTTGACACCAGCAATGTTGATAAAGACCATCAAGATGATAATGATCAGAGGCACAACCCATGGAGGGAACGCCGTGTCCTCGGGCAGCCAGAACGACACGATCAGCGCGGAAGCGGACAACTGTGCGGGAATCGTCAATGCCCAGTTGATACAATACATCCAAGTCATCTGGAAGGAGAAGGCCTCGTCAAAGACACGGCCACCCCAGTCGTTGAAGGCACCGGGAAGGGGGAGGAGGGTGGCGATCTCACCGATGGCCTGCATGACAAAGATGACCCAGATGCCGATGAGGGCATAGGCAAGAAAGGCACCGCCAGGACCAGCAGTAGCAATAGTCGAACCAGAGGTGAGGAAGAGACCGGTGCCAATAGTACCAGCGATGGCAATCATGACCATGTGGCGGAGCCGAAGGTCTCGCTTGAGACCGTCTTGGGATACATCCATCAGGGCGTCGAGTTGGCTGCTATTGCTGGCATTGCCGTCCTGCATCTGGTTGAGCTCGTATGTGTCGGTACCATCATACCCGTCATCGTCGTACTTCATATTTTGTTGGTACAGTTGTTGAGGTTGAGTTGGATAAATGAGAGTGATAAGAGTTGTAGGTGTGGGTGGGAGATGAAGGAGAATGTTGTACAAAGAGAGAGACAAAGAAGGTTGCAAAGGGGAAGAGATGAAGACAGAGAGACAAAGAAGGTTGCAAAGGGGAAGAGAGGTCGGAGAAAAAAAGAAATCTGCCCTGACCGCTTGTCTCGACCTTGGTTCTTGTACAGTTACTCAAGTACTTGAGATGGAGTCCCTCACGAGGCCCGAAATGGAAAATGAAAAAGTACAATCTAGTTTCAATTCGTGGTGCTGACCCACCCTTTGTGCTTTGGGACGATGGATTTCGATTGGTACTGTACCGGTACTTTTCCTTGAATTCTTTGGGCCTTTGTTAATATGTATACATGTGATTACATGTATCTGTCTTGGTTGTTTGTGGGTGTCTGCATTGTACATGTGTGCCCAGGCCTTGTGGGGAAGATAAAGAGGAGAATGACAGGTCTGGACCTCGGATCGCATTTGTCGTTGAGGAAAGTCTTTCTATGCCCCCCTTTTGGTTTTTTTTGCCCAAGGCTCTCATTAATGCTTATTGAGTGCAAGCAAACCGTTGTCCACCTTCTTATCGGGAGCCCACAAAGAATCAACACAAACTTAACCTCTCTTTTGATGGGTGTCCTGCGTTTCCTATGCCGGGTCACCATCAAAGTACAAAAGAGAATCCTCCCGATCGCCAGGTTGCTGGATGCGCTTGAAGACAATGGCATTCTCGAGTGATGTGCAGTCGGAGTAGGCTAATCTGATTGCGGAGAAGATCGCTCCTTGGAAATCGATACGAACCTTGTTCACGTCGGGGTTCTTCTCAGCCCCTTGTTGATGGCGAGCGAGTGGTTTGTGCATCTTTAGGCGAAATAAGCCTCTAGAGGTTTTTGCAGCCCCTGGTGGTTTTGTGAAAGCGCAAGGTAAGGTAATGACTTTCTGTACTGAAGAGGCGAGCTCTAGGAGTGTTATTTCCTACCGTTATCAGGTGAGCTTATTTCCTTTACCTTTTGTCCTAACCCTGGTATCTGTGACACAAAGTGCTGGTTGACAAATTCCTTATATGGAAATTCATTATTGCGTAGCCGTGAAAGAGTATGACGTGAGAGCTTGGGATATAAAGTTTCCCTAATACGGATTGATTTGCTCTTAAAGTTGGACAGCCGACCTTCACCACTGCCATTGGCCAGGTACCAGGGAGATAAAAAGTGGACTGCCGCTCATCTGCTTCTTTTCTTCATTCCCATTTCCATCCTCATCATGGACATCATAAGAGCATCCTTGGCCGGATCCTTGCAAGTGGTCAAGACATGCCTCGCCACTAGGCGGGGGCGTCGTTTCCTTCTAGCCATCCCAATCGTTGTCGGTACCGTTCTTATCCTTTCGACCCATACTATCGATACCATTGATCTTCGCCGCCTTTCAAAAACCCACAACAAGGACAGCGACGGAAATCGATTCCTGGAACAAAACAACGTCTGGAGAGCACGCACCGTAGCGCAGGAGATCGAGATCCCGGACTCTACATGGACTTGTACCGACGACGGACTATCCCAAACCGAAAAGGACACCAAAAAGATTAAGCGGTCTCGTCAGTGTGTCGTCAAGAATCTTTGTGTGGACCGCCAAGGTAAATCAATCAATCACAGCAAACACAACAGCCCAAAAATTTAAAGTTTGTAGTCGAGGTTGATCTGACAAAAATAACTTCTTTTCTGTCGATTTTAACATTTAGGTGCTTTCATCAGGAGCAGTAATCGGAACGTTATTTCCATGCCAGAGGTGAATTTGATGTCAGTGAATGGGCCCTCGGACATATTCTGGAAGCCAAGGGTGGAACGTTCCCGAAGCAAGATGATGAAAGCTCATTATGTTGACGAGACACTGTTTGTCCATGGAATCTTTTCGCCCGGGCACTTCTCTCACTGGCTTTACAACGGCATGCTGCCACTGTACAGGTACAAAAACAGTTGGAAAAAAGGAGAGGGGTAGGCATGCGTATCTGCCCATTTACATTTCTCAGATCATGCTTACTGACGCCATGCTCTTACATTTGTAATATAGTACGATGAAGAGATTCAACGGGACAAAGGATTCTTGGACGTTCCTTGCAGGATACAAATACTACGACCAGGACAGCAAGCGCAGCAAAGGGTGGGAGATGCGGCATGTATTTCAAACGGGATTCGAACTGGTTCTTTCTCAGGATCAACTCGTCACAGATTTCCAGATGCTCCCTCCTGACGACGCACCAATCTGCTTCCGTTCTGCTGTTGTTGGATTGGGCAGCCAGTGTGCATTGGATTACTGCGAGTTCAACATCCCTGTCGAGATCTACTCGTCCTTCCGGGATATCGTTTTGAACTACTACTTTCGGACTCCTCAGATATGGGAACAACACCTCGGAATCATGCAGGAGAGCATCGATGCTGCTGCAAAGATCCAGCAACAACAGGCCGCTGCAGTAGAGAATGTCGATGTCAAGCCTCCGAGGACGCCTCTGAAGTGTCTTGAGCTGGCTCGTTACTACAACTTTGAGCCATCGACTGGTGAAGACCCTGTTCAGCCATTGAAGGAGAGCAGGAGCCGTGTCGGGCAGCTGGTCCCGGATACCGTCGATCCAGAAGTGGACCCCTCAACCGGAAAGCGGAGGTTGGTCGTTGCCATCATTCAACGTGAAGGCTCAAGGCGGGTGATTAACGACAAAGAGCTGGTGGAAGGTCTAGCTGCTGCGGGATTTCGTGTCAAGTGGATCACCCTCGACCACGGCTGTGGATTGGCAGAGACTGCCTACCTTCTGCGCGATGTTCACGTTTTAGGGTCTCCTCACGGGAATGCGATCGGGGCGTCCATCTTTATGCCTACATCTAACCCCGTACCGACTGTGATCAGTCTCGACGCCTCCCGATACTCGGAGTCTTGGTTCATCAACACCGCCACTGCGATGGGCCAGCGAATCTTGCAGTCGGTCTGTGGACCCAACGGTTATGTGGATGAGGCTACCAAGACGAGATGCCCCTATCATAAGGATATGACAGGAGCCAGCAAACTCTTCACGACCTACGGCTGGAGGGTTGTTCTCGGCTTGACCGACGAGATGACCAAGGAGTACAGGGAGAAGAGCGCCCAGGATCAATTGACGAAAGAGGTGATACAGGAGTTCCGGGAGAGGGTCAGCAAGAGCACGTCTGCACAACAGCTCGCGCAAGAGGAACTGGATGTTTTGATCGGTCCAGAGTTCCCACACACCATTGTCGACAAGTATGACAGCGATGTGGTTGTATACTACCTAGAGGTCTTTTGGAGAGACGCCCCCCGCTACGCAGACGTGCCCCGTGTGGTCGCCCTCATGCGAGAACTTCAGGAGGATCAGGAGCGGGAGCAGGCGGCTGCTGCAGCTGCAGCCCAAAAGTCGACTTATGCCTATGAGCCGTACTTCGCATACGTTCGCGAGAACCGGGTCTGTGGTGTCAAGTACTGTAAGCAGATTCTCACCAGGAATATGCTTGCAGAGTCAAGGTCCTATGGAATGCACTCGATTGACGATCCTTCGCGGTGGGGTCAGTCTGCGGTGGACATGAAGACTCTTCTTGAGGGTCTTGAGTATTCTCAGAACTGGCTCCCAACCTCATTATTATCTTAGATATTTATTTAGCATTATTAATAACGCACACTCTAGATCTACAACAAAGCTGTTTAATTACGAGTTGGGCTCTTTCGCTGGTTCCCTGGTCGCCTTCGTTGATTGAGCGATGCGGGTACTTAATGAGATGGTTCGAACGCAGAAGGCATGGCAAGTTGCAAAAAAAATAATACGGTGTGAACTTGTTTTGCTTTCTCTCTCTTAATTTCTTTGTATTTTTCCTTTCTCTCTGTCTTCGTTTTACGACTTCGTAAGGCGTGCTTCGGTGCTGTTTGCAGAAACTAACAGTAAGATGAATGTGTTCCTTTGTCCACTGTGGACCAAGAATAAGGCCGTCTATGTCACCATGTCACACTCTCAATGACCACCATTTATCTTTTGTCCCGGAAATGAGGCGTGGTACTTTTTTTTTGTCTCAGTTGTCAGATACATACACCTTACGCGACTACAATTCATCACCGATACAGATATATACAAATTTCACACACAAAATAAATGAAAGTGCGCTCTCTCTAACCTTGATTGTAATGAAAACAACTCTATTCAATAAGAGATCTACATAAAGAACTACATACCTCAAATGAAGACACTCAGAGGTTACTCATGTCACTGACAAAGCGACCGACAAGATCCGTGTCCTGACGCGCCTTCTCGATCGTCATCAACAGCCTCTTGATGCTGACCGACAACTTGTCCTCGATCCCGCTCTTGGCCAACGTCGCCATCGCCGACCTACGATCATCGTCCGAGGGGAACAGCTTCAAGTTCTTGACAACCGTATTCACCTCTCCCAATGTCCGCAAGTTCTCAACATACAGCTCCGACGAGAATGAATCCATTAAATCCATCTCCTCCAACACATGACGTCTCGTCGTCGTCGTCAATACCAACAAGCGACGGCCTTTGGGGGGAGCCTTCTTCAACAGAACTGCAAGAGCCTGCAAGACCGTGTTCGAGAACCGGGATCCGATCGGGGTATAGTCCAGCAGGCGCTCGATATCATCCATCACAATCACACTCAGCAACGACTTGTACGAATCTTGGAACACCCTGTGGATCGCATTCACCTTCTGCATCTCGCTCATACCAATCATCGTCTCGGGGGAAATCAACTTGATGAATGGGAACTGGGACTCCATCGCCATCGTCGCCGCCAACGCCGTCTTTCCTGCTCCGGGGGGTCCATGCAGCAACAGACTGACTAATGGCGTCCTCTCCGAATGCTTGACTTGCTCCACTCGAAGGGAGCCCTCCTTCAAGATGCTGTCAATCTGAGGCGAGAAGTGAATAATACCGTTGGCAATGCATGAATCGAGCTCCTCTTCGGCAGATCCGAAAGCAGCATGGACTTCCTGCAAGGCTCCCAAGAAATCTGCACGCATAATCTTCATGTTCTCCAGATCGCCCGTCGTTCCTGCCAGGGTTCCGACCTTGACATGACGGTTGAACGCGAACGAGTAGGCCGACTTGACCAGACCGTTGATCTCGGCTCCTGTAAAGTTCTTGGTCAATGCCGCCAACTCGACCATATCGACATCGGGCGCCAGCAGGTTGTTCTCCATCGCCTTGTGGGTGTGGATCTTGAGAATCTGGAGACGGCCCGACTCATCAGGGAGACCAATCTCCATATGGACCTCCATACGACCAGGGCGCAACAGAGCCTCGTCGATCATGTCCTTCCTGTTGGTCATACCGATGATCAAAATGTTGTTGAGCTGCTCAACACCATCCATCTTAGCCAACAGCTGGTTGACAACAGAATCACCCACACCAGTGTTGTCATTCTTGGAGCCACGTTGCTTGCAGATAGCATCTAACTCATCAAAAATAATGATGTGCAGACTCGAGTCCTCGCCCTTGTCCTTGTACTCGTTCTCGGCATCAACAAACAGCTTGCGGATGTTTTCCTCCGACTGACCTACAAACTTGGACAGCACCTCGGGTCCGTTGACGATCTTGGGCTCCCGACCGTTCAGCATCTTTCCAATCTCACGGGCCATCAGTGTCTTTCCGGTACCGGGAGGTCCAAAGAGTAGAATACCCTTGACGTGCTGAATACCCATTTTCTCCACTAGCGAAGGAGGGAAAATACGCGACGCGAACGCACGACGGAACATGTTGCTGAACTCTGCATCCAGGCCACCAATGCCCATATCCTCGAACTTGAAGTTAGGTTGGATCAGTGTCACTGCTGGCTTACTGTTGGAATAATTGTTCATGGAGTGGGAAGGATTGTTAGTTCAAAAGCCCTATATTGTACGACACTCACGAAAAACAGAAACACAGCAACAAAGGAATGTAGATTTCTGGTACGTACTTTCTGGCAGCGCCCTTGAGTTTGATGTTGGAGTCTTGAGCCCTGACAAGCTGGATCTGCGCCTGTTGAGTCAACACTCCACGGTATCCATCACGGCTCGCTATATATGCATCGAGTGCAATAAGTGCGTGTGTTAGTATTCATACTTTCGCCCTTGCTTAAATAACATGCCCTCGGCAGATGAACAAAATCCTCGTAACTGTAACTTACGGAGCTCCTCACCGTCCGGGCCACGGTTGCCATTCATGAGAGCCTCTGAGCTGACGAGCTGAACCAGCTTGGGGACCAGGATCAGGCGAGTATCCTGAAAGTCCAGTACCAGTGCCTGATCGACCGCCAGCACTTGGTTGTTAAATACCTATTTGTGTATACAAAAGAGCGCATTGGGGAGGAGGGGTCAGCACCGCAAGTACACATAAGAGAATGATTCTCTACAAACTCTTCCTCGTTCCTCTCCTCTGCTTCTCCTTTTTTTCTCTGGTTACCCTCTCCTCTACCAGCAGCATTTCTTGAGACACATCACTATGAGTCCCCATAGAGAATGATGCTCTCTACATTCTCTCCTCCCTTTGAATCATTTTCTTCTCTGTCTCCTCTCCACTCCTCTGCCTGCGTCGTTTTCCAGGTAAGATCAAGTACATACGGTGGTAAAGTGGCGGGCCATCTCCTTGGCATCAAACTCTGCCCGGATGTCGGTGTTCTTGACAAACAGCGAAACCTAAATACCATGACATGGGATGGTGACGTGTGGAAATAAATAAAATAAGAACATTAGCACACTGCCCCAATAGTTCGCGTTTGAGAACGCCCACTGACGTTGTTGTTGGTATTCCATAAAGCAAATAACAAAAAAGCAGAAACAAAAGGTACCTCGATCTCGACGTTGGAGAGGTAGACCATGGGTCCATCGTTGGAGGGGTCCCAGGGAGCGACGTCGATTTCCTTGTTGAGTCCGACGTTGACCCACTTTCGCTGCAGGTTGCTGAATCCCAGGCATGACTCTTGCACTGCGTTGTCTGGCCTATTATATGTATCATCAAATAATGCGGTGTTATTGTTAGTTGAAAGTGCCCTTTTTTTAGTGAACAGTCGTTCCTTGAAAGGGCAATAGGAAGAAAGTGTAAGCGTACTGGATTGAGAAGACGTATTGGTGCTCGACGAGGACATAGCGGGTGTGAGGAGGGAACTCGTGCGGGCTAGTGGCGACACGGTTAGTAAGAGCGAAGGATTCGTTGGGGGACTTGATGGCCCTCATCCGCCTCGAGGGTTGGGGCTGGAATGCCGGAGCAGCATTCTGTTGACGAGGAGCAGGCTGTCCGAAAGTGTTCTGGGTGGAGTAGTTGGACTGCTGGGAGGGGGGAGGAGGGGAGTTGAAGGAAGATTGGGGTTGGTACCCTCCTCCAGCGACATTGGCGCTTGGGTGTGGGGGACGTGGAGGCATCCTTGGACCTCCTGCTGGGTTGGGCGAGGTGTTATAACCGCGCTCGTTGGGGTAGTTGTTGTTCATCCTCTGGTTGTTCGGTTGAGTTTGTTGATGAGTGGCAGCGGTAGTAGTAGTGGTAGTAGCAGTGGTTGTTGTTCCTGGTGCCCTTGTTTTTCCCGTGGTGTTGGTTGGATGAAGGCGGTGATGAATGGAGAAGAAGGAAGAAGGATGATGACAAGAAGAAGGGAAGAAGAGAAAAGAGGAACGGTGACTTTTGTCCGTGAGTCTACCAGTCAGAAGTAGGGCACTTGTTCGTTGATCGTGGCAAAATGACAGTAAGTCTAATAATACTAAGAAGATTGAAGTGATCGCATGGTTAACGTCAGCCTTTCATTAGGATAAAAAGTGATCCGTCTAGAAAGAATGGTAGATACAAAAACCCCAGTCGCACTCTCGCTCCATTGACTCTAGCGATGCGTCTTGAAAGAACAGCACACCGCCCAACTTTCGGTCTATCCAAGAAAAAGCTGAAAGGGCGTAAAGACCAACTGCGGAAAAAGAGGGGGTAGAATCACACTAGACCATCCTTTTTACTTTTCTTCTATCCTAGTCCGACCATTGGCAGAGAAACGGAATAAAGAAGGGGAGTGGCGCAGTGTAGCTATCCATGGCGTACTTTTCATATAGGACGTCCATAAGCGCGCCGAGGATACGGACGGTTGGAACAGATATTCATTTCTTCTTTCATAGGATCGAAATTCCGAAAAAAAAAACCCCCTCCCTAATAACCTTGCTCCTTCTTCTCATTCTTCGCAACCATCAACATCTCTCATTCCCCTCTTATAGATTCAACCTCAAGCACAAGGATCCTACTTAAACACCATGAAAGCAACCACTATCACTCTCCTCCTCCTCCTGACCCTTGGTTCCAATGTCACCCTATTCGGTCAAACCGGACCCTTCGAACAGTCGGTCGACAAGCGCGATTCCGAGTGGAATTCTCCTGATGATATGCATGCTTCAGACATGCGCTGGGGAAAGCGCAACATCAAGTAGAGCTCTCCTGCTGACAACCATGTTGCTTGTGTCAATGGTGGCATGACTTGGGGCAAGGTCAATATCGAGTGGAGCTCTCCTAACGACCGTCATCACGTCACTATATAACATGGCGTTCTATAGACGTTATTTTTACCCTCTATTCTCTCAATGCAAGGACATTGTCCCACTGAGCGATTCTTCCTTCCTTTTGTTTCTTTGGATGATTAAATATAAAAAGTTTGTATGCGGGTTGTAATCGAAAGACAATTCTAAGAAAAGAGAGAGAGAGAGATACTGAAAAAAGGTCAAGAGTACACATACTCTCTAGACAAACGATGCCGTTGAAGATGTGTACTTTTTCGTGAAGACGCGTAGCCCTCTTTACGTTCAAGCTGTTTGTTCATTTATCGCTTTTACCGCAACCGAACTCAGAGAATATGAACCACATCTCACTCGGTCGATCGGTCTAGTGTTTTTTCTCTTCGCCCTCGCGTAGTCGTTGCATTCTTCGTCTCAGATTTTGGAATAACAAAGTTTCCTCGCCTCCCCCTTTTTCCTCATCAACAGCCAACTTATGGGCAAAAAAGAAAGAAAAGGGAAAGGAGCGAATGAACAACAAACCGGAATGAGAATTCATCATGTACTGGAACATGAATAGCAAAGCAACCACCCTACTCAGTATTTTTCAATCTTGGCCTTTGGCATGCAGCTTATTGTTGTTACTTGCTGTGAAGGGGGAAAAAATTAACGTTTCGACCCTTGAACACGCCGCCTTGCATGTTTGTAAACAGACGAATGCTAACGTGGTGTATGGTCAGCAAAGAGCACCCTTTTTCATTTTCTTTGTTTGTTGTCACTCATGCATGCCATTGTGCTCGTAATTCTCATAAGCACAACAATCCTTTGCAATTACCGCGTCAGGCCCTTCTGTCCCTACTCTCTTCTTCTCGGGTTGTTGTCTCTTTTCTGTTGTGGTGGTCCCTCTGATATAATAATCAACCGTTTGGAATGCGGCGCAAAAATGAACTCCCGACCTCTCGCCTTCTGAATGCCCTCGCGCTCCTTTAAATACCGGTACCTTCTTCGCCTTCTTCGACCTTTACTCCAACAGCTACCTCCCGCCACACAAAAAAATGAAATTCTCAGCCACCCTTCTCCTCGCTCTAGCCTGCACACTCGTGACAAATGCAGCGCCCATTACCCCCCATCCCAGAACCTGCTGCTGCTTCCGTCCTGCAAGATCTGGCCCCCCGTGACATGGGCTGGCAAAGTGCTCCCTCCGAACCGGTGCAACAGGTCACGAACAACAACCCCTGGGACAAGCGTGATATAGACTGGGAAAGTGCTCCCTCCGAACCCTCAAGAAGTCAAGAATGATCCATGGGTTGTCGTCAAGCCCGATTGGATGAACTGGGATAAGTGGAGTGTCGATGGTGAATCCGCGGAGGTGAATACGAATTCTTGGGACAAACGTGGCGGTGATTCTGCAGAGGTGGATACGGTGATTTGGGGTAAGCGGGGTGGTGGTTCTGTGGAGGTGGATACGAGTGCTTGGGACTAGAGTAGACGATGGCTTATGTTGGAGTAAGAAACTTTTCCGTTCCCCTTGTGCTTGAATATATGGTTGGTGTATTTCTTTGTACTAGGGGTGGCTTGGCGAGGGTATCATGGAAAATTACACATGTTTTTGCACTCTTTCCAGGAATGCACCAATGACAGTGTTATCATTACTCCTATTCTCATAATCTTCTGGGCTTATGGCGGGTGCATCAAGGTATAGCGGGATGCGCTGGGCTATTTGGCGGGCACATTATGTTACCCTCATCTATTAAGAATGAGAATGGACAGCAACATTAGCGTACTAATACAATTCTTTTAAAATCTAACATAACCCATAGTTTCCTCTCCTTCATACACAGGTGTTACTAAGACCCTTCTCAAGGGTATAGAAATACTCTCCTGTTTTAAAATCACCAAAGTTGCTGAGTGGAGCTTACAAGGGTGCCACAGGAAACGATGAAAACTCATTCCTCTCTGCGGGATCTCTCAAAGTTTAAACCTGTGCCAGTGGACATTCATCTTTTCGCTAAACCCCTTCGTACTTGTTCCAACGAACAAAAGATACTGGATCTCCTCCCCTTTTTATCGGCCTTTCGGATCAATGGTGTTAGGGAACATCTTTGAAGATAAGAAGGAGAGGGAAGAAAGAAAGAACAAAATACATGAAATTAGCTTTATCCCGCCAACAAAGCACCTAAGTTTATTTACACAATAGCATCATGGGATCATGAGTCCATCGTTTCATTGTAAACATGTCGCCTTTTGTCTTTTTCGCCTCTTTCTTTCAAGAGTACTGCAAAATGCATAAAAAAAATGCACATTTGGTGTTGGGAAATCAGCCCTGTCCGTCCCTTTTTTTTCGACGGCTTACCAGCCATGGACTACGCTAGCAACAGGTGGCAACCATTTTCAGGAAGATTGAAGAGAATTGATTCTTTTTTATTGCTTTCAGCAAAAACGGGTTGGTTGTGCGATGGGATCACTACAGAAAAATATGTGCTCATGCCACAAGTGATGGGACGGGTGATCATATCAACAAGAGAGTGCAGTGGCTGGAAGATGTTTAGTGGGCTAGTTGAAGAGCGTCAATCATCTATGGGTGAAAGAACATCTTTTGGCTCAATGCAGGTAACGATACAGAAGAAACGTAAAAAAAGGGAAAGTGTCCTAACGCACCATGATAAATCTAGCGAACATGAGGCAGTGTATGTTTATGTTGGGTGGTTGACCTATCTCAATGTGGTCACTGTGCACCTACCGTCATTCTCTCCCCTTTTATTTTTCCTAAAGAGGTCATTGTATCGATGTAGGCGCCGAATGACCTACATTTTTTTTATGCATCAAAAATCTCAAAAGGGATCAAGGACACGAGTCCAACAACAACTCGGTATCTTTTGAGTTGTGTGATCAAGACGATGAACCTAAGGGATAAAGAGAGTGTACTTACACGACTTTTAACTTAGACGCCGTCCTACAGATGAAGAGGGAAAAGTACTCCATTTCTTTGTGTTTGAAAGAAGAGCATCCTTTACCGCTTGCGACCCATCCTTTTTTCATTAGTTCTTCCATGTCTTCATGATAAACAACTATCACGAGAGGTTCTTTCTCTGATCAAGAGAGCGGCGTGTGTGTTTTTTTTTTGTTGATATTGCAAAGGCATGCGCAGAATGCTTTATTTAGCACACTGCCCAATCACAACCAACTTTTCTTATGGTCTAAGTTTATTACCTTTTTCTACTCTCAATAATCTCCGTAACACCGACGCGTTTCAGTACTGCGTTGCGAAGGTTCTAGGGACCTTAGCTGATGTTGTCCCACAGAAACTTAAAGAATTTTGCGAAATGGCCATTCATGGACTAGTACATGGAACATCGGCCTAGAAGACGCGACAGTTGACGAAATTGGCAAGATGGGTGTGGGACACGCCGCTTTCCTGTGTTCCCTTTCTGGTTATAAATAAAAGACTTGTCATTCTCTGGCACGTCTTTTTCTACGTGCAAAGTAGAAATGTCGGGATACAATATCCTGTAATGAACCTTCTTTACTCTTTGCCGTGGAGTAAGTGTCGATATACAGCACGTAGACAAGGACAAAGGTTAAAGATAAGGCATCATCTAGACATAACCTTCATCAACTTTCATACCTTCACTCAACTTTCTCTCATCCAAGCACATACCAAAGAAAAAGGAGAATAAAAGGCGCCAGATTTCTTCCTACCTCTTTTTTCTTTCCTCAGATCAATTCACTTCTTTCTCCTTCATCACTTTTTCAACCACCACACACAATACATCACAATGAAAACCACAACCATACTACTCCTCGCTCTGGCCTTGGCCCTGTTCGTTCAAGCCGCACCCATTGAAACCCGCGACGACAAGGGACCAACCTCGCCTCCCAACCACGGTGATGATGTTAGCTGGACCTCTACCCCCGGCCACGCCACGACTCAAGATGACAAGGGGCCTACCTCGCCTCCCAACCGCCGTGGTGATACTAACTGAATCTCCGAGCCCTAGGGGCCTCAAGACAGTTGTGGGGTCATTAGCTGACTATCTGTTTTCGTTGACTCTATTCCTGGAAACACTAGGTGAATAAAATAATAAAACGGAATGGCCATCGCGCAAAATTGCCAAAGGAGGTGAGATGGGTGTTGATGAAGCGTGCATATTCATTTTTTTTTGTTTGTTTAAGAGAGTGCTATTTGTTTTAGTTCAGTCGAGTCGGGCGTCAGTGTGAAAGTTATTTCCCTCGGTGAACGAACGGTTGTTTGTTTGTTTGTTTGTTTGTTTGTTTGTAAAAAATATCCGAGTGTAGAGTATGTTTGTGCGTTTGTGGTGTGGAAGGGTCTAAGGATTTTAGTTATTTCTCCGACACGCCGTTTCTTTTGGGCCCCAAGGAAAGAAGAATGTAAGATTCCCTTCTCAGCGGTCCGCCTACTTTCCCATCCCATCCTTACCAATCTGCCCTACCTCCTCTCTTACAGGTCGTACGTTTTTATCGTCTACCTATTGGCTGTCACAGTTCCGGTGTTGTTGTTGGTGTCGAGTATGTTCCTGTATGTGGGTGCCGCATTCATTAGAATGAGCTGCAGAAGAAAGAAAGAAAGAGAAAAAAAAAAGGAATGAGCACACCGAGAGCGAGCGCTTTCCCTTTTTTTGTTTTAGTTTACTACGATGGTAGAGGGGCACAGAGGTCAAAGTAATTTGCCCCCAATCTGTTCAGACGAGAGAAAACGAAAGAATGTTTATTCAACAAACAATAAGCACCCCAACGAGTTCTTGTCCTGCTTGATGGTAATATACAGGAATTGTTTCGGCACTCGTTCGAAATAGCGCAATTCGTCCGTAGGAGTTCCACTAGGCGGATTGTGCCAGGCGGCGTCGTAAGCAAGCAAAAGCTCAATGACTTCAAGCGCAGACCAGTGTGCAATCAACTCGCAAATTCTTCAAGTCCAGGACATACGCTAATGGACCAAGGCATAAAAACCACGTGATTCATAGTTGCCAAGCCACAGGCGAAGGGCGAATGCGACGCGTGCTTTTCAACCTTGAAATAAAAGAACATCGACACTTGACATCCCTGTCCTTTTCTTTCATCTTCATCCCTTCAACTACACCTTCCAGCAACCATACCCTACACCTCCACCCCAAACAGCAACGAAACAAAAGCACTATGACTGAACCCTCATCATCCTTCAAGCTCATCCTCGTCGGCGATGGCGGCTCCGGAAAGACCACCTTCGTCAAACGCCACTTTAGTGGTGAATTCGAGAAAATGTACATCACCACTATGGGTGTCGAAGTCCACTCCTTGAAGTTCGCCACCAATTTCGGAGAGATCACCTTCGAGACCTGGCACACTGGTAAATTTTTTTTATCATAGTCGACAGCAGCATGGATCCTATTGACATCGTGCCATATATTGTTTCACGCCTTACATCGGTAGGTTTTGATGCCTGGAGCTGATTCTGTGTTTTTCTTTGTTTCGATCCCTTGCAACAGCTGGTCAGGGAAAGTTCGGAGGTTTTCGCGATGGTTACTACATCGAAGGGAAATGCGGTATTATCATGTTCGATCTTATCTCCCGCATCACCTACAAGAACGTCCCCAACTGGCACCGTGATCTCACCCGTGTCTGCGGGAACATCCCGATTGTCCTATGCGGTAACAAGGTCGACATCAAGGATTGCAAGGTCAAACCCAAGGCTATTGACTTCCACCACAAGAAGTCCATCCAATACTACGACATTTCTGCCAAGTCCAACTACAACTATGAGAAGCCCTTCCTCTGGTTGTCCCGTAAGTTGGCTGGCCAACAGAACTTGGAGTTTGTTGCCTCGCCAGCCTTGGTCCCCGCCGAAGTCGAGATTAACGCTGCTCTTATGCAGCAGTACACCGAGGAGTTGAACCAGGCTACTGCCATGCCTCTTCCTGACGAGGATGATGACCTGCAAAGGACGCCTATCAAGAATTAGAAACCGATACTTCGCCCCATTCTTGAAATTCAATACCATTTTTTTAATTTTCCCTCTGTACCCCGACGATTAATTTTTTTTGTTCCTCTCACCTTTCAGTATGTTTCTCTTCATTTAATTCTAGCGTATAGAAATAAACGTGTGAACCACACTTCACAGATAGAAAGCACCTTATTGTTCTACATAAATCTCCCCACATACACTTTTTCCTTCCTATGCTCCTTTTAGCTAAGACAGCAGAGGCGTTCTTTGTGCTCCCAGAGCTGCTAGCCTGTCTCCCACTGCACTTCTTTTGAAACAATTCCATCCACCCATTCGCAAATATCAACCACTCAACAACAGCAGTCTGCAATTTCATCCTTTGGGACATCTTCGACCTCAGCGACACCTCCCTAGTCCTTCGCCCCTCACTTCCTCACCTCCTGGCTTGCTCACCTTCTTCTCGCCTCACTTGAGGGACTGCATGCACTCTGATACAATGCCACTTTTGCCCGTGCCACTTCTTTGGGACCCTATTTCATTTTGTTCTATGTCAACTACCGACCATTGTTTGATCCCATCTTCGGCTTCAGGTCTTCGCTGTCTGGGTGTACCATGTGTATGATCTCCTCCATTTGTTTGTGTGTGGCTCAGTCTCTGTTTTTGTTTTTGATAACAAGCAATGCAAAAATGTGCCACCGTGCACTTGCGCGCTGTGGAAGGTAATGCACCGAGAGAGTCCGTTTCCACAACTTTAAACCATGCGATCGGGCAATTTACCTAAACCCCCCCCCTCTCAAGTGTTGTCACCAAACACTGTGTCCACCTTTATGAAAGTGTGTATGCATGTATCTAAGAGAGTGCATGGAAACGTTCATCCCATGCTCATCCTCTTCTTACCTTCTTTTTTTGTGAGGACTGATCAACTATGTCCGACCCGGCAGTCCAAGTCAGAGGACACGCTCTCCGGGCACAAGAATCGCGTCCGTGCATAATCGTGTACCAAAGATAGGTTGAGAATAAGAGCCCGTCTAGCTCCAGCAAAGTTAGTGTGTCTTGGGGTGTAGGGATGACGATGTGGTTACTTTCGATTAGTTAGGTGCGTGAGGTCCAAGGTGGCGAGTTAAGTAACGTGTGGGAGTTCGAGCATGGCCTGCATAGACAGGCTAAGTGGTCACGGAACCTAGGATGAAGGAGTTGGTAATTGCAGTAGGATTGTGCGAATAGAAGTGGGCGAAGTGGAGGAGACAAAGCGGAGGAGTCTAGTAGCGACTATGGATCTAGCCACGACGATGAGTCCGGTATTGAAGAGTATCACCACCACGGCAGTCCAACACCGACAATTACAACGTCGCCCACCATCCTGACAGACCCCCTCACGACGATCCCTGCCACAACAACTTCAAAACCAACAACCCCAACATTGTTCATGCTGTACACGACCATCGCTACCACTCCACATCCAACGCCCATAAATGCAGCATTGCTTATCACCCCTACAAGTCCGTCCATATCGATCCTGTGTATGAAATGGGTGTTCGCCACCGCGGACGATCAATCAAGCGGTCTTGCACGCCTTATCCCAAGACGAACTCCAAGCAACATCACAGAGGCATGTCCGCCTCTCGCTTTGGTTCCAACAACGCTATTGGTCACCGAGAGGTTGCTTATTACCGACACGGTCATGCGAAATTGTTTGGGTCTGCAGAGAATTACGCTTTGGTGTCGAGACAAAGTAAGCACAAGAGAATGTGTGTATTTTATCACATGGCATAATAGAAACAAAAGAAAAGACGGCTATGGATGTCAGAAGGGAAACAAGAATGAAAAAAAGACATAAGCGACGCGAGAAGGAAGTGCGGATAATAGTAAACTGCATTGATGGATTTGTACGGATCGTCAAGACTATGTCAGGTAACGAATCAGAGACCCAGCAACCTTGTTTTTTCATTCTGTCACGAAATGAGGTGCGACGGCTAATGGACGGCGTCACATTTTGATAAAATGAACCTTAATAACAACGAGTTTCGTCTTACGCGCTGTAATCCCCACGTCACATGTGAACATGCATGACCATCGCCAACTCCTCTTCTGCAGCTTGGAGGATTCGAGGAGGTGTTGACTGGAAGACGAAGGCGAACGCCTCTAGTTCTTCCTGACCGTCGTGCCAGGTTTCTTTTATTGCGCGTGCGATTCATGACGAGCCAGAATGGCTAGATGCACCAGTCACATTCCACGCCACTGCTGGAGCGCGAAATGGGCAGTCATCTTGTGAGCATGCACGACCATCACCAAGTCCTCTTCTGCAGTTTGTAGGATTCGAGGAGGTGTTGACTGGAGGACGAAGGCGAACGCCTCTAGTTCTTCCTGACCGTCGTGCCAGGCTCTCCATTCAAACGCGAATTGGGAGAAAGCAATCACGTATTTGTACCTTATCAGCAATCCAGCTTTAACGTCACTGAAGAGAGAGAGAGTGAGTGAGAGAGAAGAGATAGGAAAAATGCTGAGCTCAGAAGAAAAGGCAGCAGATTGAAAAACGAACGTCAAGAGTGCAGTTGGTACAAGCAAAAAGCAATGGTAGATGAAGAAAGCGATAGGACGTGGAAAGCAAAGAAGCGGCGATCAAAAGTCGTATAATGAGGGCTGTGTGCAAAAAAGACAGAGATACGGGCGACAACGTGTAGTTGAGGAAAGAGTGATGGTGAAAAGGGCGTGGTTGACTTCACATCCCTTACTTCCTTGCACTATTGAAAAAGGGTCATCACTCACGTATCACCTGTGATCCTTCAGTAGAAAGAGGGGCAATCCAAAACAAACCTGTTCCTGAGTTCCCGTCTCTCTCACATACAAACGTCACCAGACTTTTCCCAGGCCAGGGTCATGGCGCTGCATGACACGCATATCATTCCCCGTAATAGAAGGGAAATTCATGGGGCATCTGCTGTTGCGTAATAAAAGCAGTATCGCGTACTTTTCTATGGAGTGCATGTGTAATTCATGCAAACTTTAAATGTTGGCAGGTGCTGACAAGGAAATTCTCACGACTTGAGTTTACGCACTTCTATCTGGGGTTTCTAGAAGGTAGCGAGAGAAGGGTTTACGCACTTCTATCCGGTGTTTCTGGAAGGTAGCGAAAGACTGAATACATGTACTTTTTGGAGGAAAACTTGAACAGTATCATCGCATCATCAGACCAAACCATGGAGCACGGCTTTGCTGTAGAGGGTTGTAGAGGGATTTTTTTTTATTTTTTCTTTTGCAAAGAATCGTTTTTGTAGCGACTTGTTCGGTGCAAGTTCAGGCTATGTACAAAGTAAGGGGACGCTCGACGGAGGCCCTCTTTACTGGACGACGGCCAAGCGGATCTCGATCTGGCCACGGACCTTGGAGCCCTCACCAATCTGGTACCACTGCTGGAGCTGGCCTGACTGGAAGAGGGTGTCGAGGGGGATCTTGGTGTGGCCAATGTCATCGTCGTGGACGAGGTCATCGTCAAGGACCTTGACCTTGAGTTCGTCGGTGGGCTTGGCATTAAATTCGAAGATCTCGTTTTCAAACTGGACGTCGCCGGACTGGTTCTTGACGGTGGCAGTCTTGTGCTTCTGACCGCCCAGCAGTCTGTGGCCAATGCTAAGTTCGACATAGGGGTCGTTCTTGCCAATAAGGCCGTCCTCGCGCTTGAGGTCCCTGGCACGGATAACTTGGACGCTGATGCGAGACATGTTTTGAGTGTGTGTGTGTGTGTGTGTGTGTGTGTGTGTGGTGGGGAGGGGGTTGTGTAGGGAGAATGTAGTGTGGAAAGAGTGGAAAAGATACTGTGAAAAGTGAGGTCCACGTTGGATATTTATTTGTTCCATGTAGTAACCCCTTAATTGTGCATTCAATGTGCAGCATACAGAACCCCACTAAATTGTTAAATGTTGCTGAATGTGGCACCATTTTCTAATAACGCAATGATTACGTATTAATACCCAATTTGAGCACTGTCGCTCTTTGATGGTTTTAGTGACATCACGGCATTGTAACAGCTTTGTATGTCATAGACGTTGCGATTTTATGTCCTAACGAGTTAGGGGGATGGATGGTAGCGTCGAAAGCGGTCGACGTGATGGGCCAATTGTTGGGATGTACGGGCGCGGTCTGCGAGTAGGACAACTATGTTCTCAAGAGAGAAGTTATGAACGCGACGGTGAACGTCTGCAGCGGTTGCTTGTCTCTCCTGGTGTTCAAAAAAAGGGGGTTGCACCAGTAGAGGACTTTACAGCGTTCATGGTGACAAATTCGGCGGCGGAGAGAAGGAGATCCCAGTTGGTTGGGTCAGTTTGAGGGTGGAGTGAATCGACCAAGTTTGCCAGAAACGACAAGTGACGTCTAGAGAAACAGGCACGGAGGCAATCAAAAAAGGGCAGACAAGCCTCGGCCTATCACGACCAAGGACAACATCCACTCCTAAACTCCAAAACACCAACACTGTCCTTCTCTTTTCTCTCACACCCCAGGACCATGGATGCATGATACATAGACAATCTCCCCCAAACAAACGAACCCATTGCTCAGAATTACTTGCATCCAATCGTCAGCGCTGGCCACCTCATCCCTGCTCTTCGTATTATGACAACCAAAATCAAAAAAGCGCGCAAGCAAAAAAGCGCGTAAGCAAAAAAAAAAAGGAACATCCTCTCCCTCTTCCTCTAACGCAGTTCAGAATCAAGGCCTCGAACTCGACCTCAAAGCAACTGCGATGGACTCGACTTTGACATCGACATCGACATCGACATCGAAGCGGGCACAGCAAGGGAAGTGGACAAGAATAGACAACACGTAGATGCAAGCAGATGCCAGTTCGACCGAAATGCCAGCAGAGACAAGAATGACCGAGATGCCAGTAGTGAGTAGGATGACCGAGATGCCATCAACGAAATACTTCGCCATCCCAGAGCTGGTAGAGATCCTCGCAGAATCCTTTGACGCGTCCAGTCTGATCAACGTCGCCATGACTAATCGCTTTCTGCTTCAGATTCTAGGGGCATCTGCTCTGGCACTCCAGCACTTCCTACACTCCCACAAAAGTCGAGGGGCCATGTACATGAGCATTAGTACAGTTAGTCAGATACCTTAAGCTCCACGTCGACGCCCTCTAATATCTTGTTAGACGGCATGGCGCGGTACAGCGACGAGAATCACAACCACTCAACCACTATCGAATCCACCTTTCACCGTACCTCACGGAAAGGGAAGAGGAAAGGGCCTGCTCCTCGCCCTTGGCGCAGTCCCCTGATCGACCCATTGACGGTTCCCCTTCCACCGATAACACACCTCTGCACTTTGGACTTTGAGATGACCCACTCTCAGCGCCAGAACATCTTTCACGCGACGACGCATACACCCGTCAGGAAGGCTTTATCGAGACCTATTATCGCTCACCTGAAATACAGGGGGGATTGGAACAGACCTGGGTACTTTTACACAACACTACCTTGACTCGTATCCGGCCCAACAACTACGCCTTCCCATCCGCCGATGTATTATAACATTTCGTCCGTGCCAGTGCCTGCCTGACTTCTCTTCAGGACCTCGACCTGAACCTACGCTTGTGCGAGATGTCGTTGCACTGTATTCCGAATCCTACATTGCAATCAGCCAGCTTCTCTCGAGACCCTCCGGCTCCATTGTAGGTATTACACCGTCCACAAGTCCGACATGGTCATTTGGCAGTCAAATGAGAGCTTGCTTGCGACTGGAGATGAAACAGGGCCGACTGTGGATCAACGCGTTGGGTCGTTAAAATATCTGAGGAGCATTCGGGTCGTCATTGACCTCAAGTCGAACGGGTGACTGCATGGCGACTTTGTCGGGTCTTGTCCAGCTTTGGAGGCAATCCACCGTCCTCCTTGGCTAGGAGAGAGTTGTCGCCTACTCGTCGAAGCGACTATCGAGCGTCGCCCACGTTTCCACGAGCTGGATAACTGCGGTCACGGTTCGGCTGCTACCCTCAAGGCGCTTCCGGACCACTCCTTGGACGTTCTCAGCAATCAATATTTTTGCTGCAGCCGATGAGGTGAATCCGGTGGTCGTGATGCGGTGTTGCAGGAGCATCAGAGGGATCCGCTTGGTTCGATGCCATTATATCGATGAAAGGACCGTTCGGGGCATTCTAATGAACCGGCGTGTCCTTGAACACTTCTCTGTCGAGGATAAGAATCGATCGTCAATTCGACTGAAGGATCTGGCAGAGTGGGAGTGGAGGCCCTCCGACTCAAGGTCCTTGATATCAAGATCGAGTTGCGCCAGCGGAGGTATACCGCAGCGTATTTACGGAAACAAGGACAAGCGCGGGTCGTGACCCCTTGTCTGAGAGTCAATGCATACATTTTTTTTATTCTCACCCCTATCTTTGAATTGGAAAACGAGCAATAAAATGACTTTTTATGAACTGAACATTCTATAGAAACGAAGTGACAAAAGCAACAATGTTTTACAGGCATGTATATGTCCTTATGTCACGAAAAGGAATAGTCGTCATACGTCCTATTCCCCGTTACACTACAACAGCAGCGGCGGCAGCAGCAGCAGCAGCAGGCGCAGGACTGCTACTCCGAGCCTCCAAGATCCGCCGCGTCTCCATGTAACTCCTCGAATGAGTCGAGCTGACGGTGCCATTATCTTTCACGAGTGGCAAGAACGACGCTTGAGGACGATAACCGGCGGTTTTGGCATTGACGGCCCTCCATAGCCATGAGGGCATATGTGTTGTCACGAACTGCGACATCACCGTCTTCATATCCTATGTATGGCACATGTTACAATAAAGTCCAGTACAACGAATTAGCAAAGATCGGAATAATTAGTAAGCAGTTTCCAAAAAAATTTACCGCTTCAGTCACAACAAAAAGTGCCAAAAAAACATGCATGCCAAACCAGCAAGGATATCACACAGGATCACGAAACCGCAAAATCAGACATGGAAAACGTACAAGGGTAAAAGATACTTGGGACAGGTTCTTGCTATGAACAGCAGCCTCCTGGACAAAAGGGAACCGTTCCTCCTTGTATGCCCTGAATGCCGGTTCGATGTCGGAGACTTTTGCAGAGCGAGAGAGGACGTTGATCCAGTTTGCTAGTGTAACGACATCGTGGAATGCTTGGACAGCGCCCCGGTTCCCTGCAGGATGGATCTATTACGAGAAGCGACAGTATTTAGGAGGGCGAGTGGGTGTTAGTCAGTGAAGAAAGAGGCAGGTGCGACGACAACGAGAAAGAATCATGAGTGTGAGCAGAAGAAGGCGGCTTGATACCTTGTGACATGCTAATATCAACATGCAACAAAAAAAAAAGGTGGAATTTAGTGAAATAGATCGGCCATGGTACACAAACATAGCGCAAAAAAATGACATAGGTTGATAGGAAACAGAGAATTACTCACCGTCGCCAACAAGGACTGTCCGACCATGGTACCATGTATCAAACACTTTCTCCTCCAGCATAACCTTCGTGATCTGCGTCCTTGGTGTGCCATCAATCAAGTCCCCCAACGTCAACGACCCATCTCCACCTGGGATAGGAAAATCCCGCACCTCGTTGCACATGGTGTCTGTTGCTCCTTCCCCCCAATCTGATCGCTGCTCTCTGCTGTAGGCGGCCGAGTTTTGGACGTCGAGGTACTTTATGACGCCCCAACAGATCACATCGTCCTTGGTTGTGAATGTCATCCACTAGCAATATGCAAAATGTGAATTAAAAAGGGGTCAAAGCTCGGCGCAGAATTCACAACCCGCAAATAAGAAAAAAAGAGGGTTCTAAACGGACAATGTACTTACAGAGTAAGGGATATCGATTGTGTGGGTATCATTATACTGACAGACCTCATCCCACAGGGCTGGGAACTTTTCTTTCTCAAGAGGACCGGAATGTCCCACAAGGCAGATACAACTATACGGCAAATCTTCCGCATCCGACCGCGACAGCTTCCCTATCCGATCCACGGTGTCATACAGACAATGTCGGACTGCGCTGTACGCCCCATCGGCGCCTACAAGGATGTCTCCCTCGTGGTGTGTTCCGTCCGCGAAATAGATGATCGCCCTTTCATCGTCCTGGTAGAGTGAGACCATTTTCTTGCCTTTGTGGATCCTGTCTTGGGGGACTTTGTTCAGTATGATGTTGTAGAGTGTCGTGCGAGGGATGACTCTGTTTTTGTATCCTCCCCTAGTTTGGATGCGAGATTTGGTAGAGTGACAAGGAGGATGAGTATGACTTGCACTAAAGATTAAATAACAAGGAAGAGGCACACACAAAATGCTGGAGAAAAGAGGTCCTTACATCTCTGCGGCGAGTTTGAAGTCCCTGGTGAACTGCAACTCTCGGGCGTCGTCATAAATGTTGATAGTCTCGCATGACTTGGACTTGTCCACGAACTCATCGTATATCCCGAGCTGAGTAAACAACGGACTAACCTATATACAATAGGAACCAGATCTTTAAGGTGAGATATGAGAGAGTTCCGGCAAATTGAAATCATCTAGTTCGCCATAAAGGTGAGGTGTGGTTGCCGAGTCCTTACATTAGAGCCAAACATCATAGCAGTTCCTAGAGTGATTAAGAGGAAAGAAAAGTAGAAGGGAGGGAGTAAGTCTCAAACACCTCTGCCTCTGACCCTCGTTTTGGGTTCTTTTACAGAAAAAAAAGCGCCATACTCTTCTCTACCACTCACCAACGGTTCGAGTGTCGAGACCCCTTTCAAAGATGTCGTAGGGCACCTCAGCCTTTTGGAGCAGGATCGCAAGTGTGAGGCCTACGTTGATTTCATTCACACAGTCACGGAAAAAAAGAAATGCTGTCAGGTCCATGTAAATCACCAATCACCTGGCAGGAGGTGAGACTGATAAAGTAATCTGACCAGTAATTTACCAGCGAGACCAGCACCGACGATCAACACGCGAGGCTTGTCATCGATCGTCGAAGGCGGAGGTGTGTTCTCTGGTGAAGTTGCCATTTTTTGAAGGTAGGAATGGAAGGAATGTAAGAGAAAAAGTTGATGGATGGAATGAAAGTGAGCAAGAGAATTGGTCGAAATGCCGAATCACTTTTAATCCGACTTTTTGCGCCCATGCCATTTTTGGGCTCCCACTTGCAACAAAATGTAATAGAGTTCCAACGGGAGGGAAAGCGAAACCATCAAGATGTCATCATCATTCCAGTCCTCGGATGTACGTTCGTTCCCTTTGTGCCTTCCTTGCACGAATCTATTGTACCACTACCGCAAGACACGCCGCTCTTCGTCTTACATCCTTCTCATGGAACAAAATTGACCATCAAGAGATAACGGATCTCCGGTGGGTATGTTTGCAACGAACATAAAAAATAGTGGCACACCCACACATCATTCCCTCTCTCTCTGTCTTTGTTTTGCCACATGCGCAATTGTGAGCTGTTGTTTCTCGGAACTTAAACTTTGCCTCCTTACATGACCTGATTGGGACATATCCGAAATGCGACAAGGGCACAAAAGCGAGAAAGAGAAAGACGGAAAGCAAGCATGCAATGCCAAGGGGTGTGCAAGTAAACTACATCGACTATCCGAAAATGGGGGCCATCAAAAAATAAGTGCAAGAAAACAAGAAAAGGCAGGACGTAGGTGGAAAACACCATCACTTGCAGAAAGAATGATGTCCAGCGTTTCTCCACGAAAACTATGACGAATGGTGTCTACACAATCGAGCTTACCCATCTGCATAATGTTTATGATAGAGGGAGGACTCTTTCCACAAAATGTTTTGAGGGGTTCAAGTAAGGAGCAAGGGTCGCAAAGGTGGCATGTGCATAATTCAGGATGGGGATGACATACAGAATATAAGGGATGTATGTGGAGAGGGAGGATTTTGGCATGGACACTTAAAGATGCTTGAGTTTGAAAAAAAAGGAGGTCAATTGAGGGACACTTTACTTAAGAGGCAAGGTTTTGTTTATCGGCGATATTTGATGCAATTCCAAAGGAGAGAAAGACAGAAAAAGAGGGTAGTGAAGTCCTTTTCCGATTTCAGGGGAAGGAGGGAGACGACGACTGAATGTGTGGTACAAACGGAAGGCAACGACTAGAAATGTATGTGATCCTAGGATGGTGCTAGGCTTAGTACAAGGGAGCACAAAGTGACAAGAAAAGACACACAAAAGAGAGGGAGACCCCCTTGCGTATTTCTGCCCCTCTCCCTTGAATTCTCCTGTTACTGTTTTACTACAGGCACATACACACAAGAACAGACACTTGCAATCAAACCAGAAGATATATTAGGGTTGATCCTCCTCGCTCCCAGTCTCTCTTCCTTCTTTATTTCTTCTTTCCACCCCATTCTCACTTCTCGATCCTTTCCCACTCCCTCTCCTTCGCACAACAACAACAACCACACAAACAGCAACAACAACAACATGAAGATTGCGACCATTTCCATTGCTCTTGTTGCGATGACTCTTGTGTTCACAGAGGGTAATTACTACAGCCCATCCACTCGCACATCTGTTCAAACTAACGCGACAAAAAGATACTGCAATATAAAGTACTAACACAACCTTTCTCGCGTCATGGACAAACACAATTAGCTCTCACCCTGCATGCTCGTAGATCTGATACAGCCAGCTCCGGTCAAGGCAAGAGCGGTGTGGACACCTTCTCCTCGACAAGCCACAGCGTCAAACGTACAACACCCGACCATTTCTCCTCCTCTCCCACGACGCTCAAGGACCGCTTGGCCACTATGCGCCAAGATAAGAAGGGCGCTGAACCCGAGTCCACTAAGGAAGCACAAGAAGGCCAGGAAAAGCGAGACGACAAAGCTCCTTTCGAGCCAGCTCCAGTATATACCTGTCAACAATATATTAACGGAATCGAGGCTGTTTTGAAAAGTGTCGAGGTGTCTATGCATGAAGTCCACAAAGAGGTGACCGACCGCAAGCCCGCCCAGGATGTTCCCTCCAAGCTAAAGGAGATCAAGGACCTGGTCGCCCAGACCAGAGCGGATACCACGGCAGCAAAGAAGACTAAGTACAAGACCAAAACGACAATGGACACTCTTATTTCGACCGCCACCAGCTTGTACACAAAATTGGGCAAAAACAGGGTTCATCTTGGAGAGGCCACGTCGCAGGCTTACGAGGATCTAAAGATGAATGCAGAAAACATCAAGAGTTATGCCGAAGGCTATGTCAAGAAGGGCTGTGTCGTCGCCGTTTGATGTTAAAGGATGCGACCTGTTTACAACTAGATCCCTCTTCGATTTTTCTTATTCCTTTACATTTTGCTATTAAAACTCTTTAATTTGTAACAAAGAGTCGATGGATGGTATTGTGGATACGAAAGGACAAAGGGCAAGAGATAGAGAAAAAACTAAAGATATATAAAGGACACAAGGGTTTTGGCAGTCCGACCTTGCAAGATGATCGCCTCATGGAACGCAGTCTCGTCAACAGCATATTTGCCAGGCAGGACACGACACAATATCATGCAGGTACTGTACTCGATTCCCATCTGACATTTGCATGCACGGATGCGGACCTTGGCCGACGCTTGAGCATTGACCAGCGCAACGAATCCTGTCTCTCCATACTTCAGGTCCAGGTTATGGTTAAGGTCAATTGTTGCCTGATTGGACACGCTGTACCCATACCCAAGGAACGACTTGTTGAGTGTCAACCCGGCCTCAAAGGGTTTGGCGTCCGTCTGGACCGAGAGCCCGACCTCGGTGCTATGTGTGGACACAACAGTGACAGACTGAAAGAGCCCAATGACACAAGTTGGGGTAGAACAGGCAATGGCTTTCGAGACCTGCTTGGCAGGGATGAGTTCGATGACAGGTGAGGTGAGGACCTCGACGACGCAATAGTAGTAGATCAAGTCCGAGTTGGAAGGTTGCTTGCACATGGTTTCGTGGAGAACTAAGAGGTATTTGGTATGATCGTAGGTGAACTCGAGTTCCTGATCGATGATGCCTTGCATCTGGGTATTCATGTCGTCGAGAATCCTGGTCTTGTTTGCTGGGAGGTAGATGATTCCATTGTCGTCTATTGCAGTAGTTGCCGTGTGAGAATGGTGGCGAGGGAAGGCTGATTGAAGTGGAGCGGCGGAGGTTAAGGTTGGCGGAATCCAAGTCCCGAGGAATGCGAAAAGTCCGACCAATGAGAAGTCGAGGAGAGTCCTGCGCATGTCGATGATGTTGCTAAAATTGAACAAGGTTGTTCTTGGTCAGCTTATCTGATCATCACATTTAGGCTTAAGCGTAAGATTAGATGTGGGAGACGAGAACATGCAAGTGGGCAAGGATGGGCGAAAGAGCAATTACTTTTTAAGGAGAGGTGAGCAAAAGCTTAGTGTAGTTGTAAAGGAAGGAGGGAGAGTGAGGAATAAAAATGAGGAGGATAGACACTCAACGTCGACACTTTATACCAAAGTTATGGAAGTAAGAAGAGGGGTCGACCGTAGACACAATCCTGTTTTTTTCCCTGTCTTTCCTTTTTCCTGTTCATCATCGGCGCCAGTCTCAATGGCGCCAAGAAAGACAAGACTATTCTTCTTATACAAACCTGTTTATTTGTTGTTTATTCTTGCTACTATGCAGACGTACATCGGCTTCTCATTATACACGCTTTGGCACTATTGGCTCACATGCCATCATCGACGTAATACATGTTTACAAAGAAATTTCTCACGCCATTGGGCATGAGAGGGGGAAAAAGCGATGGGCACAACATGTGTGCCACTTGGCGCCCCATTTGTTCCTGTTAATACCAATGCCTTGATACGCTCGCAAACAGCCTTGATACACACACAAACAGTAAAAAAAAACAGGAACGACCTCAAAGGAACAACCTTGTTATGAGTTGTCGAAATGCTTGCTTGTACGATAAAGACAAAGGCGAGGAAGGAGAGACAAGGGACGACGGATGGGTGTTAGCGGAGAGGTCAACTCGGTCGTCAGTCAGCAATCAAGGGAGGCTATAACCAGGTGTGGTGTGTATGGTATCGTATTTCAATTTTTGCCTCTTTACTACCTACTATTGGAGAGAGAAGGACATGTGTGTTGTTGCCATGGCAATGATGGGACTGGATCCGTCGTTTTCTTCGAAGAAGGGTATGAGGTATATGCATATTTGTATGAAGTGGAGAAAAGGAGACGAAAGCGTTGTGATAGACGTTGGCTTGTCTTGCTTTTCCCACTTTCTCCTTGCTACCTTCCTTTGGAAAGAAAACAGAGGTCGTTGTTGTTGTGGTTGCCAGTGTACACAAAAATAAGGATTAGATGCATTTAGTATTTGTCTTTCTTCATTGTCATTCTTCCTTTGTTTGGATGGAAAGAGGAGGGTCATCTCCCTTGCTTCTGGCTTGTCCTGTCTTTTCTGCCTTCTTTTGGATAAACAAAGAGAGGACGACTGTTTGCGTGTCCGTGTCGCTTCCTGCCCATTGTTGTTATTATTTCTGTGCGATGGTGGTGATTCATGCTAAAGAATTAAAGACGCGGAACATTTGCTTTTTGATCCATTGTTCATATTTAATGCCCTCTCACAGGATAGTAATTTGTCTGAGAGGATCGGCTAGGACAGGATCTCCGTCCTTCGCGAGAGCAACTATTCTTACTACACAGATGGTTTCTCGTCCAGCAGTGGCTGGTATGGTGACAACAGATATCCCCCTCCCGCCTACAACAGAACCCACTCCATACAACAACTCTCGCGACAGGAATTACCGCAGATATGACCGCGAGTATGGAGAGCGATACGAAAACCTCAGCAGAGGTCATCTCAGAACAGCAATAGTTTTCGCGACTGAGACTGCAACGGATACGACCACCGAGAGACAACCACAACCACAGACACGACTACCCCTGAAGAAACCTCTCCAGTGCCAGAGAGGCAGACAGAGGCAGACGCCGAGAATCAACCTGGACAGGAACAGACAAGGAGCAAGGATGCAGATAGGAACACCACGATCAGACCATCTAGTGCCAATATTCACCCATACATTCCCATTCATCAAGGCGACCGCCTTCACTACGATCACCAGGCCCACGTTCCCTCTCCGCTTGAATTCGGAACAGATTTGTCCCTTGTGAGGAAGGTCCCGACACCTATCCCCATGTACTGGGACGGGCCTACTTCATCACTTCAGTAACCATACCCTCCTCTGCTACCAACACCCAGCAACTCAAGCTCATCTTCAGCATCTACCTCAAAAGTGGCCTTGCCTCAGTCATCTATAGGACAGTCGCCTCCGCCCCCACAAAACACAACCTGAGATACCTCTGAGATCCTCGTTGCAGCAGTACATGCTCATAAAGTCGCGTTCGTCCTTAGGCAACTAATAGCGACCTCTATCTTGAACATCATGTTCGCTGAGCTCTTAGGTAAATACCCTGTTGGGGTCTCACCCGATGTACCTTGCTGAGGCTGACATCTTGTTTGCCGAGAACCAATTGCAGGAACAGACGCCCACGCCATAGTCGAGAGCAAGGTAAGAGACGAAAGCGCAGTAGCATGTGCTTCCTTTCTCTCTCACGCACACACAGTCCTCTCTCATTTACATTGTAGATGACCTTGGTGTGGTATTGATCGCTTCTTCGCGAAGTGCTGTTTTTTCTTCGCCTTTTCGTTTGTTTTGCTTTTCCTTTTGAAGAGTTCTCCCTGACCTTTAACAGAATAACACATCAACAAATGATTATGGTCGGTTGCACAAAGAAAATTACAAGGGAACTGAGGAGATTTTCGACGTTATCTTGCTACCGATACTAAAGGTGCTGTACCATTGTCTATCTGTCCCTTTGTTTTTGCCATCTATCACTTTGCTGTTTTTTGTTTCGCCAACTGTCACCCTTCAGTTTTACTGCTTTACCGACTGAAATTTTATCACCTTTTGCTTTGCCAGCTGTCACTTATCAACAGGGAACAGGGCCAACTGGCTTGCGTCAGTCAGGCGTTCATAGGGACGATGCCTTTTGATCCTTCAATGTTGGCCCTTCCTATCACACGCTTACTAAGAGATTACGTGAGCTAGCCAGAGACCCGAGACCGACTCGTTTTTTTCGTTTATCTATCACCTGGCAACTCAATAATGTTTTTTTTTTTTCACATAGCTAATACCTTTTGCTATCACCCTCAGCATCAAAAAAAATTCTCTTCATTGCACTCACAATTGCCTCCTTCTTAAGATCACAAAACTGTCAGATTTGTCAAGCCGGAGGCGAGGAAGTTTGGGTGCTTAACTTATATATTGCGGAAAATCACTACATACAACGTGACGTTTAGGATGGCTAAGATATGTTTGGGTGGCTATGTAGAGTTATATTGATAGTCGATTTGAAGGGGGGAGGGGGAGGAGCAGTGTTGGTGTCAGAGGTTTGTGATGAGAGTCCTGAGAAAGCTCTCCAATCCCACTTCGGTCGTATTCGCCGTTGTTTGAATGGTGTTGATGAGATAGGTAGTGAGTTTCTTGGCAAAGTCATTGAAGATTGTCATGGGATCGTTCTTTTTAACGAGCGCGTTTAGCAGCCTCTCCTTGGACTGGACTCTGATTGTTTCGTAGGCTGACTCAAGGGCCGGGTTCAGTCCTTTTGATTGGCCTGCAAATGCTTGGATCGTATTAAGTCGCAAGTAGTCCTGCGAGATACCCAGCGTCGCAAAGAAGGGGTGCTTAATGACGGATTGGATAATCTTGTCTTTTTCGACGGTGGGAACTACCAACGAAAAACGACTATGTGCCAGGTTTATGAAGGGCGACTTGACACAAAAGCACACGGGTATTCTAGATGCCATGGTTCAACCCTCCCTCACTACATTTTTTAAGCCCTCATAAATTTGAATAGTATATATCCTATATGCGAGCCTGGAACCTTATTTTTTAAAAAAAAGTATGCGAAAGGAGAGGAATATCCTATTGGGGATTATCCTACAGGGGAGGTCCGATTGTGTCCGTTTCTAGCCTTTCCTCTCGTCCCCACTACTATCTCTCTGTTCCTTGTTCATACACTCTTGCTCTGCTCCTATTACCCTTTCATTTGGCGCTCGGGTCAGTCAACGATAACCCGAGCTCTGTCGGGAAATCATCCACTCGCCCGAGAGTCCGCCAGACCTCTAATGTCGTTCAGTGAACGACATGTTGATAACTCCACGTTCACAGAATCAAAACCAAAAACAAGAGAAAGTGGAGGGTGCCTCTCATGAGCAAATAGTTATTTATTGTCAAGGATGGAGACAACGAGATAAAAAGAAACAACAAAATATAATGTGTGATTCGGTAGTAAGGACATCTTTGGAACGAGGTCGACGCTTCCCTTCGCAGGCATTACCCTGATCAGGTGATAAGAGTATTTCTCAGCCATATGGGGGACCATGCCTTTTGATCGGCACAACCACCCAAAAGCACCTCTAGCATCGACCAAACCTTGTCGTCTCTATTAGTGAAGAATTGCCCGATACCAGACCCCACCGAGCAAACGGTTGGGAAAAAGGAGGAAAGGCCAGGGTTAGAAAATTGGTCCATAATACCACAATACAGCGCAGAGTTCATTTTTGCCAATCGCAAAAAAACAAAAGGTTACACTCAGGGTTTGATTCTGTCCCCCTTCTTTACGCCTCAACAGCAGCAACACGCAAGTCCGCGCCGCGGTCGCAGCCACCACACTTGGCCAGCACGCCAGTATCGATGGTTGGGTGGATGAACCCCGAGGGGGTATCGGGCTGCATAGGCCAGGTCAAGAACTCGTTGGTCATGTTCTGGACAAACGAGTCGTCGACAATCTCGAGTCGCTTGCAGTACCGGGTGACCTTGTCCCAGTCACGCTGGACGTTCTTGAGGTCGCGCGACATGTAGCGGAAGGAGCGTTGGTAGATCTTGCGGTTGACAACAGAGTCCATGTGGGGCTTCATCTCGACAAAGAGCTCGTAGGCGGCGGCAGGGTTGGCAAACATGTAGTCTGCACCGCGCTTGATAGCCTTCATGAAGGACGCGACCTTTTCGGGGTTGTTGTTGATAAAGGTTTCATTGCCGATGAACAGGATCTGAAAGGGATAAGATGGGCCCAAGGAAAAGGTTAAGGTTCAATAGGTGTTAATGCAATGATACGCTTTTCTGAGTGAGGTTGTGTGGTTGGCCAAAGAAATAACAAAGCAAAACAAACAAACAAAAAAACTTACCGAGCAGAAACAGCAGCATCCCAGTTCAGCAAGCTCATCAATACGGAGCATCTTGACATCATCACGAGAACGACCCTGAAGGACAGACCACTCCTCCAGCTCAACCATCTGGACATTCTCAAGACCAATACCGGCATCAATCTCGCCACGGATGATCGCACCGGTGACGTTCATGCCGACACGGACAGCAGTGTAGTCAGCAGGGACCATGCCATAGTACTTGGTCAGCTCATCGAGCTGGATCTTTCCAAACTCGCCGACGTATCCGATACGCTTACCCTTCAAGCTCTGGAAATCAGTGGTAATACCGCTCTGGGACTCGAGGTAGACGACGCCGGTGAAGGGCTCGTCAAGGAAGGTGCCGATAGCCTTGATGGGGAACCCACGGGCCTTGCCGGCGATGGTGTGGATCATGGCCTTGCAGCCGAGGTCGACCTTGCCGGAACCAATGATCTCGGTCACGTCCGAGGGGTTGTTGGGCTCGAGGATCGCAACCTTAATGCCCTCCTCCGTAAAGTAGTTGAGCTTCTCGGCGAGGAAGAGGGGCAGATGGTAGGGCGTGGCGTGCCAGTTCAGAAGGCAGGTAATCTTGTCGGTCGACATGGTTGTTTCGTTGATGGATGGGTGGAGAAGAAAGGGGAGAGTCAAGGTAGAAGTGAGAAGGTGCAGGTGTGGATACAAGCAAAGAAAGGGAAACGATGTTGGGGAGTGCGGCGCTCTCTATTTATCTCTCGCAGGCATGAGCCACTCCCGAGATGTGACCCGTTCCCACGGTCATCGAATGATTATGACTCGAAATCTTTTTCCAACATGGACAGGCAGTCAGCCCGACCATCCCTTTCTCTCTCTCTCTCTTTCTCTCTCTCTCTCTCTTTCTCTCTCTCTCTCTCTCCCTCAACACCCTCCATGTCCTTTATCTCTCTCGTTCTTTCTTGATTCCGATAAGGCGCACCATCTCCCTTCAAAAGGCCGTCCACTGTTAATAGCAAAGATTTCGATCCCCGCCCGCCCCGCGCAAAGTGATGGGGGACAAGGGATGGCCGCGAAAAAAAGACAAGAAGGCTAGTCCAGTCTGTTTATCGCCGCCCGTTCTCTCACTCGTTCACGCTGTGGACGGATCGTGATCACGTAGACCATTTCCAATGTGCTCGGGCTCCAGTCGGCAGGACAGGAAGGAAGGAGCGGGGCTAAAGGAGAGGCACAAGCACTCTTTGTTTCTCAATCCACACAAACAGCAACCTCCAAAAGAGAATGACACATCGTGACATTCGAGACACCTAACCTGAGGAGAGAGAGAGGCAATCAAAAGGTCGTAGACAGCGCAATGGATGAACGACATCTTCCGTCAGAATAGATTTTCGCCTTCACAAAGCTCAGGACCCTCGAGCGCCAACTATTCATCACACAACAACGTACAGATGAAAAAATAATAAAACAACGCGTCTATTAAAACTCTATCCCCTCCCCTTTTCTCGAGGGCACCCAACTCAAAACCTCCCCCTCCCTTGATCAGCCCCTCTCCGCCCATCAACAGTATCCTCCCTATACCGCCCCGTAATCTCCCTAAACATCTTCTTACACTCAACCCGTGCTCCCAACTTACTACACAACAAAAACGCCCCCGCCATCTTCCTATGCATCGAATACGTCTCATCCGGCGGCGGCGTTAACCTATATCTCAACATCGTCGGGATCTGGTCCTTGACCCTCTGCGTAATCGTCTGGTACTTGAAATCATACAAATCCGGGGAGCTCTCCTGGAAAGGCTCCGAGAGCGTCAACAATGACTCAATATGCGCATTTTCCATCACGGGCGTCTCATCCCCCGTTAAGAACCCCAGCTCTCTCGAATACTTCAAACACCCCTCCCGATCCCCCGCCGCGCCTGCAAGGATAGTCTTCAAATACAGACTCGTAAACCTCTGTTCGAAACCCCTCGTTGCTCCAAAATCCAACAACTCCAGCTTGGTCGACACGGGGTTATACAAGAAATTCGTCCAGTTGGGATCCGTCTGCATGTACTGGAAATCAAACAGTTCTCTCAGACAGAGACTCATGACTGCAGTTCCGATCCGGTCCCTGGCAGCCTGATCTCGCGTCTGCATGGCCTTCATCATCGTCTCGCCCTGCATCCACTCCATCGTCAACACCATGGGCCCGGACGCCTCCCTAACAAGTCTGGGAACTGCAAAGTCCGGATCATCCTTCAACAGCTTCCCAAACTCCTCAATGCAATCCGCCTCTCGTAAATAATCCGTCTCCCATCCCAACTCGCGCTGCGCAACCTTGATCGTATTATCAAGATACATCCCACGTGGGAGGAGGCTCGACATCAAAACCAGGGTCTTAATGTTGGCAAGGTCAGAGTCGATCGAGGCGGCTACTCCAGGGTACTGCACTTTGACGGCAACGGGCATGCCAGTGGCACGATGAATCGCCTTATGCACCTGGCCAATCGACGCAGCTGCAATTGGTGTCATGCCGAACTCTGAAAATTCGCTCTCCCAGTTTGACCCCATCGTCTGACTCATCACTTTCTAGTCACGTCAATTTAAATAAAGCACATGTTAGTAGATCTTTCTTTACTAGTTCTTCCCGCGTACATCAATGCGGCATCACAAGGTTGAGCGGCAAAGAGACAAAATGACGTTACCCGCATCTGTTTCTCGGGCATAAAGTTGGCACTATTCTGCACCCGCAACAACACCTCCTCTAACTCTGTTGGTAGCATCTTGTTGTCTATCATCCCCAAAAAACAACCATCCATTCCAAGTCAGTCAGTGCACATCTTCAAAACAAACCCTCACTCACATTGAGCGGAAAAACAACAACGACAAAACAGTACCTTGAATACTCAACATCTGGCCAAGCTTGAGAGCAGCACCACGCATCCGGGTGAGCTTACTGACTAACCGATCCATATTCGCCGGCGTCAAGAACACCGGTGACTCGGTATTCGTAGTGCCCCTCCCCACCGACCTCCTAACCGTTTCCGTGAACGCTCCTACTCCCAGTGACGCCGCCAGTCCTATATTTCGAATGAGAGCGTAAGAAAACATCGTCGTAAATAAATGTAAACTTGACAAGCAACATTGGGTCCCGATCGTCCCAGTTCTGTTTTCTCCAAAGCCCTACAACGACAAGAACCATTTTTTTTGCTCCAGAAATGTCCAACAGCGTTAAAAAGTTCGTACCTCCATAGTGCAAGAGACGGCTGACACGAGAGGTGGGCATGGCAGCAGCAGTCAGGTTCTTCTTGACCTGCTCAGCCCGGATCTCCTCCTCCATGAACTGTGTCGCCGGGTCTACTTCAGCCGCAGCAGAAGCAGGAGCAGTGGCAGTAGCAGTCGCCTTGACAACAGGTTCTACAACACGTTTCTCAGGCACAGCAGCCCCCGCTGCCGTCGCCGTGGGAGCCACAGGTTCCGCAAAAGAAGCTCCTGATCCCGATCCAGAAGTCATATAAGAAACATCTTCAACCACTGTCTGGCTTGCTCCTGTTCCCTCATCATCATCCTCCAAACTCTCGCCATCCTCCCGAATCCCATTCAAAGACTCATAAACAACCATCCCAGGCCCCAACCTCTCCTTCTTCACCCACTCCCGTTCCAAATCTGCAGTGCCCCAATTCAACCCCGTAGTATCCTCCGCAGCCATCGAGTCCAACCACCTAGACTCCCTCAACAGTGTCTCCAGCGCATCTTTGTTTATGGGGATTTCCTTCTTCCCTGCTGCTCCTGAGGGTGTCGGTACTGTTGATGATGGTGTGGGCGTGTATCCCGATCCTGGTAGTGATGCTGATGTTGATGAAGGAGGGGGAGGGGGGATGGTAGTAGTGACGGTGGGGCGGCGGTTATACCCATGCGCCGCAGGGGTCGCCAAGAACTCGGGGTCCAGCAATGATGGCTGCTCGATCGACGCCGGTCCCTGTACGCTCCTGCTGCTGCTCACCACCGGTGCTGCAGCCTTGATGGGTGTAGGCGAGGTAAACAACTGATCAATCCACGACGTCGTGGGGGGCTGGTACGTCCTTCCTGTCCCTGTCTTCGTCGTTGCTCCTTGTACTGCAGAAGTAGCCTTCGTCGGTTCTCCTGCTGATGATGAAGAGGCGGTAGTGGTGGTGGTGGGAGTAGAAGACTTCTTGAGGAGGCTCGAGGTGGCAGCATAGGATTTCAAGTTCTGAATCTCGAGACCCATAAACTTTCTCGAGACATTGGCTCCAATGGTCGCGAGGGCTTGCACATCTGCGAATCGACGTGCTGACATTTTCCTTGTTGTCTTGGTTTTGTAGTTGGTAATGTAAATGTGCTGCTAGGTATATGCGAAGAGAGGGAGCTGATTCCTTGTGTGGTGTTCCGAGATTCCCGTGCTGCTGGGCTTCCAGGGGGTATGTGAATGTCGCGACAGGTGGGGGCGTGAGAGAGTTTAAATATGTTGGTTTTGTCCTTTCTTGACGAAATGCCCCTGTGAAAAACAAAAAGTGACTGTTTCCAGGAACGGATCAGATCGGGCATTCCGTTACGTCCATCAACACCGCATGAAATATCAACCGTGTCTCCCTCTCTCTCTCTCTCTCTCTCGTCTCATCCAATCAATGCTTTCCTTCAAGGTCGCGTTGTCGATGCTTTGTTCTCTTGTAGTGTAAGTTTAGTCCTATGTGCTTGCCCCCTTGTCTTCATGATCATTTCAGACCTACTGTAAATCCCTAGAGTCTTGCATGGCGAGCCATTTCGTATCTACCGATCGGAAAATAGTGTGTAGCCTAAGTGTGCACCATCTTAGTATAAAATCAAACGGTGTATTATCAACGGATAACACCAATGGCTCGGCATTCAAGAGGCAGCACCAAAGGACAACATCAAAGGATAACGCCAAGGAACAACATCAAGAAAGAAGACCAAAGAATAATGTCAAAGGACAACACCAAAGGGCAACATCAAACAATAGCATTTGCAAGTAATATAATAGGGTTTGCTCTAAAATGTGCTAAAGGGGGTGGGGTGATCTAAGAAACAACACGCCCTTTCTACCCGCCTCACTCGTCGTACTGGCGCCGGGCGTTGGTCATTTCATCAATCATCTTCTCGTACTCATCCAACTTTTGCGAGTTGCTCATCGCAGACCCCGCCTCTAACCTCGAAGGACCGCCACCAGCAGCAGTTCCTCCAGCACCATTATTCCGTCCGTTCATCCTGCTCTGGAACGACGAAGAAGTCGGTGACCGCATCGACTCTCCCGACGTCGACGATGGACTCGTCATATGTGACCGTGAGCTCATTCCGGACAAGGGCGGCGATGTCGCATACGAAGATGAGTTGTTGTTCGTCATCGTACGATACTGTCCATGTCCTTGCTGTTGCCCACCATGTCCGTACCCATGTCCGTGCCCATGTCCATGTCCACTACTCTCCATGAACCGCATATAGTCATCTCCACCCCCAGACCCACCATGGACACCCATCAAAGCGCTCAAAGAAGCAACGCTGTTCCGTACAGACTCGGGAGCCGACTGAAAGTTATCCAACAGCAACGAGATCTTGTTCTCCGACGCCTGCAACTGCTCCTCCAGATCCTTGTTCGTCCTCTGCAGACTCGAAATCGTCCTCTGTGCATTTTCCATCGACGCCTCCAATCCCGCACTGCTATTGGGAGAAGACTTATTCTTCTTCAAGGCATCCAAGGCATCTTCCAGTTCCTGACCCGTAACCTTGTTCAGCTCATGCGCCTGCTGCAACTCCTCCTGACTCAGATCCAACTGCTTCTTGGTCTCGGCCAACGATCGCTCCACAGCCTCCAACTGACCCTGCGAGTACGATCCGGTCTGGTTCGAAAGTGCCTTGATCTGCTTTTCCAACTCAACCGAGCGCTCATGGGAAATGTGCAATTGGCGATGAAGATCCGCAACCTCCCCCTCCAACTCTGCAGTCAACTCTGTTCCAGAACCAGAACCAGCGCCAGACGCGCACTGGGCATGCTTGGCCTCAAGATCCTTCAAGCTGGCACGGAGAGCATCCTTTTCTTCCTTGGCAGCCTGGGCCTCATCACGGAGACGTTGGAGCTTGGTCTCGGTGCCCTGGACATAGTGCATGGCAGTCTGGTAATCGGCCTCCAACTGCTGAATACGCCCTTCCAGTCCGACCTTCAACTTTGTCAACTCTTCGACCTGCTTGTCCGCCTCCACCGCACGCTTCTCGGCCTCCTGGACCTTTTGCTTCAATGGCAAAACAGCACCTCCAGCCGCCGAAGACCTGCCATCAGTAGAAGACGCGCTACCCTTGCTTAAGGCCTCCAGAATAAAATCGTCCGCCTGCATACCGTTATCCATCATGACTCCACGGAGCAATCCCAGCTGAGCCTCATTGTTCTCCTGCTCCTTCACCATCTCTTCGATCGCCTCCTCCTTCCGGATCAACTGTGCCTGCAATATCGTGACCTTGCCACGGTGCTCGGTCAACTGTCGCTGGGCAGTCGCAGCCTCGGCTCTGGCAGTCATCGATGTCTGCTCAAGCTGCGAAAGACGTAACATAGTGTCTCCCAAATCCCTGTTGGCAACAGTAAGTGCATCCTGCGACTCCTTGAGCAAGCCACGAAGAGTTGTCAGCTCATGTTCCAATTCTGCGAGTCGGGAGGCCGAAGTAATAGCCATGATCGAGTCGTGCTTCCTGTCCTTGCTCGTAGGGCTGTAGGCGGCATTCATGTCCTCCTCTAGCAAGGTTCGCATGGTCTCGTTCTCCTTCTTGGCCTTTTGCCACAACAGCTCTGTCTCGCTGGCCTTGGACCTCCAATGTTCCGACTCCCGCTGAGCACGATCCATATCCGCACGCACACTGGCCATCTCCAACTGGGTCTCGTCCATATCCCTACGCGACTGGTTCCACATGTTGTCAGCATGCTCAGCACGCTCGTTGGCAACAGAGTACGCCATCTTGACCTTGTCCAACGACTTTTTCTGATGTTCGACTGTGGTCTTGAGGGTCGAGATCTGCGAGAACAAGGCCGCGGACTGTTGTTGGTAGCTTGAAAGCCCTGCTTCGCTGGTGGCGCTCTTGGCAACGGTCTCACGGAGGGAGGCTTCAGCAACGGAGGCACGTTCATGGAGGTTGGTCAACTCCGACAAGGCGCGGGTGTGAGCGATCTGGGCATCATCGGCTCTCGAAGACGCCTCGCGTTCACGATCCTCCGCCGCCTCCCTCGAATGCTTCTCGTGCTCCAAGATCGTCTCGTACTGCACAAACTGAGCCTCGTACCTGTCCAGCTGAACCAGGGCGCTCGTCAGCCTCTTTTCCAGATCCGTCGCCCTCGCAGTCTCTGTCGAGACCAAAGCCGAAACCTCTCCAGACTCCAATGCACTGACCTTGGCCTTGAGGTAGGCAGCCTCCTGCAGAGCCGAGGTACGGACACGCTCGGCCTCACGGACCTTGTTGGATGCGATCTGCGCCTGGGTTGCAATAGTGGTCTTGGACCTCTCCAGCTCAGCCTTGACATTCAAGAGCGCCTGCATGATGCGATATTTCTCACTGTCGACCTCACAATTCTCCAGCTCATCCTCCAGTGCCATGATCGCCATACTAAGGGGTCGGTCGCCAATCTTTTTGCGAGCCATCGATACCTCTGCCATCAGCCACTGCTCCCTCTGCTTGAGATCCTTGAGTTCGCTGCTGTTGTTGTTGTTGGACGACGAAGTCGACGAAGATTGATGATAGTTCCTGTTGACCATCTCGGACTCTTGATCAGAGTTGGGGACCCTCAAGGGCGAGCGTGAGTCGGTAGAACGACTATTGACCTGACTCGTGTTGGCAGTCGCGGTTGAGGCATACGGTGATCCCTGGCGGTTCAAATCGAGATGCGAGAACTGCGCATGAATCGACGTCGAGCTCTTCTGCTGCCGGATCCCATTCGACTGGTTATACGCGACGGCGAGACGATCCTCAGGATCCACTCCTCCTGTTGAACCTCCATGGATACCATGATGAAGCGAAGCGCGTTGAATCTGTACAGGGCTGGCCCGTGACATTTCCAGATCCAAGCTCTCGTTGACTGGTGGGCGACGCACCTCATCAATCGACAGAGTACCACGGACTTCGGCCTCGGGAACAACATACCCGACCGGCTTGCCAATCGTCCTACGACGGGCCACATGGGTAGCCTCATTGAACTCGATACTCAAACGAGAGGGCGAGCTCTGATTAGTTTGTGAGTCATCTGCGGGGGTGAGTCTCGAGCGCGATCCGTTCATGTCAGACTGAGAGTACACTTGATCCTGATGATCCTGCTGACGTTGCTGCTGTTGGGGCTGGTTCTGGTATCTCTGCTGCTGGTGCTGTTGAGGTTGCTGATGAGGCTGTTGTTGACTAGCATACGAATCTGACCTGTCGATGTGCTGTTGTTGTTGTTGTTGTTGTTGTTGTTGTTGCTGATAGGGACCACGTCGAGAGTCACCAGAATGACCACTCTGGTCATGTCCAGCAACGCGCTGTGAGTCCGTTGTGTGAGAGGGCCGGCTGTACGATGAACTCCTGTCATCCATGCCCATATCTGTGCGAGCCGTGCTCTCGTTGTCGTACGCCGATCTCTGCGATCCCGATGGGTCACTCCAGCGAATCTTGGCTACGCATTTACAAAAAAAGAGAGTATTAGTTACAATTCGGGGACTTGTCGAGTAACGATATTTTTTTCATGAAAGTGCAAAGTTACAGGGGGGAAGGTGGGATAAAACATACAAGTTTCGAGAACGTGAATGAGTCCAGGATCTTCGTTGGCGACCAGATCCAGCTGACCACCAAAGATGTAGATTCTGTCGCCAACATTGCACATGGCGTGCTCGGTACGGGCTGAGGCTGCCTCGGTCACACCAATCATAATCCACCTGCGTTCTATGTTTGTAATAGAAAAAAAAAATGCTGACAAGTTAGTCTCATCAACTCCCCCACAAAAGGCTGATACTGACGCCCATGCTAGAATAAAATGATGTACCTGTAAACTTGAAGGCGCAGAGGTCTCCGAGCAATTGATCCTCATGGTTCATGCCTCCGTAAATGTACATGGTGTCGTCGATCACGATGCAGCTGTGTCCCTGACGACTTGTGGGCAGGTTGCCATATGCCGGGACTGCCTCCCATTTCTTGTTGGAAGGATCAAAGCACCAGATATCGTTGTAGTAGTACTTGTCGTCAGCTCCTCCGAAACTATTAGCGCAGAGCAGAGCAAAGAGGGCGGTTTAGTATTTCAAACTGAGTTCAAAACGGCTGGTTTCGAGATGTACAATCGTAATGACGACAGGAGGTGAAAAGGAACTTACATGTAGACCTTGCCATCGTAGGACGCCGCGCAGTGACCAGCACGTGCGGGGGGCATGGATGACTTTGGCTCGATCATAGTCCACACAGGGTTCTTGCCGTTCACTGTTGACAATGATGACAAGGAAGGAGTGAACGTGGAGCAAAAGTAAAGGATGGTGGATCGGAGGTGAAAAAAAAGGGGATCGATAAAGTGAGCAAATTAATCATAAATCATCCAATCGTTTTTTTTTTGTCTGCCCGCTTGCCTACATGAACTTGCGTCAAATAACCACAAGCACATTACATTTGCAAGAAGCAACAAACGAAGGCATTTGCAAAGAAGAGAAAGAGACTTACAGGTCTTCATGTCAAAAGCGGCAATGTCGTTCATATAGAATCCCGAGAGTTGACCACAGGTGACATACATAATAGTACCGATGACACAGGCAGCATGGGAGTGACGGGGTGCGGGTTGGAGACTCTGGATGAAGGGCTTGTTCCATTCCTTGCGGCCAGTGTGGAAGACGTAGAGGGCGTCACTTGTCTTGCCCTTTGCGTCCTTGCCACCAAAGTCTATATGCAGCAATAGTATCATGTGAAAAGTAAGATTGATTTAGCAGGTAACATCACACAAATCCACAAACAGTAACGGGTACAACGAGGGAATGAATGTATGAGCATTTGCAGAACCACGAGAGCCAAGCAAGCGGAAGGGAAGTGGAATGGAGAGGTAGAAGAGAGAACCAACGAGAATGAAAGAATGACATTAAAAGGGGTTGCTTTGTGAAAAAGCACTGAGAAACAAGAATGCTTACACATGATGTATTGGCCGAGGGAGACGGCGGTATGTCCATTTGCGGCCACGGGGGCGTCCCCACCAATGGGCAGCATCTGGCAATGCAGCGACTCTATTTGTATGATGAAGGGAGATTCAGGTACCATCAGTTATTACTTCATTGATCATCGAAAAACGTAGGGTGAGGGAGAGGGAGATAAATCATATCGGACACAGGCTGGAACCATCTTATGATGTAAGGATACAAGCAAACACGCCATTCCATGACAAAGAAATAAGATAAAGAAAAAGAACTTACGGGTATCGATGACATGGACATCCCTCTGGACAGAGCCCTTGACAACTCCACCAAAGATATAGATATCGTTCCCCGTGTTCACAAAACTGGCCGTATGCGAAAACCTCGGAAAAGGGTTGGTCGACATCACCATCCCCGACGACCAAGGTCCACTGGAAAGAGATGTCCCATTCGACTGGTGTGTCGAGAAACTGGTCGCGGAATGCTGGTGCTGATAGTTGCTCAACTGCTGTTGCGAGGAAGACTGGTGGAATGAGCCATTGTTGTTGTTGTAAGGGTAGTCGGACGGAGAGTGGGAAGTACTGTTGTTGGCGCTAAAGTTGTCTCGGCTCTGGTTTGCTGTGCTGGGTCGACCACCATGCTGGTATCTTTGGTTGCTATTGTTGTAGTTGCTGCCGCTGTTGGAGCTGCTTGTGTCGTCCCTGTCCTTTTTGTTCTTTTTTGAGGAAAAGAGGCCTGCCATGATGCGTTAGGTTCTGTTGAATGAATTAATGGATGAATTAAAGGGAGGGGGGAGGGAGGAAAGGATGAATGTGTAATGTGTAATGTGAAGGGGAGGAGGGGCAGACAGAGAGAGGTGGCGTAAAGAAGAGGAGTGGAATGTGATTCTTCTAATGGGGAAGGAGAGTGAAAGGAAAGAGGCGGTTGGGAGAACTGAGTGAAGGACAGAGAGGGGATGAGTAAGGTCGATTAAGAGAGGGAAGAGCAAGAGAGGGGTATGGAAGTGGTAGTGTGACAAGAGAGGAATGAGTATTCTCCGGGGGAAGGGGAACAGTAAGTGTACGTGTGCGAGGTAGGACAAGGATGAGTTTAGGGAGGGGGAGGATAAACGTGGAGAATGGAAGAAAAGGCGAAAAGGGGGGAATAAGAGAAAGGGGGGAGAGGGAGAAGAAAGACAAGAAAAAGAAAAAAGAGACGACGGTTGGAGAAAGGGAAAGAGGAAAGAGGAAAGGGAGAAAGAGGAAAGAGAAGAAGCGAAGGAATGAGAGCGTGGTCCGAGGGACGAGAGGGATTCAAGGCCGATCACCATCATGACAGGTCAAACACTAACGCTACTATTCTTATCCCCCACCTTCGTTTTACTTTTTTTTACTTTTCTTACTCTTACTTTTACTTCTCTTACTCCAACGGGCAACCGTATTAATTCAACTACAGCAAATAAAACTTAAATCTCCCACTTCCGTCGCTGCTCGACTAAGCAATCATAACAAGGTCAGACATGCGTGCGACAGAGGGGTAAACAGAACCCGCAATGCCAGCAGAGAGAACAGAGAACGGGGAGGAGTGTGAATAAACTCAACAAACAATGAACAAAAGAACAAACACAAAACGGCATCTAAAACAACCGGGAAATGAACCATTCATTTCACCCCTTAGTGCCCATCGATATAACCATGTATCCAATATGCAATTCCAATGGGCGCCCGGTATACGCCTTTAATACATACAAATGCTGAGCGAGGATCCTTCCGACCCCAAAAGTAAAAGGAGAAGAGGAGATTCACCTTCTACGGCTCACTCGCCCATTCACTTACGCCTCCTTTTTGAACTCTCTCTCTCTCTCTTCTTTCCTTCTTTCCTTCCTTCCATCTCCCTCCATCTACACCAAAACCACATCGGAACTCTAGAACCAAGCATTAACACTCACAACCAAGAAAAGCAAGATTACACTTTCAGTAAAATGTATATCACACGAATCTAAAGAGCACTCACCCACCATTTCGATCGCTCATTCCGCCTTCTGAGCATATCCAGTCCATGGGCTACACCCTCCCTTACCTACAATCCGGCCCCACTTCTCTCCACTTGAGAGCACCTTCTCTCTTCTTTGTTGATACCGTTTTTCAGGTGGACAGGATAGATTTGACAACTAAAACCCCCCCTACCGGTACTGCGCGCGCCAACGTCATTTGCACATTTGACTGTTCCCCTTCCCTCACTCCACCACTTTACTCCGCCCGCCCGGGCCCTTTTGTCTCTCTGCTTGTTCATCAAATACCCGGCTGCAGACCATACGATCAAACACTCCCCTTTCTCCCTTCCAAAAGATTTTCTCTCCACAGGAGGAACCCATTTTTCAAGTACTTCTTCCTCCTCCTTGCTAACCCTCTTTCCTCACTTATCCTTCTATACATTCACCGCCCTATTACCGTATCCAACATTCACATCAATTATACGAAATAAAGCAGCAATTGGCACTTTTGTAATCTATACACTTTACTATGTCCGTGTGGCAGCAGGTCGATGTCCTTGAGCCTTGAACACAGCATCATCCGGACTCGGCACATCAAACGCAAACACCCCTACACCTCCTCCTCCTCCTCCACCTCCACCAACAGAATACCCACCATACCGAATCGCAGGATCATCCTGCAATTCCCTAGCCCTCGCCCTTGCCACCGGCGAAGGTGCAGGATCCAGCTTCTCAAAGATCGATATGGCAAAATGCGAAGGAGGTGCAATCAGCGACGAGAATGCCGCCATCGGGTCCGACCCTGAAAACACAGAGGCGTCATAAGGGTAGTCGACCAACTCTACGACCATCTCTACGTTCATCAGTCTTGGATCCGACGCTTCCTCCGCCGATAACAAGGTCGTCTTTTGGGGAGAGGTTGTAGTTGTCGCCGCCGCATTGTGTTCTTCCTGTTCAGATGCGGAAGATCTCAGTGGTATCCTGGTATTTGTCGAACCATCGAAACCAACCATCCTCGACCCACTACCGGCAGATGACTTTATTCCGCCCGGCGTGCTCGAAGCCTTGGTTCCTGCCAATCCTGAAAGTGAACTCGTACCCAGCTGTCCTCCTCCAGCAGCCAAATCAGCGAGCGAAGGAGATGACGCGGTAGAGCTATTCACCGCATCTTTCCGTAGCCCCACGCCTGAACCACCAGCGCCAGCTCTCGAAAGCCCCGCAAGCCCTCCACCAGAACGTAACGTCAACCCCGCAGTTCCTGGACGTCCCAGACTTGAACCAGTAGTCGTCGTAGTAGTAGGAGATCCCGATGGCTGTGATCCCAGTTGGGCTTGTGAAAGTATCGCTGATGGTTCGGTCGCGGCATTGTTGGTCTTGGCCGCTACTGCTGCCGAGGAAGAAGATGCAAGTCCGACGAGGGACCGCCGAGGTGGTGCGTTGCCACTCGCAAGTTGTGAAAGTGACGATCCTCTTCCTGGTGTTGCAGAAGCAGCTGTGCGAGACGCGGTCGTGGTAGTAGTCTGCTGGGCAAGGGAGGCAAGCGACCTCCGAGGAACACCTGTCCCAGTAGTACCAACACCCTCACCAGAACTGGCAGCCAACTGTGACAACGACGGCGAGCCCCCTGTCCTCGCTCCCGCTCCTGCTCCTGCTCCTGCTCCTGCTGTTGCTAGTGACGAAAGAGATGCTCTTGGGGAGGATGAAGAAGAGGTAGCAAGATTGGCAAGGGACCTCCGAGGGGGTGCATTACTGCTTGCGGCCAGTTGAGCGAGCGAAGGGGCAGTTGATGATGACGACGATGCCGTTGTTGTAGTTGGTTCTGATTTGGAAGTTGATGAGGACGATGGCTGTGCGAGTGCTGAGAGCGGGGTTGTTCTTGATGCGAATCCTGATCCTCCTGAGGCCATGGTGTGAAGTTGTGTGTCTAGCTTAGTTCGTGGCCTTGGTTTAACGATGGTTGAAGGAAAAGAGAAAAGTAGCCGCAGGTGATTTTCCCTTCCCTTATGTGTGAATTGGAGGCGTGAAATCATTTACAAGGTCATGGCATGGATAGATTAAAATACACGCGCCAGACCGCGAAATCACCACCGCAACACCAGATCCGACTTCAGCAACAGAACAGACACATATGAGAAGTTATTTGTACAATAGCTTGGTAGAACACATCCATATGTCCCTCCACGCTTCCCTTCTTCTGCTCTCCAGTTTATTGGATCTGTCCCAGGTAATCTTCCTTTATCGTTCCGACAGCATTCTATTCATTCGAGCGAGACAGCACAGAGACAAAGGTAATTAGTTAGTAATGCTTTACCACCACAAAGCATGTTCATCGTCGCATAAAAAGATAGACAAAAAGACTTACGATCTGCGTTGCTTGATGCTTGAGACCGACAATCTTGAGACGCACTTGTCCGTTCTTCTCAATCATCTATTATCAACGAAAACACACAAACGAGATGAGAGATGAGTGTTTTGTGACCCTGTATCTCCACATTCCTGTTAAAGTTATCCAGCCATAGATATGTCAACACTGCAGACAAAAAGGCCAAGGGTACCTGATCATCGCCGCGATAGCATGGCCCGTTCGAATCAAACTTGAAATCGCTCGGCATCAGCTTCTGGGCAACAAAGACCTGCAAGGGACCAACATCCGCAAAGAATCCAATCTGGTTGACACTGGTCACAATAGCATCGACGACTTCACCCTTGTATGGCTTGAAGACGATCGCCTGGTAGTGGACAACAAACTCTGCGAGTCCCGATCCGGGCAGGACTTTTCCGGGAGAGATGTTGGTGATGGTGAGGACGCAGATGATGAAGCCGACTCTTCCTGAGCAGGTTCCTTCTACGTCTCCGTGGAGGTTCCTCATCAGGAACTCTTTCATGTGGGGTCCATAGTAGGACGGGTGCAGGTTGATCGTATGTGACAAGTTACGCTATGTTTGCGTTCACGATGTTGTCGAGTGTATCATGTTGATATAGTGTGGTTGTCGCATCCAAGATTTGTTGTTATATATATGTGCAGAGAGAAGAGACATAAGTGGTTTCCAGCATAGAGTCGATGGGGAAGTAGGAGTAATGAAAGGAGAAAAGTAAAGAAGAGTAACAAACAGGGGGTCAGTTGTTTTTCTCGACTCTGTTGATCAGCCTTTCTTGCTTCATTCCTTCACGACAGAGGACAGGAAACAAATAGATGTCTGCCTCGCCACTCATCTCTCTCTCTCCTTGGTGGCCATCATCCTGCTCGCCTTTTGTGCCTCATTGATTCCCAGCTTCCTGTGTGCAAAGGCGCGTTCCAGAGAATGTGTCCGTACCAGGAAGAACATGATGAGCGGCTTGGAGTTGAGTTGGTCCACTTGTCGGTCGGCGGAGTCAATCAATACGAAGCAAAGAAACCAGAAAAACGATTATTCCTTTTATCTGCTTTGGAAGGAAGAGGAACATTGGGCGCATAAACTACGTCACCGCAGACGCAATCAATGGGCCTACTGTCCTGCGATCTGAAATGTCTAGTGTTGGTGCTGCACACAAAAAAAGCTATATTGTGAGATAGTGAGGGGATTTGTGTGTCGTCCAAGCCTGGTCACTTGTACGGTTACCGCAAGGGTAATAAAAATGCAATAGTAATAGGCAAAGTTGGATGCTGCTTGTTATTACTATATTACAGCTACTTATATACCTACACGATATCTAGGCGTCAGACATAGGTGTCTGAGATAGTGTTGATACAAAAGCTACATTTTCCACAACAGCATCAAACACAACTGTTCTTTCGTCCTTATTGCCAGCTCCCGTACTTATGGTAACTATCAATCCTTCTAAAACAGCCTCATCGCTTGAGTCATCGTGCTCGTTGCTTCCCGACCCTCCTCGACGCCGACATACTCGTCCATGGCCATGTTAATTCCACCCCCCCCCCCCCCCTTTCTTGTATGATGTCTGTGGCGTTTGAGCAGTGGTTCGCTTTCCGGTAGACGTTGATGACAAGGTCCACGTCGACGGGTTCGACGTATCATCTTCTGCGAGCAAATCAGGCAAATCGTTCTAATAGCACAAGAAAATAGTATAGCATTATAAGAGCTAAACTCATTAACAGTACACAACTTGCCTTGTTCTGGATGATATTAGGAAGCTCGCTTGCTGCCGCGTGGACCAAACTTGTCCCCACGACCGAATTTCCTTTCTTTATAGCCAGCGCCTGTTGTGTTCTTCTCATATTTTCAAGTTCTCGAGGACCGTTCTCTTTGTACTCTCTTTAAGCTTGGAATTGACGGATGGCGGAAGTAAAATCGTTGCGCGCCCTCTGTGGGTTTGCATACATGAATTTGATACTGAGCTTCATGATGGTGTCATCACAAGTATTCTCTACCCATTCTCGGTGCGCTTTGGGAGATTTCATGATCCTAGCCAGTGAACAACGAAGGCAGGGTTAAAAAAGACTCTTTCGAACTAATAAGGCAACAGATGTTGAGTGCCATGAACAAAGCCATCCATTGAGCAAAGGAAAGAGTACGGCTTTAGAGAGAGTAATACGCTTTGTAGACGCCAGCCTTTTTTAGTCTCTAAGATAAGAGATATGTAAACTAGTGTTCCCCGACCAGAGGTCCAGACAGGGGCATTTCCTCGAGTTAACAAGGCACCGGCCGTTTGGATTCAGCTTTGGAATCCAGCAAGCACAAAACCTGCCCAATACACATCTGGAAACAGAAACGCGTGGTCCAGCCAGCTATACAAAGCACGACTCCTTTTGCCTTGAGGCTCTTCCTCGACTATACGTACTCGAAAGGTCGGCCCGGCCCTCTAAGGCTGCAAGCTCAATCAAGGATTTTTGGGTAAGATTATGAGAGGGATGGAGAGCTCGGTAGAGGGGTACAAAAGCGAACGATTGAAGGGTAGGAAAAGACGGAGCGGGATGTGATGGCGTGGATGAAGGACAAGTTTCGTCGCTTCGGTGACGTAAATTATGCGCCCATTGTCCCGTAGCCCCAATTTCTCTAGACGCCATCAATTGAATTTTCTGTTGGTGTGTTTGTTGGTTGTACTCCCTGCTCTCGTTGTTCTCTCTCCTCTTGTACATGTACTCTTGTACCATGGCGAAGTATAGCACATTGATAGAGACCCGAAGCCCTCGTGTCAACATCGGATTAGCAAATTGCGGCGTACCCCTTTCTTAAACCCTCGCCATTTTGCCCCTTCTCCTTAACGGGCTACCATCCGCCAGCACGGCACCGAACGCCATACATTGCACTCTCTCCTTGTGTTCACGTTTCTTCTCATCCTTTCGTTTTCCCTTTCCCCATTTTTTTACATCCTCTTCCATGCTCACCATGGTCCCCTCTTCCTTCGCCATGGTCCCCTCTTCCTTCGCCATTTTGCCCCTTCCCCTTAAATTATAACCAACCACCTGCACAGCACCAACAGCATCGAACACCATAAATTGCACCCCTCTTTCCCCTGTCTTCACTTTTTTTCAGATCCTTTCTTTCGACCTTTCCCCACTTCCTTCCAACCTCTTCCATCCACGCAGATCTGCCACCGCAATCACATACCTTCCCATCACATACCTTCCTGACCTCTCAACCATGACAGTCTTTCATAACAAAAAAAATGGCATCGTTATCCCTCGCCTGCCCCCCCCACTCCGCAAGACCGGCAAAGTTCTTAAGCTGTCCTCAGGGCGCCATACCAGCAACAATCTGCTCCTCCGCCGTCCCACTCGATACCCTCTTCCCTTTCAGATTCGTAGCATCAACAGTGGCCTCATCTTTGGATCGCCTTCCCCGCCTTCCTCGCCTTCCCCGCCATCCTCACCTTTCTCGCCATCCTCACCTTTCTCGCCTTCCTCGCCTTCCTCGCCTTCGTCGCCTTCATCCTCAACCTCGTCCTCGCCATTATCGTCGACAGAGACTATCACTCAACTTCTCGACCACCTTCACCTACATAGTGGCAAGCCGGGGTTCGAAATCACCCGTGGAATTGCTCGCCCCTCTCTCTACGATCTTCCTTCGTCTTACTCACCCCCAGCAAACAAATCTGGCAACAGCAATCTCGACGTCCCTTCGTCTCTCCCGCCCCCGGCAAACAAACACAGCAGCAGCAACAGTACCACCCCAACCCCTTTTCTCGACTTTCTCAACCGCCACCGACAAGGCACAGAGCCTATCCAAATCCCGGAAGAATACCTCTTCCGCCCGCACGCAGCCACGCGCTACGAAGTCCAATTTTTCGACCAATGCTATCCAGACTCGAGCATGTATGGGATCCACATGATCCTGACCAAATTTGACACCGTGGCGAATAATTACAATATTAACGGATACAACAAACTGCCCTCGACGTCGGACTCTAAAACTTACAAAGATGCTATCAAGGACAAGGACACTCCTCCCAAGGGATGTGACCCTGTATTATACTACAACTTTTTGAAGGTGCCTCCGTATGCCGGGTCAAGACATCCTCAGCATATTCTGAGGCTCAAGGTTGGGCTTCCAATCATGCTGCTCGATAAGGTCGGTGGGGTTTGTGCGGGCACAAGGCTGATTGTCAAGAAGCTGGAGGAAGATGTTATCACTGCGAGCGAGGTAGTAGCTGTAGGAGGTCACGGAGGTGAGAGAGGAGGAAGGGAGATCCAGATTCGACGCCAAGAGTACAAAGAATCTACTCGTGTGGAGCCCCTTATCACGTACACACGACGACAGTTCCCTGTCAAGCATGCGTTTGCGTTGACTGTGAATGATCTGCCCGAGGGAGTGATGTTTGAGGGGCTCGGACTGGACCTGAAGTACGACATGGAATCCCCTGGTCAACTCCACTCGGCCTTGTCCCGGTGTCGGGATCCTAGCAAGTTGAAAGTTTATAACCCCAAGGCCGCAGTATACCCGTAATAAAAAATAAACAACATCAACAACCCAGCATTTGATGATCATGTGGCCCATGTTTGGCTCCTGTGAAAGTGTGAATACGTTGAGCAAACCCCTTAACAGACATCGAAAACTCTCCTGCTGATAATTCCTGTTCCCTTGCCTATTCTTCTCCTTCTCATTCATCAACCTTGCTAATGCCAAAAGCTCCCAGTCATCTCGCATCAGCCTCGAAACCACGCGGATCTCACCATTCGTAAGACCACACACACATCACCGTTTCTTATCGCTCTTTTGCTTTTAGCGGAGATAAATAATTGGTCAAACGCGAAGAACACGGCTAGAGAAACCCTATGACTAAAATCCTCTCTGTACCTGTGGTTCATTCTAGGTCAAATAATGTGCCCGGCCAAGCGAACCATACACATCCCACACCATACAACAGACCTGAAGCGCCAAATCACAACAATAACTCAAAAGGCTACAACAACAGCACCTCCCGCGCACACGTACCTACATACCCACCGCGGCAACAGTCAAACAACGTCGATGACGACTTTGAAGGACTAGAACTCTCAAAGGAGGATCTGGAGGATGACGATTTCGGAGATCTACAGCTCACACAAGAAGAGTTGGACGATTTCGATGTTGACTCTGTCGCCGAGGAGGGGTTTGGAGATATTGATGCCCTGACACTATCACGAGCAATTCTTGACGCTTTGAACAACACTACCGCTACTTCTGCCAAAACTACTTCTGCACCCACCACTGTCAGGACAGCGACTCGACCTACAACTACTACCGGCACAACAACACGACCCCCTGCCACTGTCAGTACACCCGCCACGATGATAAGAACGACCCCGGGAGCAGGAGCATCCATGCCACCAGACGGCCCAGACGGCCAAATCACCACGCAGCAATCCTTTGTCGCCTTCCTGGAACGGATCAAAACTGGAAAAGAACGCACCTACACCCGCACAGAAGCATACCACCTAACCAGCTACCGGGACCTCATCCGCATCCCTGACCAATTCCTCTTCGCTCCACGGCTGTCTCAACCTGGAACACATCTGAGCTTTAGTCAAGTCCAACTCCAGTTTCTCCTGGAGATCTTCCCTGACCTCCAGTCGGCGCCTGCCAAATCGGAAACCATGATGTCAAATGTGATCTTAACGGAGAGGGACGATGATGCCAGGACGTTTAATGAAAAGGCGATCGAGATACAGAAGCAATTCTCCACCACGCAGGCTCAGGATGGTCGTTCAGTGGTCACATACGGAGGAGGTAGAGGACAAGGAGCAGGAGGGAGAGGCCAAGCTGTCGGTTACCACGAAAAGACCTACATCGCTATATCGCAGCCCCTCTACACGAGAGACTACGAAATGCAGGATATGGTGACCGCCCACTGGCTGAATCCACAGGGGGTGCCCCAGCACGAAATCACCCTCCGCGTCGGCAACCCCGTTATCCTCATCAAAGACATCCCACAATACCGCGCGGGGACCCGAATGATCATCACCCGCCTTGGCAACAGCAGCGTCTCTGCAGAAGTATCATCAGGTCCCCTCAAAGGTCAGTCCACCTTCCTACACCGGATTCGGTGTTTGTCCCCCAACGCTCGGGATATCGGTGTCATGTTTGAACGATTCCAGCTCCCGATCAGGCTCGCGTTCGCGGTGTCGTTAAGTGATGCTATTGGGTTGAAGATTCCGGGTTTGGTGGGATTGGATTTGAGGCTGCATGTGTCCGGGCATCGGATGTTGCATTATTTGATGTCTTGTTGCGAGGATTACAGGAATCTGAGGGTTTATATTGAAGATGGGGAGATTCCTGGACAACCTGGGAGATATACTCGGAACCCTGTTTGATCTCCTTTCACTCTTGTTCTACGCTTTTTTTTTTTTTTTTTTTTTTTTTGCGTGTGTTGCGCGAACGAATAAATACATAACTAATGGTAAAGGAAACGAAGAGAGAAAAAAAAAAGAAATAAGATTGTAGGGTGAGGAGACATGGTGGAAGGATGAAGAAACAGGAGGTAGAATGAAGAAACATGGTGATAGAGCGAGGAACAGTAAAGAAGCACGACTGACAAAAAAAAAAAGAAAAAAAAAAAAAAAGGGTGTTTTACTTAGACGCATGTTTTTCTATGCTAGAGAACAAATGATTTCCAAATGAGTCCTTTTACAAGGAAAATAAACAGAGGAGCCGTACATGCACATTATTGTTTGTCGTCTATAGACTCTTTATCCGCTGGCTATCGATTTGGTTTCTTCAGTTTGGAGGGCCGTAAGAGCGCTTGTGTTGTGATATTTTTTTTTCATAGGGTCTTCATCGAACAGAGTAAAAGATTACAGTGATCACGGAAATCGGTGCTTGAGCAGACGTCGCACATGCGCACCGTTGTTGTCAATGATGGTTGATGAAAGCGGGGGGGGGGAGGGGTTTCCCTCTTCCTTCTCCCATTAACGCTGTTCCGTCAACGGGGAGCTTGAAATTATTTTTTTCCTTCCCATCCCATTATTTAATACTTCTCTTTAAACTTATTTTCTTTATTAAAAATCGAGATTTTTTTGGAGAGAGAAGTGTAAAGAGAGACAGGGAGGAGAAAGTGAAAGACGAGCAAAATGGAAAACGGCGCACACAAAAATGTCCTACACACACCCCGTCACATAGCCCAGTATGCTGCTCGACCAAATTGTGTTGACAATAAACGTTCCAAATGATGACTGTCTCATACAACTTCCTCTCGATAGCTGTAGAGTCATTCATTAATTTGATCCGCAGACAAGACAAACACTCGTTATTTCTTTTTAGCAACGGCATGGCAGAACTTGAGCTCGGGTCGCTTCTTCTCCAAGATTCGAAGAAGATGACGGATAGGGCGCGCTCCAATCATCCCGTTCTTGTTCTGGAGAACAAACGTCGCCACCCTGAGAGCAGGCAAGTGGTCAACAACCCAATCCACCTCACGCTTGCCGATTCTCTCCATCACCTCCGGAATCGTCCAGCGAACAGATCCTCGAAGTACTCGCAGTTTGGTCAGCCCCGTAAGCTTTGACAAGTGTCCAATCTGCCCACTGTCCGCATCCTCCAGAGCGAATAGTCCAGGAAACGCTGTCTCTGAGGATGGTGCTGGTTTGTAGGTACTTGACACAGTTTGGAGATTCAACTCCTGTAACTCCGTCAGGGATCCGATCCGAGAATAAAACTTCCCGAGAACCTCCCAATTTCGATGGTCGTCTTTGGTCCATGTCTCCTTGCTTGGGTCGGTCGTGAACTTTGGGCTCGTTTTATGCGCATAGATCAGAACAACAATGTCCAAAACTTTGATCCTTTTACAGACCCATTCGGACTCGACTGCATTGTCAAGCGACAAGGACACGACACCTGCATTTCCCGTCACCCTAAACGTCTCCAAGGCCTCACAAGTCGTCAGCGCTCCTTTAATGATCAAACCCGAAAAATGCGACGTGTTTGTAAATTCGATCCTCCGAAGGGTAGTCGAATGTCTTTTCCAGGTAGCGACCAGCGACGTCCAGACAGGTTCCATGAGAGACGAACAATATAGACTTTGCAGCTGCTGCACCGGAAAGCCCTCGAGAACGTTCGTAATTTGAAGATCTCGACCGCCCTGTGGGAATGACAAGTGCGTGAGACGTGGACAGAGCTCAGCGATCCCCTTGGTGATGGACGATATGCTGAGATAGTCGAAAAAAGGGAACTTCAGGGTTTTAAGGGCAGGAGAGTGGCCAAGGATGGTGTGGATGAAGGGAGCCATGTCAGAAGCCGCCATTCCGGGAAGGGCAAGGTACACGAGGTGATGGAGGGGGGTGTCGCGAAGAACGAGAGGACCTTGGTCGAAATCCCAATCTCCTGCAGCCGGAATGGAAACCGTAGCGGACCCTGGACTGTCAACACTGTACGCCAAGGTGAGTTCGACCAAGGAGCTCGGACAACTGAAGAAGATGGCCTCATACGCCTTGTGTGAGATCGAACAGCTCAATCGTAGGGTCTGGAGGTGGTGAAGCTGGGATATTGTTCTGCATACATCCCGGACCGATCCATGCGACTCGAGACTCAGGCTCGTGAATGCCACATGGGTCAAAGTGCCGCTGTTGAGTCGTACGAGCCACAGGAGGTGATGGACGTGCTTGTAGGAATCAAACGCTGGAAGATCAGGCACCATCTTATCCGCAGGATAACTGTGCAACGACGCCTCAAATCGACTCAGACGGAGCAATGGTGGCAGGCGCCGAATCTTTAGACAGGGAGCATAGAGCATACCACCCCAATCCTTGTGAGCGAGGGCGTCGATCGAAATGGCTCGGTGGGGTGGCCAGGCAGTGATGTTGAGATAGGCCCAGAGGGTGTAAAGGTAATACCACGAAAACTTTGGTCGCAGGGTGATGGAACGTACCGAGGTGATGTTGTTGCCAAAGGCCTGCAGTGCTTCAGGAGAGTTGAGAAGTTTGATGGAATCTCGTAATGATTCGAGGTTGACGGATTGCCATGTGAGCGGAGAGCAGACAGTATTGATGGCGCGGTTAGTCCGGGAGAGTTGAATTAGATCCTGTGTTGAGAGGATTTTGGCGAGAGAGGCAACCAGTTCGGGGATGCCGAAGAATGTGCTGCATGCGGAGTCCATAGTTGGGTTGGTGAGCATGAAGTTATGAAAGGGAAGAGAGAAAGAGAGAACAAAAAATGGGTGGGAAAATCATAGGTGATATGATGTTCATTTCGCACGTGATCGAATTCGCTAATAAATAATAACGACGCGTCAAGGTGATGGTGCTTGCACTGACGCGTTACTTCTTTGGTGAACAGTCAAAGCGTCGATACTCCTCTTCCTCCTGGGCTCTGGGAGCTGGGCACCGTACTGGAGGAAAGACGTATTGGCGCTTGACGAGTAAGTACAGGGTATTAGAAGTGAGCTCATTAAAGCTGGACGCGACACGAATGGTAAGAGCAAAGGGCTAGTTGGGCGATTTGATGGCCCTCATCCTCCTCGAAGGTAGGGGTTGAAGCGCAGGAGCAGCATAGCGTTGGCAACACTGTTGTCGGTAATACTGTGGATGAGAGACAGGTTGGCCGTGAATATTCTGGTAGGAGTACTTGTTGTTTAACCGGGTAGGAGGACGGGGTTAAAAAGTGGACCGGGGCTGGCAGTCTCCGCCTCCACCGGCGGAGGTTCGGGGCGTGGGGGTTGTGGGGGTTGGGGGGGTTGGGGAAGTGTTGCCGCCAGGGCGGTTGAGGACAGGTGCCCTTCCTTTCTGTGTCCATGCCGGATGTGAAGATGAGAGAAGGTAGGTGTTGTTGTTGATGATATTTGTTTTAGGTGTCCTGCATGTGTTCCTGTGTTCTTCGGCTTGTGGAAATGGTGATGAAGGAAGAAAAAAAATGAAAAACCGAAAAAAAAGAAATGCAAAAAAAAGAGAAGAAAAGAAGAGAAGAGAAGAAAAGAGTAAGGAAAGGTGTGAAAACGTCGACTTTTTCGTTGCTCGCTCAGTCAGTCCATCCTTGTTCAGTTCCAAAGGCGTAGTCCCCGCCTTTCGCCTCCCTTCATTCCCACTGTTTCTCTCTATCTCCGGTCTTCAATATGGGAACATAAAAATGGAAAAGGCTTTTCAGGAAGGACAATCATTAAGGCAAGTGTACTGGCGATGAGTAAAATGCAAAAAAGAAAGGAGAGGACTAAGAAGACGAACAGACAAGCGAACACGCCCAGACGGTTCCCACTTCACATACACTCGTTTCCTCCTGTCTTGGATGGGTCAAAAGAGAACGAACATCCTCTGAAGAGCAGCAAACACTGTCCCTTTCTTTTTTTTTCTGTTGTCATCCACGCAATTTATTCCTCTTCCTCTTCCTCTTCCTCTTCTCTCTGGCTCTTTCTCCCTCCGTCTACATAACCGCCTCCCTAACAACCGTTCCCGTGCCAAAGGGCCCTTTGACCGTCTGATACAGACAAAGTGTATCAATACCATTCAGCACGACGATCTCAGCCCTAATTAGGATAAGACGACTTGTACCATCGCTGCATACATGAGTATACCACTTGTCCCAATTGATATCGTCGTAGATCAAGGGCCCATCGTTGAACGGAGGCCCAGGCTGACCGTTGCCATCATCGAAACTAAGACTATTCGCTTGTTGGTCAGCTTGATCCAGAACGACCGACGGATCGTGGGTAGGTGGCACAGCTCCTGCCGTTCCGACGTCCGAGGTGTTGTCGTGAGGGTGACGCTGATCTTTCTCCTCATAATCAATGGGTGCCACAGAGGGAAACCCTGTCCACACTATTGGAAACAAAAAGGAGAACAAGTTTGTTAGTTTTTGGGGGTTTTTTTGTATTCCCCTCCTTATTTGTCTTCTCACATCAATTGCTCTCTTTTTTTGCTTCCTTTGTACCTCGCTATACAACACTTATTTTCTGTTGTACTTACTCTGTCTCGTATCCTGGACTTGATCCCCGTTAGACCCATGCTCTTTCGCATGACCGCAATCACGATGGACATCCTCTCGGCGGCAACTGCTGCGGTCAAGATCATGAGGAGCAAAGACCCTGTCTTTGCGAAATCGTCGACGATTGGTCCTGGAAGTCGATGTGCGACTACGCTTGCCTGAGCTGCTTCTGCGTCTGATGTCCTCTTCAGGGACGGGAGAGTCGGGACTGGACTCGTTTGCTCGCTCATCCACATCCTCGTCGTCTTTAATCTGATCGACGATCAGAGTAGGATGAAAGGCACGCCTTGCCTGCGGGTCAATGAAGTGAGAAACGTTCATCATGCCTTTGACTTGGATTCGGTCACCGATCTTGAAGGACGCCATGCGCGTTTTGATGGCCCTATCCCCACTTGATGGATGTTGCTTGAGGGTAACGTCCTCTCCGTCCCATGGAAAGATCGCAGTAACGTCGGTGACACCATGGCTATCATAAATACGGGATATTTCGTGTATCTCCACAGTCATCCATTCCGTCGGTAGATGGAAACCCATATTGAAGGTTAGGCGTTTGTGGCGTGTGTGTGTGTGGGGGGGGGGGGGGGGGGGGATGGCTTGGATGTATGTGGGTGTATGGAATTGTGATGGGGGTTTGTTGGGTGAAAAGAAACTCGAGAGAATAGAGTCTTATTTATGCTTCTATCTCAAAAGACTTGATACCTTGACGAAACCTCTTGAAGGTCGACTGGAAAGACATCAGGGAAATGGAATGAAAAAGAGGAAGCAATTCAACTTAATACAGAGAATAAAGGACAAACTTTTTTATTGTTCCGGAGGGAGATGTGTTACCACAACAAAGGACTTTGTTTGCATGTCTATGACGGCCGTGGTCTCTTCGAAATATGGATTGTAATTTTAAGTTTTGCAACCGTGCCACCTGGACAAAGGACATTGTTGTTTTTGGTTGACTCATGCGGCAAGCAAAAGTAAAGAAGAAGGAAATATAACAATTGTGGAAACAAAAGCACAAAGATCCCCCTTGGAAACGTTTCATCTACTCCTAGTCAACCATTTACAAACAAACAAACTGAAATAAAATACCCTGTCAGTCTTTCCGACATGCTTATCGTTTACACCTTTCACATCGTTTCCATTGAATTGAGCTGTTTACGTTTTATTCATTGTTTCTGTTGTGGTTGCTGTTGTCGGCGGACACGATTCATCCAGGATGTGAGCACTGTACTTTGATTGCCGGTTAATCTATCTATGTCACGTTTTATTTTGCTATTGTCAAAGGTTCCTCCATGTCCATTTCATTTCTGTTGTAGAGCGAATATGATTGATGCTGAACCAGATAAAGAACGACACCAAACAAAAGGATGCGCATCGAATAAGGCAAAATAAAACAAAGAATTTATTACTATCTCGCGTTGCCACCATGGCACTCTCACCAGCTCTCATCTTCTTCAGTATTGAGAAGAACTGCGTGAATGGTCTTGAGTATAGGTCGTTCTCTCTGCAAGTCTCGGAATAAGCAGCAGATACGACACTCTACAATCAGACCCTTTTCGTTCCTAAAAGCAAACGTCGCCGCCTTCAGCGAGGGAAAGTGGTCTCTAAACCAGTCCACTTCTGTCCTACCCATCCCCGTCTCCACCCCCGGCAGAGTCCACAGGAACGACCCTCAAAGTTCCCGAAAACTGATCAATCCAGAAAGCCTCGGCAGGTGTCCAATCTTCCCCTGCCTTGGATCCTCCATGGCCAGCAATAAGGGGGGAAATGTGTCGTAAGGAAGATAGTTGGAATTGATAAAATTTTGCGACCGATTCCGTTGAGTAGCTCTCAGACTCAAGAGGCCCCGTGCACACTCACTCCAGTCGACAGTATTGTGTATCGACAATACATGCATGCGCCATCGACGCTGACTGGTAACCCTGAAAATTTTCAGAGCTGCACATGTCGTCATAACGCGTTGAATGACAGAGCTTTTAACGATAAACGTGCGGGAAAAGTCGATCGTTCGTAGCGCCATCGAATGCCGGTTGAGGTGGGGGCTCACGCTGCTCGCTCTGGCGCTTCTTATCAGCAAACTGAGCGCGAACTTGGGTAATGGCCAAATCCGTCGTGGCAAGGACCATGCCAGGTTCAAAGGGGTGATCCTCGCGGACAAAGGTGTGATGGTACCTCCAGACGGAGGAAAGGATGGTACCGATCAAAATGAGGATGGGAATGTCGTGACGTGGTTTGACAGGATCTGGGTCAGGAAAAAAGAGGCTGCAGATTTGATCCGCAGTCTAGGTTCGTTCCCCCATATATCTCGACAGTGCGCCTCGCCATACTTCCTGCTTCTTGGGTCAGCTAAAATAGGAGGTGCTGACTTGTCTCCGGATTCGTTCCACAGACACAGCAGAGGGGTTCAACCATATCAGGAATAATGGAGGCAAGAGGGGATTTTGTTGATCAGGAGCCGCCACCAGACATTGCGCGCATTGAGCGGATCTTGTTCTTCCTGAAAGATTTTCAGAAGATGGCAGTGAGTGGTGGGGGCGGCGCGACCATGGGTGGGTGCTGTGGCGCCGGGGCTTGAGGACGGTAGGACTTGAAGAACATCGCCTGTCGAAACGCGCGGGTGCTGGCTAGTTCTAAGGCGCCGTTCTCAGACTTGTTGGTAAAGGTCCCGTTTGTGCGTTCCGCTACCAGGCCGAAAGGTTCGTCTCAGGGTTGGGCGAGCCTTGATGTAACTGCTCCTGGTGTTCTCTTCCAACCTTGAATGGGTGCAATAGCCGACGGAGCGCTCATGTCGCGTCCCAGATAAACGTCCTAGCAAAGTGTCTACGATCAGGTGATAATGCTGACACCCCTTGATCACTTTCCCCTTGAAATTTTGTTCCTCCTTTTCTGTCCATTGATGCCGACCATTGATGTTATCCCTTGGTGATCCCCCTTTCTTGTTGTCCCTTGATGTTGTCGCTTGGCGTTATCCCTTGAAGTTTTCAGTTGCTATCCCTTTGTGCTGTCCATTGATTTTCCCAATCCTTTGTTCCTTGTTTGTCCCTTGGTCGTTGTCCGCCTTCCCTTTGTCCTTTTCCAGCATCCCTTGATCTTTTTCCAGCATCCCTTGATCTTCTTCCAGCATCCCTTGATTTTTTTCCAGCATCCCTTGATCTTTTTCCAACATCCCTGACCTTTTTCCAGAATCTTTTAATGTTGTGTTTTGATGTTGCACGTTAGTATACTCCTTTAGTTTTATCCCTTCACGTTGTACTTTTGGTATTGTCTCGTTGGTGCTGTCCCTTCCCTATTGTCCACTGGTGATATCCTTTGTCTCGGTATGCCCTAATGTTTCCTATATCCTATTTTCAGCATCCCCCTTGATCTTTTAGGCGATTTTTTTTCAGCGTGCTCTTGATTTTGGGCACCCCTTTGATCTTTTTTGCATCCCTCTTTTTTTTTTACTGTGTCCTCTCGATCTTTTTGGCCCCTCCTCAATTCCAATGTGCCGTAATCTCTCTCACTCCTGTCCCAAATGACAACAGTTCGCCTTCTCTCTATTTTTTACGTACCTCTTCATGTATATAAAGAAGTCGCATCTGCCCAGCATCATGAACCAACACACATCTGTCAGCAATTGCCACAACTTCTGCAAGAATCATCACAAATACCGTCGCAAGAGCCACACAAACAATTTCCCTCGCCAGAGCGCCACAAACCATTGTCAAGGACGCTCACGGAAACGCTCACAAGAAGCCCTGCACACACCTCCATGTTCTTGACCAGACTCTGGTAAGGCTATTCGACAGGACTATTGCGTTTATACGCCAGGGGTAATACAGTGTTTTCTCACACCTGACCTGACCTATTTTATTAATCTGCCCTCCCTCACCAAGCATGAAACGCCTTTCGCTGATCCTTGCGGTGGCCATACACGCTGCATATGCGGGCACTGTTGTGATACCTTTGACGAACCACGACAATGTGTTGTGGTATGGCAACATAGCCGTAGGCAGCCCGGGGAACACGTTCACTGTCGCATTCGACACAGGCAGCGCTGACCTATTCCTTCCAGGCAAGGGCTGTAGTAAAAACTGCAACGGACACACGGCGTACGATCCCAATATCTCGTCGACGTCTAGCGATCTCGGAAAGTCCTTCAAACTCACTTTCGAAGAGGGAGAAGTAGTATCCGGCGAAGAGTTCACCGATACCGTCAGCATTGGTGGATTGGTGGCCGCGCACCAAACCGTGGGAGTCGCGGCGGAATATCCGTCGAGTCTGGGGAATGACCAGTTCTTCGCCGATGGAATCCTGGGCTTGGCGTTCGAGTCCATCAGCACATTTGGTGCTTCCCCGGTGATGCAATCATTGATATCCCAAGGCCAGCTGGATGAGCCGGTGTTCTCGTTTAAACTAGCTGCATCCGGCTCTGAGCTTTTCATGGGCGGCGCAAATAGCGCACTGTATACCGGCGACTTTACGTATACAAGTCTTACTCAACAGGGATTCTGGGAAGTGATGGTGGAGAAGATCGAGGGAAAAGGACAGACGATTTTCTCCAATATCGACGCAATCATTGATACGGGAACGACCCTGACTGTTCTTCCGCTGAATGAGGCGGCTCAATTTTACAAAGTCTTGGGGGGGACAGATGCCTCATCAACATTAGGACCCGGATTTTATACTTTTCCTTGCGATTCCTTCCCATCAGTATCGTTCACTTTCGGCGGCAGGTCTTTCCCTATGAGCAAGGCGACGTTGGATCTAGGAGCAGTGTCGCAAGGCAGCAGCGACTGTGTTTCAAGCATCATCGGGCGTGACACTGGCGTCAGTTATGCTATAATCGGCACGTCCTTTTTGCAGAACGTATACACATCGTTTGATATTGGACACAGCCGGATCGGTTTTGCTCAACTAGCATAGATGATCTTAAACTATGTAAATACAGGCGATTGCACGCAATGTCCGCTAGTTATCTTTGTCCTGTGTTTGTCCTCTTCTCACAGCGCCTCTGATATTCGCCGTCCCTGTTCTTTCTTTACCTTACATTCAGGTCATCTTCAGTTTCCTTTTTCTTTCTCTTCTTTTTCTCTGCCCCTTCTGTGCCATTTTACCCGTTTCCTTTCTAACTCCTCTGCCTCAATGTTTTGAGCGTTGACGCCATCATTCACGGCATAGCAGTAGTTAGAGAACGGATTGAAAAGCAACAAAATCAAATGCAATAAAAAACTAGCTCCAACAGTGCTTAAATGATCGACTGGAACCGGTTTGCTGGTCGCTGAACCTACTTAACCTTACTTTGATAATTGATCACTAATCGTTGGGTCTGCTGTTGATCAAGCTAGTTCATCGGTGTCTGTTGTACCTGAACTTTATCGCTGTTGATATTTTTGTTACCCCTCCCCTTTCCTTGTCTCTCCTTTTCTTGCGCGGACAAGGTCTCTCGTTCTCCGTCTCTTCCAGGTGCATGGGACATACTTCTTTATCGCTTGTATTTTGGCCTATTCATAATCCTGACCGCGGATGGTTTCCAAGGAATGGGCAGGGAACTCGTTGGGCAATGGCAAGCGAACCAAGGCCGCTGTTATCCTACTCTCGAAGTCGAGAACAATTCTGGACGACAGTTTTGGCAAGCGAATGACAGTCGGCCGTTAGACAGCGAAGCAGAGTGAGGGCCTCGAAAGCTGGACACCACGCTACAATTCTGTCGAGCACCCAGACATACTGATCCATTTCCAGGTCGACCTAAAGCTTCAGAAAAGTCAACGGACCTTCGCGTCTGGTGGTCAGTGCTGCTCCTGATTCCGGTGGGATGGGTAGCTGAAAAATCCTCACAGCCAGGTGTAAATGTAAGAGGATGGTGACGGTTCGAGGCATCCAGGCAGCAGAGAAGGAGGTACTTGAGGGTCGGGGGGAGGTTATAAAATGTGGCCTGAACCATGTCAGGCCACATCAACGCCCACGGTTTCAAAAATATGTCGACGCCTTGGAGACGGGTCAGACGAGACACAGCTCGGATAAAAACCTATTAGGATGAAATGATGTAGTTGTCGAGAAAGATGGGTCAAGGTCGGATGAAGCCCCAAGATCTAAATCAACTCCAATTGTCCTGGTATCTTGGGAACCCTGTTGGCGACCTGCTCTTGTCAATATCCGTAAAAGCTGGAGACGACTCCCTTTTCAAAAAATAGGCCGATCCTCGGAATAAGGCCCCATGTCATCCAGACGAGCGAGTCCAGCGAGTGGTTAGAGGGTGATGGACAAGGGTTGGCCAAAGGCAATTCTGGAAGCCACTCAGGACGAGATCGAGGAGCTCAGGTAAGTTTTTTTCCATGAAGTGATTTTATGAATAATGTAGGTGGTCCTGGCAGTAGCTCTTCTGGTGTGTTGTAAGGATGGCATAAGACGCTGGCAACAAAATATAGGAGGGTTGAGTTATCGAGCTTGATGTATATGATTTTCGAGAGATTCCTGTTCAGGGCTCGCTGCGCGGGTACAGATAGCAGAAGCTGCCTGGATTGGTCGGTATTATAAAGGTCGAGGTTGGCCCAGAATAAGGGATTCAGAAACTGGTAAAGGACCATCCAGTCGTGGATAGGCGGGCAATGCTAGTGGGGTCAAGGTGCTGGGCTGCCATCCATGCCAGCTCGTAGGTTGGGAGAACTTGTGTTGCTGCCGTCTTGACCTCTATGATGCCTGCCTACATCTCGGTCTTCTTGGTCGCTGCTGGCAAATTGGTCGTTCTGGTTGCAGCAAGTATTTTGATTATCTTGGTCGCTAACGTCATCTTGGTTGTTCCGGTGCTTGTTCTCGTCCTCAGATTATGCTGTAGTCGCGCCGATATCGAGGTGGAAGTGGGGTTAATTGTGGTGGTTTTGAAGGTGAGGACGTGGTCGAAGTCTTTGCTCTGTATTGTGTTCTGATGAAAAGAGGAAAGGAAGATAGAAGGAAAGAGATGTCAATCTCTTACTTCCACAAGTTGGTTCTTCCTTTTATTTTTTTATTTGTTTCCATTCAATATGTAGTCGAAGGACCGGTGGGAGAGATACCAGGGAGGCGATATTTTTTATTAGTTTTAACAGATGACGACGCAATTGTTTAAATTGTACAATGGTTATTGTTGTAGAAAGCAATTTTTGTGTGTTGTGTGTGCCTGTGTTGTGTTTGTCTGTGTAGGTCTTTGTTCGTCCAGGGGCGGATGTGTGTTATCAACAAGGAGGCGAAGAGGTGCGCGCCTCTTTTTTGTTTGTTGATGGCAATCAGCGTACATGCGAGTGGGAGTGCTTAGTGTCCTTTGTTACGATTGCTGAGATTGATGTGACCTCTCTGCCCTTCTTAGTGTCTCTGTGCCTCTTCTTGCCCTCAGATCCTTTTTCGATGGGCGCGTGTGTTTTTTTTAAAGGTAAAGATGCCCGTCCGTGACGACACATCAATTATATACGATTAAAAAAGTGGAGCTGTCTAAGTGTTCCTCGTATGTGCAAATAGTCTGTCTCACTCAGTAAAGTACCCTAAACCGTACAGCGCACATGAGGATTGTACAGCCCGTCCTCACCGGATCAGGGACGACGCGTGTGATTCTAGACGACCGTTGTTGCTTTGTGGGGCGCAATCAAGAAATCTAGGTGTTCTCCTCCACCAACTCCTTGATGCCCATGTTGCCTCTCCTTTCTGTAATACCCATGCGCCTTTGGCCCAGCAGGGCGCCGATGACTGCTCGGTCAGCCCCACTCGAGTATCGCTCTGCTAGCCTAGGCACCGCTATTCCCTGAAGGCGCGTAGGCAAAGTTGAAGTTCGATATGCAACACGTGATTAATTCGCAGTCACAGTTATCAAAATATCGCACGACGATGCACCCCTTCATACTTCATCCCTTCGTTCCCAATGACCAAGGCATCAGAGGCATTCTTCCGGAGCTACTTGCCTGTCTCGCGCTGTACCTCTCTTGAACCAATCTCATTCTCCCACACGCAATCAGTCGCTCAACACATGAATTCTGCAACTCCATCCTCTCCAACACTCTCTCGACCTCAATAACATCTCGCTCGTCCCTTGACTCCTACCCGAGCGACTCCAACCACTTGTCTACATCGCGTTGGAGGTCCTCCTTTTCTTTATATTACACCTGGACATATCTCAACACCACACCAGCACAAAGACCTTCTTTAACCATCGTCTGATGCCCTTACTGGGGTGATATGCAGCAGCTAGCCCTCGCTGCTATACTTCCACCGTCGTCGCTGCTTCACTCCACGCATGCATGACCAATACTCCCGAGGACGGTTTTTCGGTCAACATTCTGCAATACAACCACCGCGACCTCCTCCTTCACCAAGCCCATGCGGCGCGTTCGACTCGACGCTGCTACCTTGACATATCTGCCTACGCCTTACCCAGTTGCGACGACATGGCTCCGGTGTATCGATCATTCCAGGAACACACTGTGCTGCTTTTGATATCGTTAAGTCGTCTCACCCCGAACAACTCTCCGGCGACATGATGTTTGTCTTTGCGCCAATCAACGAGTTATGCCCGCTGTCCACATATAAATGAGCGAGCTTGTGCCGACGTCTGGGTGGCAGAAACGCGTGGTGACGCGCACCCCGCTCACTTTGAAAAAGAAGTCGTGAGATGTATTGCATAGACTTTTCGCGTTCGTTCTGTTTCCTTCACCTTGTCTGTCTGTCGATGAGTGAGTGGATCTCCCTTGCTTTCAATTGCACCTGTGCACGTGCCCTGCCACGATGGATAACAAGACGAAGCAGGGTGCCCCTTCCTTCCCTTCCACTCTACTTGCACTTTTCCACATCCATTCCATGCCACCCTTTCTTCTCTCCCGATGACCGCAGCCTACAACACCTTCATCTCCATCCCCGAACTGGTCGCATGTCTCACCCCACTCATCACCCGGCACGACCTCATCCAGCTCGCACGGATCAACCGCACCTTCCACGCTGTCTGTACTCCCTTACTCTGGCACACCCTCGACCTCAAAGACAGCACCGTTCTCTCTCGCCTCCTTGTCTCGCCCCATGGACTCCGCGCCATTGGAACCCACGCCCATCTTATCTGCGCCGTTGCATGGAGACCTAACTTTTCGTGGTACTACTTCCGTGCTCTCTGGGTTTACTTCAACACCACCTTCCCTTTGCCATCCGAACACAAGGCCATATCGACTACCGTCCTCGCTCAAAGGCAATGGGGCAATCTGGAGTACTCGCCTTTCTCGTTCTTGGTTCCCCTCCCGCCTCTACTTGGTTTGTCTCGGCTCAAGGCTTGCATGACCATGTACCCCTCGGACACTCTGATGCTAGGTGTACCGAGCTACAGCCTTGACAACCACCTCCACCAAATCATGTGGCTGGTTAGACTCAATGGTGCAACCTTAACCCATCTGAGTATCACACAACTGAGCCTGATATGCGTCCGGGTGGTTAGGGATATCTCCAGAACCATCTCGCAGCTCTCTTGTCTCCGAGTGCTAAAGTTGAAAATACAGCCTGTACATTCGCTCACTCGTGATGCATTCGAGTCTCTATTTTACAGCTGCCCCGCTTCCCTGGTCGACCTTAAGATCGCCTACCAGATTTCAAGAGAAACGTTTTGGTTCAGTCGCGATCCGGTTGTGGGCAACTGGGATTATGATCAAGGACCTCTTATCCTGCGCGGCACGCCACTGCTCCATCTCAAGAGTCTTGATATCCCAGCGATGCCGCTTCAAGACCTGGCTCAGGTTTACGGCACCGTGCTTGGACAGTGTCCTGCTCTCGAGTCCCTTGAGTTACCCAAGCTGGGTCAACTTACCGACGATATGCTATTTGTCATTGCGTCCATCAGTGAGTTGTGTCCACGGATCTCGGCCCTATCCTTCCCAGAGGGCTGCTTTGCCGAGCATGTGATGATGGTTCTTGAAACGCTTCCTGAGCAACAACTGAAGAATCTTTGCTATAGTTCGTACAACGATCCGGATCCGGAACCGATGATCACGACATGGACTCGACACTCCATGACCCTTCGGCGGATAGAGTTCACTCATACGAGTCGCATCCTGAGCTCAGTTATCCAGGCGGCGTTGACGACTTGTGAGGGGCTGGAGGTCCTTAATGTGACGTGTAAAACAGGCTCGGAGAGAGTGTGTCTGATCTTTGCGAATGCGATCGAGTCCGAGTGGGTCTGCAAAAGGATTCGAGAGCTGGTGATGAATGTCTGGATCACGTCGAGCGGAATGAACCCATCTTACATGGAGGACCCGACCAAGGCCACTTGGACAGAGGAGAATTGGCGCCATTGGGAGGACCTCGGCAAGTTCTATTCCCAGATAGGGTCCTTGACCCGCCTCGAGATCCTGGACTTGCGCGCCGTAGGGAAGATTGACACCCCGCCTAACTACAACACGCATCGGGAGTACTTTCTCTCGCCCACTGAGACTTGTCTTCCTGGACTCTTGGCGTTGGAGGATGCAGAGAAAGGCAAGATTGGGTACTTGGGCAAACTAGCTGGGTTAACGAGGCTACAAGAGCTGAGAGGGTCGGTGGTATGGACACAGACTGATAATTTGACGATGATTGGGGAGAAGGAGGTGGATTGGTTTGTGAACCATTTGCCGAGTCTGGAGATGGCTACTTTTGAGAAGAAGTTTAGTTTGCTATTGCATACTCTAAAGGCAAGGCGGCCTAGGCTAAGGCTCAGTCATATTTGAAAGCCGTTGTGAATAAACGAAATATGTTTTCAACAAGTAGGGACAGGTAGGATTTTAAGCAAACTGACAAGTGTGAAAGATAACGAAGGCAACCATCTTTTAGTTTACTCGCACGTCACTTTTTTTCTTTGCCCTATGAAACCAGGAAGATCGACACTCTCTATGCCTAAACGCCACAGCCAACGTGGGCACAAATGTAGTAACTGCACGCAAGAATCAAACAAGTTTGTTAGTTTGTTTACTTGCACCTCTGTCGTTTTCACCCCACTTTTTCTCCACGATCAGAGAGGAGAGGCTGTCAGCGAGACAAAAAGGGGGCGGAATATTTGCGTTTGAGAAATGAAAATATGCCTTGTACTCATGGTCACCACCGCCGCCACAACATCATCACCACTATCTTTGCCATCACTGCCAACCATGCGTGCGCTCAACCATTCGCCACTACCTTTCTTCACTTTTTGATTACCTTTCGTTTTATCTGCCCAGGAACGCGGGTTGGTTTCTATCCATGCATGTGCACTTGGCCCTCTCTATTTTTTAGGCACATGTGGATGCAAGTTCTACCATGGCAAGGAGGTATCCGAGACATTTTTGTGTTTTGCGATTGCTGTGTTTGTGTTCTCACCACAGAAAGGACAGAAAACGAATAAGGTTTGCATGATGAATACACATCTTCTCCTTGCTCCTAGAGACGAGGAACTAGTAAGGTTGTTGTTTTTTTGGCATGAATGGAGGTTGCTTGTTTGGTGCTACGACAGAGACGGGAGGAACTATGACTGTGAGGATTGGGCCCATGGCGCACTCACTCGCCACCACTCGCCACTTTCTTATTCAGTCACCATTGTCCAATAGATGGGCGTATAAATACCCCTCTCGTCTCTTTGCATTTTTTCACTCAACCCATTCATATTTCTCTCGCTCTCTCTCTCTCCGTCCTCTTTCGCTTTTTTCATATCTTCCCTTGTCGACACCACAACCACCGGTCCTGTCTATCCGTTGTTGTTTTTTCGTCGCGTTACTTCCTCGTCGCCCCTCGTTACCAAGGTATGTGGCCTATCACCCAGCGCGTCATATTTTTCACAGTGCGCCCCTAACTCTCCACTCCATGCTAAACCGGGATTTCAATCCACAAGCGTTTGCACTCATTACTTACTTGCACCTTAACTCGATCGATCATCTGCCAAAATCCCACCTCGTAGAAATCAAACATCACTCCCCTCCACCATGGTCCGCCATACAAAGAACCTCGGAGCAATCCACATTGCCTGGGGATATGATGACGCATGCATCGGATACTTCTTCACCGTCTACGACGACCGCCTCCGCTGGCAGACAGGTCAATCCTCTGAAGTTGACAGTATTACCGAGAAGGTCTCGATGGACGGCGGAGGGAACTACTTTGATCTCAACACGTACCGAATTGGAGGATTTGGGCACAAGGTCTCGGAGAAGACGATGTTTACGTTTATGAGACGATATGGGATTGATCCGGACAAGATCAAGAGCCATGACGGCGGTGTGGGTGAAGGGACTGGGGGTGTGAAGGAATGCGCCAATTCGGAGTGTCGTATGTTGGAGACTGAGACTGCGCACAAGAGATGTGCAAGGTGCAGGAATGCTTGGTATTGCTCAAAGGCGTGTCAGACTACCGATTGGATCTCGCACAAGGTCATTTGTATTGAGGCTTGATGAATGAGTGTTTTTTTTTGTTGCGGGTAAATGTAGGGGTGCCCTGGCGTTTCACCAACAAAAGGGCATGCCTTTCCAGACCCAAGGCTCTTTGCCTTGATCTTAATTTCACCATGACAATCCATCCTCACCCCGTCGTTCTTTTTTTTTACCACCTTTTTTTCTCATCTCTGCTATCGCCCCTAACCTCCTTTTTTGTCTCCTTTTTTATATCCGTCCTTTTTTTCTATCCCTCCTGTTTCTCCTCAATAAATGTTGATCACCTTCCAGGCACTAGTTCTCTGCCCTGTGCCTTGATTTTGATCCCAGGCACCATCGTTGATCACCCTATCTGTCTCATTGAAGGTTTTATTCAAAGATAACAACCACTCTTTTTCACCCCTCTCGCAGCACGAATGGACTCGGGTGGACGCAGTTGCAACAAAAACAAAGAGAAGGACGAGCAAACAGGGACATGGTCAAGTCTGCCTTGCAAGATACAAATAGGGGCGATAAGGTTGAAGGAGAAGGAGGAGGATAGGATGGATTGAAACAAATATGTGCGTAAATCCATGTTTTTAGTGCTAGCCGTAGAGTTCACATGGACTCTACGGTCCGCTCACCTGTCTCTGCCAGGTGTTCACAATGGATGTAAGAGCTCGATTGGTACAAAGAAGAAAAGAGAAGAACCTCTACAGCACGCGGTGTTCCTGATAATCGCGACTCATTCAAATAGAAGAGGATTCTGTGTATGATGATTGATGTTGTCCATTTTTTCCCCTTATTTTCGCATTAATATTACCCAAAACCAGAATACAGTCGCACGGTCTTGAATCACTTTTGCCATGTAATGCTGCAGCGGTGAACAATGGAGAAAAACGGTAATGGATTGCATCTTTGCAGTTGACTTGTTTATGAAATAAACTCCATCTCCGATTCCTTGTTTTTGTTTTCATTCATTTCATAGGTTGCTCTCTACGACCTTTCCTTTACTTCCTTTTTCCTTTTTTCCTTTTTTCTCTGTTTTTTGTCTGCCACAAGAGCGCTTGAAGATGCAGGAGAGAGGGAATAGAGAGAGAATCCAGACGGAAAGGTCGATGCCGTCAGTCAAGAGCAAGCGGGGTTGGTGGCTTGAATTTAATTCCTACACTGCATTTGCACCAAGGACACCTGGGACATACCGACAGAGAGGGTGTTGTCGGGGTAAGGAGAGGACTAGCGATGATGGTATCGATGATGCTGTTAGAGTAGTGGGATATCCTTTTGGGCTCATATCTGCATAAGAGAAGAAGAAAGGCGCAAAGGAACGAAAAAAAAAAGTCAGTGGCGATGAAGAACATGTATGTTTACACACTCCTTTTCTCTATTCCCACTGTTTTCATTTTCATTCAGTTATTAATCGCTATCGTCTTCGAGGATAGTGCGGTTGGAAAAATGAGATGTGTGATGGAGTCGTCTTGCGGCATAGCTGCGAAGTGTAGTAGTAGATAATACTATGACCGACGACTATGAGAGAGTGGGAGAGAGAAGGAAAGAGTATGTGAGCATGTGTGTTGTCTTTACTGAGCTGCATTGTATGCAGCAGTAGTGATTGGTGGCGTGGGAGGTGAGAAGTGGCCGTGTGATGAGGGTGAAGAATAGAGAGAAAGATAGGAAGGAGGAAAGAGGATAAGAAAGGAGAAGATGAAGAAAAAAAAGGAGAGAAGGAAGAAAGAGAATGCAAAAACAAAGAAGTAAGAGAATGCAAAAAGAAAGCAGAAAGAGGGAGCAAAGAAGGAGGTGAGAAAATACAGAGGGTATCTTTAGTCAAAGGTACAGTGCTTTGCCGTCATACCATTGATCATTGAACAATGACATAAACGCGTTTGCCATGACTGTTCGTGTCAAAAGGATTAAAGCAGGTCCCCCTTGTTTCAATCAAATGCGTCGCTTCTTATCTGTCAGCACTCAAGGGTAACGCGTCTCTAATTGAATAATAGGGAATTTAACACACACATAGACACACACTCCCATGTACTAACAACATCATACAATATTTGTATTGAGAAGCTTTGTTGCTATCCTCCATTGAGATCGAGTCTTATGTTCGTTCTATGTTTATAGTAACACCATAATTCTCTACATTGATCTTTATATTCACTTTCAATTTATATATTTCCACCTCTGCTCCCTGTTGTCTATCAGTCTGCAGCATCTTATTTCCTTACCTGTCTTCTACACTTCTCTGTTCTTTCTTGCACACTCCTCTCTTTCTTTCGCATAAATAAAACAACACAAAAACAACATGCACCTTCCTCGGTCTTGCCTGTCCAACGCAATGGGGTTATGTTTGCAGAGCGGAAAGGCTTTGTGAGGTTCCTGCTAATGATAATTCCGAATGTCGGAAGTGATAAATCCATTAAACACGACTTTAATTGAATGGAGTATTGTAAGCGGTAGAGTAGCCTCGTTGCTACGATCTGCCTAGATTAAGCCCACAGTTCTATAGATTCGTTTAAAAGAACATGATCCCCTCTCTCTGCTTCTTTTTTTCTTCAGGCGCTTGGATTAAAGTTAGGCAAACAATTGAATTGGTGGGCCATGGTTAATTCTAACCAGCGCGTACGTTGTCCTTATGTCCGTATCCTATCTGTTTCGATGATGTCCATCTGAACCGGTACTGTTCACAGCAACATTATTAGATTATTAGTACTCGATATTGCAATGCATCAATCGCCAGCCGGCTTTTCAGCCGGAAGGCATTGCCGGCAGTGGATAGGGCAACCTCGATACTACGAATGACGCGTTGCATCTAGGACTTTAATAAGACGTAAAACGGGATTGCAGCGAGTACAGTAGGATGTGTGCAACGACGCACCACTTACGCCTGAGTTTGATTAGAGTTCGTATATAATTTTTATTCAGTTCAATTCATTTCTGCCCGAAAATGGTTCTGAGTTATTATTCTTCCTTGCCAGGGACTCTATCTGTGTATCTTTCTTTTATTACTAACCGTGGCTTCCGAAAAAAAAAATTGAAAATGAAAAATGAAAACAAAATAAAGGGGACTAGGTGATCTGTTGATCTCTATCTATTTGCTAGAAAAGGGCGGGTCGGGTGGGACATCTAGAGTCCCTGGCGTTGTTGAATAATAGGCTTTAGCCGTCATTACATTCGGCAACGCTATCCACAAAATGTAGCTCATAACGAGGGCGCGTTGTAGATACAGAGTGGACTCATCTTAGGACTCTCCATCAACAACAATTGCTTCTTCCCTTAGAGGCTCTCTAAAAGACGTGCGTTAGCGGAAAAGGGATTAGAAGATAGGTCTGGGTAACGCCCATCCTTATGTATGGTTGGTGGAGCGCCACACGGACAAGAACCCTGTATCCATAGCCTTTGTTCCAGACACTCCCGGGACCAGTGCATCCATTTTCCACAATTTTATTTCTCCGACAAAATGTACAAGGGAAGCATTTGATGGTACAAGGGCGTACATACCAAACTCTCTCGAGCGCCATCCACCAGTTGCAGTCCGGTCTACAACTTGGCTCTGCACGACAATTGTCGCTGCTATTCACAGCTTAATGGAATAAGAGATTGGATTCTTCGCATTCTTTCCATCAAAGATACCCTTCACCTTCCCAGTAGACTCTGCCACTGCTGTTTTATGTAGCGCAACAATCACTGCCCCTCATCAAAGAAATGAACTCTTCCTGTCCTCGGTAAACGGATCGGAAGGCGGGACAAACGCGCCCATCGATCGATTTTTACATCAACCGAGGTACGTCCCAAGTTATGACAGCGGGGTCAGAGTGGAGCAAAAGGGGATCGCTGAGGGAGTACCATTAAGTATCTGCACTGCACATCATTCACAAAAGAGGATTTCGCGGGTCCTAAAGGCATGCAATGCAGCAAGCGAGAGCGTAACGCCCACATTCTCTCTCCACTGTCTCATTCTTCCTCCTTTTTAGTCCCAACCGGTTCCTTTTCCGTTTGTCCCTTCGGCCGTTATTCTGTCATGTATACCAGGCAACAAAGAAGTTCGTTACATTCTTGCGGATGATATCCAGAGGAAAGGCAAAAGTTTTTGCGACGTGTTTAAGGGGTGCACTCATTTGCTATAAAATGATGCATCAAATCACTATCATTTCCCTCTTCCCTACACTCTCTTTCACAATCCAAACCTCTGCACTTCAAAATGCTCTCCAAAAAGCTGTTCCTCATCGCCCTCATGAGCGTTGCTCTTCTGGCCGGTGCCATCGATGCCACTGAAGTCCTTCACCAGAAGCGTGCAACCTGCCTTCCACTGGGATCGAGCTGCAGCGTTATCCCTGATATCAACCGTCCACGCTGCTGCACTTTCCTTGTCTGTGACCTCAAGAATGCCAGATGCAAAAGCGGTCTCGTCATCAACTAAAGCAGCGGCCAGGCGACCCTTTCCTGTGTGAAATCCTACATTATTTTTTTCTACCAAAAGAATTTACCACTGAATCCAATCAAAAAATAAAAATAATAAGCATGAGCCTCTTCCTCCCAAAAAAAAAAAAAAAAAAAAATTGATTTCTTCATGAGATTCAGTACCACCCTATACCACTTCCAAAGTATCTCGTCCTCGTACTCAGGGTTATTGTGCGGGCCGCATATCTTTAACGTCACTGGCTCTCCTTGCCGTGCGACTCTCCAAGAAGTTCCTGAATTTCAAACTCCCGCAAGCTCAAATCCACTTGGCAACCGTTGGAAGATCTGCTGTATCTTGTTCCTGCTTCTGGTAACGATTCCTGGGTGTTGTTGGTCCTACTTTCGGGTGTGTTTCTTTCGTTCGTGGCAACTGCCATCGTTTGAGCCGTCGTTGTTATCGTCGCCAGGAGGGCTCTCCAGAGGAGGACTTTGAGAGGGAGACAGCGGAGGAGGCGAACTGGCGTAATCGTGATCAGTAAGCTCCATGAGATACTTGTAACAATGTAACCAGGTCGGACCGGTGTTGTCGTGGCGGATGGAAGGCGATATCCATAATGTACCCACATCTCTCCTCATAAACCAAGTGTCGTCGTATGTTGTGAGGATCCTATATCTCAGACTATTGTGACACAGGTAGCCAAATATCTGGTGGACTTGGTGCCATGTGGGATTCGTTGGTGCACGGTCGTTTGAGATAAGATCCATATCTTTCATGTACTTTGTAACCAGACTGTTGCAGGATAAGGCCTGAGTAGTCTTGATCTCAATGAGGAGCCTTAGCTCTTGTGAGGATCGAATATAACAAATGCGATCAGGCTTTCCTGTTGGAGAATATTAACCAGGTTGTAATAGCAATGTGGTAATATTAGTATTAGGTGAAAAGGAACAATGAAACAAAGAGGGATCTGTTTGAAGAGTCCTCATGTATCCTCGTCCTCTATAATACAGCTCACCTGTCACTCTGGCTATGTCGGAGTACTCTCCAATCCGTGCGGTTGTTAGTAGTCTGTTTAGAAAATTGTAAATATTTGCGTTGGGGGTTTCAAACCTTGACATTTGACGGCGTGAAACCAAATGCGCCGTCAAGGACATCCGCCATGGAATACATTATTATTTCCTCGATGGCTGATGTATTTCAAATACGCCATTCGATTTGAATGTGGCCATGTCAAGGTTTGAAATCAATGCATAGCCGACACAATCTTCGCTCACGGCGAACAAATCAGTGCTGAATTGGTAATCAGCAGAGCTGAGTGTTCGATCTGTGGGACGGTTAGGCGCTGCTGCTTACGTTGGAAAATTTGTCCGTTTTGTAATATCGGTTGATGTTCGGCTGTATATCGTCTGTGGTAGACGATGATACATCGTTGTTTACAAGCCAACCTAGGGGAGGCAGCGGTCAATTCAGGACGTTGGATATGCTAAACACTGCAAAAGAAACAAGATAAGACAATATATATTAGAAAGATATTGAAACGACACATATCTTTTGAAAGGTTGGTAAACTGGAGAAGACAGAGTCGGATATCTAGGTGAGTGGTAAAGTCCGGTGAATGGAAAGGATAGTCGTGTTCGGACTGGGCAAGCATTCAGGAAAATCGTCCTGGTTGGCCGCGACACGGCCTTACACTTGACCACCAGATCAAAGTACCGAGTCGACTGAGGTTGCTTGGCCAGCTTGCGTAACTTCTGCCTAGCCCTCCGCTGCTTCCGATCCCTAGGCTTCCGCTTGACTCGCCTTGACTTCTTCTTCTACTTCTCGTCGCCCCCCTTACCATGGGGTTGCGTCAATGTTGCAGGGGTCCGGTCAGGTGGGAGCGAGATGGTGGCACTGACGACGCAGGAGGTACCCAAATCGGGCGACAGCACCGCAACCTGACTCGGATTAGCAGTCAACTGGCTCTCCACATCTGCAGCTGTGGAGAAGACATTGCGAGCCTCGGTCAGGTAACTGGTGGTGTCACTAATGGTGGTGACGAGCGAGTAGGGCAATTTGTCCTCGGGAACACGGCGATACCGGACAGACTGGAGCTCCTTCAGCTTGAACCCCAGCAGCTGCAGCAAACGGCCATTGGTTCGGATCGAGCCCTGGAGAATATACCTCTTGCCGTGCCACTCCTTGGAGTCAAACGCCTTGGTTTGCAGACATCCGAGGCGTTCCCAGGGTCTTTCCTTGCCGTGCTTGTCTGATGGGAGTTCGACATCCAATAGGAAAGCGGTGACGAGGCGGCCATACATTGTCTTGGCCAGCCAGTCCAGAGCGTCTACCTGCGAAGGAACTATGGCTGGATCCTGAAAGTATCGATCCTCGACCATCATACTCCGGATCTTGTCCTTGAGGGTCAGCCAGGACCAGAACAGTGAGATCAAATACTGCTCAGAGAAGTCAGCGTAGCTAGCTGCCAGGGGTGAGAGGGGCGCAATACGTCTCGATCCGCCGTTGGCCTTGTTCAGAGGCAGGTAGTTCTCGATGGCAGGCGGCTTAGGGTAGATCTTGGGAAGTGCCGTGCCAGGTTAGCCATCCGCTTGTGAGTTGATATATTGTAACGGGAAAAAAAGACATTGATTCGAAATAAGTTTTGATAAGTAGCTCACTTCTCATTTCGTCCGTGACAAAGCTCGGATTGACAACTTCACATTACTTTCTTCTCAAGGGCGAGCGAGCAGTTGCGATACATCATCTTGATTGGGTGATAGAGTTGCTTGGTGGTCGACTCGAGCAACCACTTGGTTGTCCATCTCATCGATCTTGGGCGGCGGCTTCTTGGCTATCTCATTTCCCATTTTGAGTCGCCGAGCCTCACGCTGCCGCTTCTTTGCAGCCTTCCTCAACTCCGCCATGTACGGCTTCCATTGGTATTGCTTGCAGATATACGGTGGCTTATGTTGCTGCGGTTTCGGCCGTGCCTTGAACGAGTATCGTGGCTAATGCACCAGTCGTGAGACTCCAGGCTGGTAGGCTGGCGGGTCGATCACACCGTGCAGTCTAAACTCCCTGTGCTTGCCCTGCCGATTGGGTTTGGCGTCGCTAGAGCATGTCGTAGAGTGTGATAATAGGCAAACAACATGATATACTTTTTGCAAGTGATGGGAAAGTCAGATCAGAGGTCACGTGAGAGAATCACATATCACCTAATCTGTTACCTCTTGATGCCCAAATTCCCTTAGCTCTTCTGTTCTTTGGCTCCGGTACACTGGTTCTTGACCGACTTGTACTGCTGACAGAGCAGCTCGTAGGACAGGGAAGATGCAGGGAAGATCGTCAAAGGCGTCGCTGGCTGTGATGACGGCAACAGAACAGAGGATACGCCCGCTGGAACAGCAATCTCCTGAGTCATTGTAGTGAACACGAGAATAGAGGCCGTGAAGTCGATGCCTTCTTGATAGCTGCAGACCACGCGTGGACTCTTGAGATACTCCTTCACCAGGGACGGCACGTCTAACAGAGAAGGGGTTCAGAAAAAGGAGTCATGATGAGTCTGGCCATGTCCACAAGGAATAGAGGCGATATGGGCATGCTGGCAAGACATTTGCTCTTACCTGCATCGAGTAGATCCTTAATAATGCTGTAGTTGGTGGCAATCCCCATCGACGGGATATTCTTGTTCTGGTCATTACTCGAGACGCATGCCAGGGCAGTGAGCTTGGCGGTCGACAGTTTTATCTGGGCCGGCACCGCCTCCCTGTTGTATTCGAGGACCTTGACCTCGTACCGCTTGCCCACAGGACGCCAGAACGTCGTGACCGAATCGTAAGCGAAGAAGTCCGAGTTTTGAGATAGAACAACGTCCTTGGGTTGGCACTCTGCAGCGATGTCAATGTCGGCCTCGGTTCTGCACAGGCGCGCGTCAAGCTGTTGACCCTGCAGAAAATTGATGAAGTCCTCCCGATCTCGGAGGGACTACTTGAATCCTCCACGGAGACTCTTCTCGACATTCTTGAACATCTGCTTGGTGGGCGGCTTGCCTTGACTGACGCGGTTGCTGAGCGTCTCGACGGCGACCTTGGCGGTCTTGAGGGCCTTGACTCGCTTCTCGTTTCGCTCGTGGTGAGTCTCCTTCTTCTCGAGAGCAGGGGCGCCGTCGACATAGAACACCATGCGCGAGGGGTTGCCATATTTCTTAAGATGCTCAAAGAGGATGGCATGCGCCCTTGTCTTGTTATCTGTATGCCTGATGTTGATCCCGCGAATATTATTGAAGAAGGACAGAACGTCCACGTGAATAGTGGCGCCGTCAGGCAGGTGGTGGTGCATGGGGTGACGAAGCGTGGGATGGTAGTCTCTCTTCTTGCGGAGTCAAGGGTAGAACCCCTTCAGTCCCATGCTGGTTAGTGCGAATGAGATGGGAGTGGGGGCGATGCGTAGAATTGAGAAGAGGGAATAACGATGGGTGGGACGAAGGTGTTCGATTAAGTGGGGATCGAGTGTTTAAGGGCTGCGACGGTGAGTGTAACTGTTACAAAAAGATGTGGTGGCTAGGCAGTGGCGGCGATGCCTTAGGTTAGCAGTCATATTCTTTAGTAGACATAGTATTAGTAGTGCGCCGAGCCCTCTTATCTGCTCTTTGTCCTTTTACACATCACTTCTTGGACGAGAGCAGTATTGACAAGAGTTTCGCTGGCGTGCTGCAGTGTATCGTTTCGTGTGATTCTTTAGGACGCTACCATCACTATCCCCGACTATCAATCCCCCTGAGTAACAAGAGCAATATTTTGTATTTAAGGGCCGCTACGTGTCCCAACCGTACACCAAGACCCTGGCATAGGTGTCCAGCCAATACACGTAAAAAAAAAAGGTTTACAGGGTTTTAAACCCAATTTTTCGAAATAACAGCTTCCTATTGGTCCATTCTGGCTCTCCCGCACTACTAATCGCTGGGACAGGCGCTTTTTTTTATTCTTTCTCTTTTCTTTCGTGTCTTTTTTCGTGTCTACATGGCCGATATCATCCTAGCCCTCGCTGAAGGAATGGTGGCAGAGGAAGAGGAAATGCTGAACGTTCTCTTGGATCTCAACAACGCTCCAGAGCAGATTCTTGCCCGCTTTCTTGCGCGCCCTCGTCCAATCTTCAACCCTCCCCAACGCAACTACGAGTGCAGGATTCTTTTTCGCTTTGAATACGACCACATCCTGCTCATCATGGACGCTCTCCATTTTCCTCCTTTTGTTGCGCAGAAGAAGAAGATGCCTGGTTTGGAAGCACTGTGTGTCGTCCTCAATCGGCTGGCCTATCCCAAGCGGTACATCGATCAGAGGGAAATGTTTGGTCGACACAAATCAGACTTGAACACATTCTTCAACATAGCCATTCTTCAACATAGCCATCAACTTTATGTTCGATACCTGGGCCCACATCATGGTCTTCGACCACGTTCGACTGATGAGACGGAAGCTGGAGTTTATGGCTGATCATGTGTTTGACATGAATGCATCTCTCCACTTGTACTCTTTTTTTTTTTTTTTTTTTTTAGCAACCTAGCTTCAATTGGCGCGAGAATTACATCACCGAAGTTAATAAATCGCCTGTCCTCGAAACTCGACTCTCCTCGCTCCTGTCATTCCACCCAGCGCACACGACGAACATTAACTGAGATGGGCACGATTACCTGCCTACATACGTCAGACACGTGATGGCTAAGCGGTGGGGCATCCTAGCCGACACATCTGACGTTAGGCACTCGACAATCTATGGACTGGCGCGGCACAGGATCTGTTGAAGAGTTTGGGCGAGAAGGGCACGTTCATTCGAAACCGCATGTCTAAGTTTTCGTCCAATGAACGCATGGAAATCTGGCGAGATGCCATTCAAGACGTAGGTGCTCCATTGGCCCTTCCTACAGGCGCATTCCAAGTTCAGCTACAGTGCTACAATGTAGAATCCGCTTCTATTTTACCTTTTTTTTTATTTATTTTTATTTTTGGCAAATAGCGCCAGTACAGGCGAGATCTCCGTACCTTCACTCATCGACAGATGAAATCCCAGGTAGCTGATATGACGAGCGAGTCCGAAGCGCAGTCGACTCTGGAGCGTGATCTTGATAAAGGTACGTTTTCCTTCGTTGAATTCAAGTTGCCTGACTAGCATGGCTGTGCCATGTTGAGTGCTTGCACAGGGACCAAAGCTGATTTCGCTCAACGCTATTATTTAATAGGGGGTTTCAAACGTTGATATGCCCACATTCAAATCGAAGCGTTCATCTTCGATGTAGCAAAGACATTACCGATCTATCTCAGCTGGAAGGCTTTGACGTCGGTAAAGCGTTCAAGGTGCTGCAGGCCAATACAGAAGAGATTATCAACAATGGTAAGAAAAAGGTTAAAATCTCCAATGTGCATCTACTCCTACAAGTCAAAGAAAGAACGCGGTACCTCTATCCTGTCCTGTTTCGGAACTGTGCGACTTAACTTTTTGTCTTGTGCGTTTGGAAATAGTACTGGTAACTATGTCTGGCACACCGCCACCGCCCTTCCTGGCATAAATGACCATTCCCATCGATCTATTTGCAACTCGATCAATGGCCTGAAGATTCGACTTTCTCCTAGTGAAGTCCTCCTGTGTATCGAACTTGGACGGGAACTTTCAGACGCGGGCAAGATTCGATCCCGAGCGGTAGAAGACGACGACGAAGAGCGCATCGTTCCTCTGTTCCAGACTCTGTAAGTAATATTATTCTGCTGTCCGTGCCACTAGTTCCATAACAGTAGCGACTAACATTGCTGTTGACTCGCTTGACTCTGTCGTTGACATAGCGCGAACAAATTATCGGTTGAAGCGATGTCATGGGCGTTCAAGAATGAGGATGGCTTTGCTCGTGATGTCCTAGATGCCATTTTCACGCAGCTGTTTCCAGAAGGACGAGCGCCGTACGAAGTGATCTGGGCTAATTGCCCGTCCGAAGCGAGCAAGCTGCGTCGAGGGGAGTCCCTGAAGGCGGACGGCACGGTCATGAAGGAAGGCTTTAATGCTGCATACCCGGAGGCCAAAGGCCCGAAATATAACAAGTGCCAGTCCAAGTACTTGGAAGACTTTTGGGATCCATCGTCTTTTGGCGAGGATTGCATTGAATCCGACCTCCGCGCTCGACGATCTATCAGAGTAGTACCCGTTGTTCAAGTGTTTGGTAAGATGGACCAGCTACAATTGCTCCCCTCCCTTGTCAGTATACACCCACTAATAACTTATGTTGCTGTATTCTGTGTTGAGTTATCATTTTAGGTCGCAAGGTGGCACTGTACATCAGGAAATTTTTGTCAGAATTGTATATCCTGCGCCAGGTCTCTATTTGCTACCTTCCACGAGACCTTCAAGATATGAGAGGAATGATCCAGTGTATCGAGGCTTTCAGAGCATTAAAGGTAAACACCATCTTCAAATGGGTATGATGAACTCTTTCTCTAGGATTATGTGGCGAGGTAGAGACATAACACTCCTTTTCCTTTCACTTTGGCAATAGCGTATTCTGGATGCCTTGGATTTACACCGGTACGTCAGGACACCGCCACGCCTCAAGGAGGAGGATTTGCTGCCGTATGATCAATTTCTCCGACCCACAAACGTGTCACCCACCAGCCGACCCTTCTTTCCGAAGACGGCGTGAAGTCCCAGCAAGTCACTACTTGTATTATTAAAAACACCTGCGCCTTTTCTCAATAAGCACACATTCGACACCTCCGCCTCCCACTGTACATATCGCACCGCTACCAACAGAGTTGTCCTTGCAACACCCCAGGAAACAAAAAACAATAGCTAGTTTAAAAAGTACCCTTAAATAAATAATAAAACTTCGAAGGAAGGCTAATTTATCGCATTTTAGCAAGCTCCAGTCATTGAAGACGTTCATGCGTCATTGGTTTGAACGTGATGTAGCTAGTAACGGGGTACTCAGAACCCCTCTAGTTTCATCACTCGTCCTCTCCCCGGGGGGGGGGGGGGGGGGGGGGGATTGAAAGAAAAATCGCGGAGTCAGCAGTAAGCCAGTATGGCACCATAGTACACGCCCTGCGGCTCCTGGGTATCATCACACACACTTCACATATCTAAACGACACACACACATGCACACACACACGCACACCACATATTGACATCACTTGACATGATTGAAGGTTGTGGCTACAAGATGATCACTGAAATAGCTTCGTAATACTTGGATAAGTTTTCTTAGTAACGATGACAACAATCTTGTGAGAAGTCTGGGCGTGAGGAGGAGCTCTATCGTCTTGAATCCGGACGGGGCTCGCAGAAATCATGGAAGATAAAAAAAGGAGCGAGCACAAGGGAAAACAGGACAAGGGTAAAAAAAATGTGCGGGGGTAGGAGAGGCAGAGTAATACAGGATAAGGGAAGTACATAATGCATGAGGACCAGAGTAAGGGACAGATGGGTTTCAGGGAGGTGTTGGAAAGTAAAACTTTGCTGGGAATATTAAAAGGAAGTGTATTTTGATGATATGAACTGATCGGAAACCATTTCTGGCTAATAGGCTAATAAAGGTAAGGTTGCTGTATGGCGGCGATTGGTGGCAATTGAGGGAAAAAAGAACACATTCGTTTGACATTGAGTGGTGCTTTTCCTGCTGCAGACGGCGTACTAAGGCGGCGGAATCCATCACTGGACAGTAACTGCGACTGTTGGAGATGTCACTTCATCATGCGTGATCCTCAGCTCTTGCTTGCCCTTGTCGTTGAGTTTGGCGTCAAGCGAGTAGCTGCTGCCCTGCTTGACGGTTGTACTTGCCTGAAGGGTGGTCCACTTGCTGCCTTTCTTGTGCTGGAGAACGAGTTTGCTGCCAATTGGCATCCCCTTGGTCCGCCCAGTGAAGGTGACTCTATCACCCGCCCGGACAGAAATGGGCATCGCCATGATGGTGATCGATGCAACAGACATGACTGACCCGGCAGCTGGGTATCCATGTACTGCAGTAAAGGTCAGGGCAGAAGATACCAAGAGCGAGAGAATCACGGGTAACTGACTGAGGCGCATTTTCTGCAGATTAAATGTCTGGGCACTGAAAGTCTTGTGGCGGCTCTTGAAGAGGAGTGGGCGTGCTGAATCCGTTCTTGCGATGGCTCTTGTGATAGTTCTTGTGCGTTTTGGGAGTGTGTTGTGGGTCTTGGGACAGGATCAGATGCGCGTCAGAACAGGGCGCTAAGTAATTATGCCCTCTTTATATACATGAGAGGGTCGTTAGAGAAATGAAGCACATCAAACTGTTGCCATACTGTATAGGCGTGGAGAGAGATAAATCGTAAAGACACCATTAGCATCTGGGTCCGGAATGAGAACGATCAACAGAGTACTGTCAAGATGAGAGATGCTAAAAAATCAAGGGGATGAAGAAAAAATAGAGGGGGGCACTAAAAGACCAAGGGGATAGAGAGAAAAGGAAGAAAACGGAGAGGCACTATGAAGATCAAGGGATGCTGCGAAGAGAGGAATGCCACAAAAATTCAAGGAGGCTGAGTGGTTTGTAGACGATGAAGAAAGACAGCTGGCTTGTGGCATCCAAGTGTTCATTGTGACATTGCTTTTTGATCCTTTGATGTCGACTTTCCTAAGAAAGTGCCGTTTGGTGCTGCATGCCTACTGATGGCAAATGATCAAGGGGTTGGAAAATCAAGGGGTGGGGAAAATCAAAGGACACTGGGAAAAGAAAAGGATGCTGGAAAAAGACTGAGAGACAAACAGAGAACAAAGTACTGGAAAGATCATCAGGGGATAACATAAGGGAGGGACAAATTCAAAGGATGCCAAAGAATCAAAGAATGCTGGAAGGTGCAATATTATCACGTAACCATAGAAACATGCTATGAATTATCTGGTACGTAACACTTATCAACCAGCCAGCCTAACCATTTTCACGCAAAAATTGGCGACGTGAACATTAACGTCGACCTCGACCGATTGGGCGAACCTTACCAAGGAGGGAAAGTAATTATGTCTCGCTTAAATGGCGTTTTTTTGGTCTGACTCCACTTCTCTCCCTCACTTCCACCGATACCATGCCCCCTGTTTCAAAGCACCAACCATCCGAGCGCCAGAGCGTCATCAGCGCTGTCGAGGCCATGTTTTTCGTGGCCCTTGAACACTGGAAGGCCCTCCTTGAGGCTGGTCATACTATTCCGCCGACCATTCCAACCTTCTGGTTCGACAGGCTCCAAGAGCTACATGCCAGGCGTTACCTTCGTTCTCGTACCCGTCTGCCCTCTTCTGCAACGTCGAGGGACGAGATCCTGCCGGAGTATAACGCCGTCGCATTTATGCGGATTACGCCGACTCAGTTCTAGATTCTCTTGGATCTTATCCAGGACCACCCTGTCTTTCAGCGCGCAAACTCGCTGCGTCCCCAAGCTCCAGTCCGGGTCCAGCTCACTGTGGCACTCTACCGTCTGGGATCAAAGGGAATTTCATCGTACAAAACTGCGTTCATGATGGGTGTTGGACATGGGTCAGTCGACTTGTTTACCCGTCGATGCATTGAGGCGGTCGAAAGTATGGAGGAGCGGTTTATTGTCTGGCCCGATTATGAATGGTATGTAAGGGTTGGGCGGTATCGAGCTTGTTCATTCTTCAATACCTTTCAATATATTTACTAATACTTTATCAACCCGTCACGATTCCCCCAAAGAAAATGCGATATAAAGACGTGCTTCAAATATGCCAAAAACTTCCCCAATTGCATAGGAGTGGTGGACGGTGTCCTCTTCCCGTTCGAGTCAGCTCCGGCATATGACACCATCTCTTGGAACACCCGCAAGTGCGTCTACGCGATGGGCTGTACTGCTGTTTGCGATCATCGAGGTGGCTCTTTAAACAACTCTCCCGCGTACAAAGGCACCAGTTTCTACTGTCACAGTACCGAATATTTTGCGGAGGATGAGTATCTTCTTGGCGATGCAGGCTATTCCTTGCTCGAGACCGTTATCACACGCTTCAAAGGGAATGACGTCCCCCAGTATGAGCGTCGATTTAACAGCTCTCATGGATCGGCGCGAGTCAAGATCGAGCACGCTTTTGGGTGGTTGAAGCTCAAGTGGCAGTCTCTACAGTGCCTTCCTGTCAAGATCAACAGTAGAGGGGAGATCTCCAAGGTCTCAAATGGATCGTTGCGTGCATTGTTTTGCACAATATATGCCTCGAGCATCCAGATGGAGGGGAAACAGCTGACGCTGAGGCCAAATGGAATATGGCGAACCCTCACGCACAACCACCACCACAACAGCAGCATGAGGATGACTTGGTGGCGGAGGGTGATGCAACTGGCTTGGGTGACAAAGAGAGAGAGAAGGGGAAAAAAAGGAGGAACGGATTGAATAGATATGTCTTGAATTATAGATACCGCCTGCCAAGAAATGGAGTGCAGAGAAACGGTCAATACAGCTGTTTAATAGTTAGCATGGGTAAAGTCTAGTTACTTCTTTGGTGGTGGTCTCCTTTAGCACTGAGTTGTCCTTCAATCTACCCTCCAGATCCTTCATCCAAGCAGCCTTCTTCTCTTCTAAGTTCTTGATATCGTCCTCCATTTCTTTGATTTTCCTTTGCTTGGCCCCAATCGCCCTATTTGTTCCTTCTGCTCTTCAACAAGCCGTCGTTGAAACCTGGTCTCTCGACTCTCAATCAACGCGTCGAACTTGGCTAGTTCCTTCTCCTGCTCCTGCATGCGGCGTTCACTGGCCTCGTCCGACTTCTTGATTATGCCGATAGAAAATTCCCGCTCCTGCTTGGGCAATGCTTGCTCCCGCTCAGCGACGGCCCTCTCTCGATTTTCGAGCGCCACCTCCCTGGCCCTCATATTACTCTGCAGCCGATCAGACGACTGGATTTGTCGGTTCGAGATTTGCAGCATTGCGTAGCCAAGTCCTGCAACTGTCGAATCTGCAAAGTCGCCCTTGCGCCGTTTGTTGGCATGTCCATTTTTGTAGTGGGGAGAAGCAGTGGATGCAGGAGACCAAAAAAAATAGAGGAAAGGAAAAACAAATATTAATAAACACAAACAGATTCAGTGCGGGGTCCAGTAAATACAACCAAGTAAAGGCGTAACATTACATCCTTCGCCATTGTCGGCAGGTCCCTCTGGGTCACTAGTGTTCTCTTCCAACTCGTCCTCAATAACGGTGAAATGGGTGTCGTTAACCTCCTCGCCGTCCTCGCCGACCACATAAATATCGTCGTCCTGGATTGTATCCTGTCCTCGGCAGCCCGATTCTCGAAAGGGAGGAGGGTTCTTCGCAGCACTCTCGGGCACGACTCGGCTGAGTTTATCGAAGTACGGACAGACCAGAAGCTGCTCGACCTTGGCTGATTTGTCGTTTCTGCCTGTCAGTCCAACTCGCCAAAGTCCCGCGGCTTTGCGAAACGCCGTATCGGTGTTGTATATATTACTCTTGGCTTGCTCTGTATTCCACTTGGTACCCAGGCCAAGAGTAGTAACCAGCTCATTGTGGACATCGGTTTCCTTGTGGCCATGCAACGAGGCTATGACCTGCAGCTTGCTATAGTTCCCCTCGTCGCTGTACCAGTCAATAAACTCGTTCATGCCCGCCTTGAGCCAGAAGGAGTTGGCATGAAACCCCCATTTAGCTCTTTTGCCTTTGCATTCTTTCTTCTTGCTGTCATTGTTGTTGAGGAGACTGTGATCGATGTTTTTGTCGACGAAGTCAATAATGCTGTTGATGTCGTTGGGGTTGTAGCCAAATGTTTGATGATCTGTTGGCTGTTGTCGTCGGCAGGAACGTCCGACAGCTGTCGCCTTCGACTTGTGCGCGGAGACGAGGAAGGAGAGGCATGGGCTGGAGCAGAAGATGACATTATGGACATAGGACGCGACTGCCGCATGAGCGTGGACACGTTCGGGGGGGGGGGGGGGGGGGGGTGTTGCTGATGGGTATTTTGGGTTTGTTGATGAGCCTAGCTGAATTGCTGTTGAGAATAGTTGATTTGCTGTTGAGTATTGTTGACTTGGTGCGGGTGTATAACTCGTTGTAAGTGAACGGGTTGTGTTTGAGGCTGAGCTTGTTGCGACAAAGATTCGGTAGGCTGATGGAGTGGGTGTTGGGGGGTAGGAGTGGTGTTGCGGTTGTTCATGTTGATACTTGATGAAGTGAGACAAAAACAGAACAGTAAGTGGGAAAAAAAAAACAACAACTAGGTAGCGTCAGCAAGTGAAGGGGTGGGATGGTGTTAAACATTAACGGGAGGCGTTAAACAATTTCGTCGTGTCGACGAAAATGTTAAGCTCCTTTTCACGCCAACCGATTGGCCCATTTCAAGTCGAACGGCGTTAGACTTAACGGACGTTTAAGTAAATATCAGCCAATCATTTCGTTAACCCTAACGAAAATTCGACAGCAGCAGCAGGAATGACTGACTTGTGGCAGCCAAGCGTTCATGGCAATGTTGCTCTTTCAACCCTTGTTTCTAAGAATTTCTTCAGGTCGCATTGTTGTAAATTCAGTGAACCACACCGCTCTACTTCAGGTGCAAAAATTGGCGTCTTCAGCCACCTTCCGGTGTGGCCATTGGTGTGCTGAAGTGGTGGTCCACCGGACGAGAAATTAAATAAACGGTCACACACCTGTTCTCCTTCCAGTGTACACCTGTTCTCCTTCCGGTGTACACCTGTTCTTCTACCAGTGTACACCTGTTCTCTACCAGTGTACACTTATTCTTACACTGGTGCATGATACTGCTCGTTTTTTTTGCCACCTTCGCATGCGTCACACCGTCGGTGAGGCTTGGATACACCATGCTCTGACACAGAAGGAAGGAGTAAAGAGTATGTTGTAGGAAATACATTCATCATCATCCCTATCCCTTTCCATCATCTCTACATCTCTACCCTATAACCTTCCATCATCGCCCGCAATGAATTACAACTACGATCCCTTAGAGGATACCACATTCGATGACTTGGAAGAAGATCCCTATTCTCACAGTCCACAAGGAGAAGAGTTCGAGGAAGACTTTCCTTCGAAGTTTAGGCGAAGTGCCATTGGAGCCCGAAACGCTGATGACGAAATGACTGACGGACCTGTTGACGAAAACAGTAACGAGGGCGAAGTTGAGTCCCTCCTTTCAGTAAGTTGTTTGAAATTATCGGATCTGATTTTGTGCCGTCCCAAGTTGTGCGAGTTTACTTGCTGACCCTGCCCCTTTATTCGATTCGTGCAGCCTAGTGCGGAAGCGCGTTTTTGGGGACAACCGGGAGAGATGTCTACGGTCGTTCGTGCGGAACCTCCTGCTGTTCTTGAGCCCCCTCCATTGCTTCGCATAGCCTCAATGCCCGAAACAACTGCCAACCCCGTAGCGTCTCCCTCTCGTTCACGGGTTGCTTACCACCCTTACCGCTCCCAAGCTTCCTCAGCGCTCTCCGATACCACGGATTCGATATCGATTTCTGGATTATCTCGACGTGAGAGTACTGATGACCCCGAGACGCGTGATGCTCCAAGGGGTATTCCAAGGTCTCAAACATCTCACTCCAGGGCCACTTCAATCGCCATTATTGAGGACATGAGGACCGGGACCCCGTTGTATGATATGAACCCAACTCAAGTTCGTGGAGAGCAGCGTCGCCAATTGCGCGCCCAATATGCGTGTTCGGAGCGATGGCTGCAGGTGGTGGAGAGATGTCATCCGTATGAGCTCCCTTCGCCTGAGGATTGTAGCGAGCATGCTCCAGAGGAGATGAAGGCTTTGATACATGTTCCAAACCGTGCGCGGGCTCGTGGTAACGCCATCTTCTCTCATTTTTTCCGTTCGGTCAAAGTCTTCGATGAGGGAGAAGAAAAGAGCAAATACATCTGTGCCATAATGACCGACGACTCCTGCAAGACCAAGTTATCCGGTGGTGCTGGAATGATCGGCCGGGAAAGTCATATGAATAGCACCCACAAAGCAGTGTACGAGGCCTTCCGATTATTCCAGGGGCTCCAGAATTGCCTGGATCGCTTGCCAGTCGACCCTCACGCGTCCCAGGAGCAACAAGAATACCAAGCACCTTCGACCCCCAAGCGGACACCCAGGAAATCGAAATTTCAGAGCGCCTTACCCGGTATTCCGATCCCTACTTTGGAAGATAAGGCAACTGTGGAAACATGCTGGCTAAATCTCCTCAGCGAGGGTGCGGTGAACTACTCTTTGTTCGACAATCCTAATTTTCGGAAAATCAAGGCAGTGAGCATGCGGGGATTCGACGTCCATGCCTCACAGACGATGAAGAAGAAAGTCGCCAATACCACCCGTGACAAATATCTCCATCTTTGAGGACTGTTTGCCAGGGACTTGGACCGTTGCGCTATTACATTCGACGGCTGGACAAGCGCGGACCAGCGCAAGTATCTGGGGATCACAATGCACTACATTACCACAAGCTTACAGACGGCAACAATCCTCCTCGACATGGTGCTAATTGAAGGAGAGCGTCAGACGGGAGAGTATCTGCTTAAGGTTCCTTTTTTTGATATTGTTGTCTTATTAAGGTAGGAGGCGGTTTGGGCTAATCTACGAATCATATTATCAGATCCTAACACGTATTCCGCTTTTCTTTCGAATATAGAAGAAGTTCTCGCAGCCTGGGCTTTGGAAGGCAAGGTCATTGCCGCAACAACAGATCAAGGCGCGAATATGAAAAAGTGTCTGTCTCTTTATCAGCAAGAGACGAGTAACGTGGCCTGGATCGCGTGCGCTGCACATAAAATGCAGTTGTGTATCAGCAAAGCGTGGGAAGCATCAGCCACGGTTGCAGCCCTGATCAGCAAGTGTTCGGAAGTGTCCGTTTTTTTTAGAACCCACCCGAATGCGATGTCAATCCTGGCAGAGGAGCAGAAGGTCCTGTTCGGCAAGAGCTACAAACTTCTTGCGATGAACCACACTAGATGGAACTCCAAGTATGTAATGATCGCCCGGGTCGTCAAGGTTTCTCCGGCCTTCGAAAAAGCATACCGACGAATGCTTGCAGCCCACAACGACCAACGAGCCAACGCCCTCACGCTCAAAAAGCTCATTCCATCCGGAGAAGAGGTCGCTATCCTCAACGAGCTCATTCGACTTCTCCAAGGAGCAGCCAACTTCACCCATTGGGTAGGCCAACTTGAGAACCCGACCATCCCACAAGTCTATCCCAGGATTGAAGGAATCCTTCCTGCTATCGACACTTTCGTCACCGACGGACCACGAGAGATGCATCAACAGCTGGAGAAAGAGTTGCGACAATCATGGAGCTATGAGACTATCCCCGATTCCATGCTGGTGGCCATATTCCTAGCCCCAGCTTATGGAAAGCTCGACATGTGGAATACGCCGCTCCCCGCCGATGCACGCCTCCCCCCGGCCTTCGAGGTGACAGATATGGTCTTCCGAATGTTGAATGGAAGAAGCGATCCATCGACATATTTGTGCAAGGCTAAATATTTGGTCGTCGCAGAAATCATTCGCTTACAGGAGGAGGACGCCCAACGCTCTGCCCAGAACCGTCAGGATTCCCAAGTATCGACTCCAAGCCGCCAGAAGAGATTCCACTCCGGGCCCATTCAAACATTGGTCAGGCGAAGGATGAATGCCGCAATGATCGTGCAGGATTACTGCGAGCAAATAGCGGCCGAGGAGAATGATTTTTCCGAATTTGCAGATCTTCCTCTGGATTACTGGAACGAACGGCAGGAAGACCCCGAGGCAGCATATTTAATCCGCGTGGCTCGCGCTTACTTGGGAATCCCAGCTACATCATCTGAATCGGAACGATCGTTTAGTCGTGCCGGACGAATCCTAGGAACCAATAGGTGCAGGATGCTTCATACAACTTTCCGGAACTTGATGCGCAACCATAGTTTCAACAAATTCTTCTGTAGATTTCCACATTACTTGAATCCTGGGTATCTTTATTGGCATTAAATCCCTTCTTTTATAAAGCATATTAGACGAACGAACGGGTGGCGACCAAGTGATATGAGTAAGAGGAAAGCAAACATGAGGGGTGTCGCGTTGATATTATGGAGAGATCATAACGGGTAAATCACGTATTTGCTCCTGCTGTATTGGTGTATGTGCTGATACAGTCGCGGGTATGGATGAAACTGAGGACTTACCAGCGGGTGAAGAAGGTGGGAGAGTGAGTTGAGTGAGTTGGAAACGAAGCAAGGACAGGAAAAAAATAATGAGCAAGAGAAGTGACAACAGTGAGGAAATACTTTTAGGGAAGACATTGCCGTTTGGGGAGCGATGTTGAAAGGCAAAGCGAAGGCTGATGTGCGTGGACGCAGGTCAAATGTAGCATGGTTTTTACGACGCATACTGGGTGGCAACACAAGCAGTGTACAACAGAGAGCCAGATAGAGGATAGGTGTCTACTAGTGGAGATAATAGGAGAGAACCAGTGTACACTGGTAGAGAACAGGTGTACACTGGTAGAAGAACAGGTGTACACCGGAAGGAGAACAGGTGTACACTGGAAGGAGAACAGGTGTGTGACCGTTTATTTAATTTCTCGTCCGGTGGACCACCACTTCAGCACACCAATGGCCACACCGGAAGGTGGCTGAAGACGCCAATTTTTGCACCTGAAGTAGAGCGGTGTGGTTCACTGGACTTGTAATGCTTTATCTTTATTATTTAAGGGGCATTTCCTTCTTTCAATCGCATATGCTGCGTTATGTGTAGCACTCGCGATAGAAAGATGATTTTCCTTCTTTCTATCGCATATGCTGCGGTTTGATCCACAATATCACCACGCCCAAGGCTCGGCATCAGCTCCACCAATGCTACAAAAGTCGAAGCCCTCCCAGGTTCATTCTCCAATTCCTCTTCTCCTCTTCACTCCTTTCAGCTCCCAGTCATTTTATCCCCACAATGAGCTCATCTTCCAGTAACCGATATCTATCTCGCTTTACCCCGTGCTCCTGTAAAAATTTGAAAAGTGCTTAAAGGGATTGGGCAATGTAAATCAATTTGACATGTACCTTGATATGGCCAGTGCGCTAATACAAGTTTCAGCGTCACTAAAGGGCTTCATGTCTACTAACTCTAAAGCATTGGTGCTTGATTCTTCAAGTTGGCTCGGGCGAATCTCATCAAGCTTTTCCAGGAACTTCTCCATGTTTACCCTGCCACTGGCGAGCCCAGGTTCTTCAACTCGGAGCTACCTAATAACCACGACGTTTTCAACTAGAACGACTATCACTACACGGAGGGTATAGATTGCCAGCCTCCCCCGGCTTTGCAGCACTCCGAGTTGTGCCTGTAAGGCACAATCAAGCGACACGAACGCGATTTGGTATTAATCCAAGGATATTTGCTTCAGTCGACTCGATTCTTTGTCACCTTCGCTTTTGAAGTCATCGTAGACAGAGATGAACAATCGGATCTCGGCAAGAAAATGCCCAGTTTCCTCAACACCGTACGCATCTCTACAACACACAACGCTTCCAGGAAGAGTCAGATGCGAGAGAACCTTTACCTCGATGAACCCTGCATCAAGCATGGCGACTTCAAGGAGTAATCCCTTTCACTGGTGTTATTCTCTGGAGGAGTGGATGCCCCACTCCTCCTTTTTATTCATAAGAGCAGATAGTCGAATAGCTAGGTTGGTTCGGCTATATTAGAAGAGCCAGACCAGAACCCTAATAAACCCCATTCTTCACTCCTCTTGACTTCTCTCTCTTCAAAATAAGCTAAAATCTTCACTGGCTGCCAGAAGGGCAGCTGCTGATCTGGTTCGGATGACATACAAAAGTACGAACCACCAAAGGACAAAACCATGAAGCCTGGCGACAAGTCTACCAAAGACAAGTCTGGAACAGGCGACACAACCAAGGACCAACAGTCGGGCAGGTCGCAACCCAAGGACAAGTCAGGATACAAATCCGATAGCGGCAAGTCGGGTTACAAATCGGACGGAGGCAAGCCTGACAGAAAGCCTCGGTACAAGTCTGGTGGAGGTCAAGGCAGGAAGCAATCAGACCAGGGAGGTGACGGAGAGAAGTCGGATTAGTAGGAGGCCGACTTCTATAGTTCCAGGAGGCATGGAGAGAGATGACGGATTCAACCTGGGCCAACACCATCAACAAGTCGGGCTACAGCGTCATTTTCGACCGACCTCCACCGCTACGCCTGCCACCACCACCACACGATCTATTTAATTCGTTAGGAAAACGCTTCTGATGACGACAACGAATGGGAGCTTTTGAGAGAGACCGCAGGTAATCTGTCTTTTTTTCCTTTTCTTTTCACAAGAGTAAATTGGTTGACCCAGCCAGTAGTCATAAAATGCTCCACGAAGATGTTCCTTCTTTCTTGTAATTTCGACTTTCTCGAGAGATGCCCATCCCTCTGACACCTATATTCTACTTCTATTTTTCACCTCCTTCATCAAGGTTGACATTAGATGCACCTATCACGAGCAAACGCGCTTTGAACATCTTGACGTTGGTTATTCAAATAAATGAAAAACAGGATCATCGAGATCATTCGTTCTTTTATCTATATTCATTCACTCATTGCTCTTTCATCATCTATACTTTCCATTACTCCCCCCACCACCTGTTAAAATGCCACCAGTAGAACGAATCAATAATAAAACAAGCGAACTAATTCCACTCGCGACTGTCACCAACGCTACCCAACAACTGATTTGAGGTCATTCTATTGGAGCGGTGATCAGTTCACTTGGGATCTCGGTCGGGTCTGCGATTAACATCTGAAACAAGGACAAGGAGAGCGTTATTCCTCCAAAAATAAGTTCGCCCAACAAGATCCCTCCTAGGACAAAGGAGGTGCTCGTCCATCAGTACAACACAGGCCAACTTAAACGCTTAGCAACGGCGTACATACATCTCGCTTGATGTGGGAATGGTTTGCTGAGCAAAAGTTCACTGTTCTCGAGTGGACAGCCAACCCTGCGGACCTCATTATCATCAAAAACGTCTGGGGATACATACATTATCGACTCGCCCAGTACGAGCAGGTGCCAGAAAATATGGACAGGCTCTGGGAGCGCGTACAGGATATTTGGACTGGTATCCCTCTGGACTACCTACAAGTGTTGTACGAGAGGATACCAAGGCGCAAGAGGGGGGGGGTTTTTTGACTGATGAGCTACGGTGGGCCAGATGGAGAAACAGAAACAGAATCCGATTCACAACATAAATGATCGATCATTCAACATCTTTGCAATTTTGGATGTTGTTATTTCTTGAATGGTTCTGGTTTGAGCAGTGGCGATGACAAAAGACACAAGAATCTTAGACAAAGATGCGGGGTTGATCGCGGCCATGGGGGGTGAGCATTCCAAAAAGGTTGAATTCGAAAAAGAATGATGACTCGTGTGGAGCACTTCATATGAATAAAAAAAGGAAGAAATATGTCTAGGACGTTAGGGAGTGGAAACAGTTCAATTACACAGATCTCCACCAGTTGCTTCACAAACTACTCCTCTTTTTACCCTGCCACATCCTCCAAGACTGCCAGCGTCCTTATTTAATATGAAGTTTTGGCAATATGTCACTTGTTCAGGACTGCAGGTTCCTTGTTGGTTCTTGCAAAGGTAATTCCCTTGAGAACCCCATTGGCAACGCTTGATGTTTGAGCAGGCACTGGTCTCTGCGTTTGTGCAACCCGTGCACACAGCAATCGCGAAAGCATCCTAGTCATCATCTGTGAGCTTAGTGTTAGAAACGGTCTTACTATAGCGAAACGGCAACTATTCTGTTTGTCCAGAAAAAAGTCAAGAGTGAGAAGAAGGGTAGGGAAGGTGAATAACAAAAAGCGAAGGAGAGAGGAGGAATACACTAGAAACAGTGCATACCCTTCAGTTGAGTAGCATGCCTCTACGCACTGGACAGCAATGTGATAACTGTCACAGCAACATGCTGAGAAGGCAGAAACTTCGGTCATGGAGGATTACATGAAAGGACCGGTGGAGTGGGGTACATACCTGGTTTGTGGATGGGAGGTGATGTGGAAAAAAATCAAAGGACAAGACGAGATTCTTTTATATTTCATGGGAGATGATATTAGACGATAGAAAAGAGAAGAACACATGGAGGATCCAAGGAACGCTGAGGCAAGGAGGGACGCCGTAAAAATCAAGAGCACGTCGAGAAAGTGGACGCCAAAAATTTCAAGGGGATGCAGAGGGGTCGGGTGGAGCTTGAATGGATTGAGGGAAAAAGCAAGGTATTGGAAAAAAGGAAGGGTTGGAAAGAGCAAGAGAATGTGCTTGTTGCTGTTGACTGCAAGGTAAACGGACAAAGATTCGGGGGAGGTGATATATAGGAAGAAAATGATTGAAGGGAGTGACGGGGGGAAAGATGTGCAAGGGGAGAGAGAGAAAGTAAAATCTCAAAAGAAAGAGATATCTGGGACCTGCGCTGGAGAAAAAAGTCTTGAGGGATAACTAGCTTGTAGTAGCCAAGCGATCATAGCGACGTTACTTTTTGATCCTTCGATGTCGGCTCTTCCTATTATTCTGAGGCAGAATTCTGTAAGCATTGGATGGTGCAATCACAAGAAGCTAAAGACCAAGGAGATCCGCAAACACTAAGGGAAATGATCAAGGGACTGCTAGAAAAAGATCAGGGGAAAGATTGACAAGTTTTTCGTCATGTGACCTCCGCCGCTACCAGCGGAACGAGTCAGCTCCTAGGTGAACCTCTTCCGCTTGTACTTCTATTCTTTTGTCTCCTTGGTCTACGCCGGTACTCGTAAAGAGCTACTTGCGTAGAAACACTCCGTCAACCGTCGTTGTCCTTTTTCCTCATTGCACTTTCTCCTTATTGCCCATTTGCCTCTGACATTCGTTTGCCATTTTGCCGTTCCCCATTCTGGTTCCCAGTCCAACGTTCCTGGCCCCATCTTAGCCCCTTCCTGTTCAACCGATTCCTAGCATAAATAGACCCCCCGTTCTCCCTATCTTGTTCTGTATGCAACAACTCACTTCCCACTTGTCTCCTGGCATTGTAATTATGCAGAGTATTACTCTTCGTCTCTTTTCTTTTTCAAAACAAAACCATACCAAAAAACATACTTTCGAGTCCTGTCAGATCATCGTAGTATCCTTTATTTCCTTTAGGTTTTATATGCTGCCTTTAATTTGCCCATCACTCTGCTTCCAGTATGTCCTTGGTTTTTTTTCGCTTCTCTCTTTTCCCGGGTATTACTTGAACTCCTTAGTATCCTCAACTTCTCCATGCCCTTGATCTCTCAACTCTTTTTTTCTCATTCCATTCCCAACTGGTAATAGTGTCTCCCTGGCTTGTTTTCTCTCCCCGCCCTAGTGACTACATCTTGATTTGTTTGTTTTATCTCATGACCTTCATCATGTATATAAAGAAGGCGCAATTATCTGTCCTCCTACACCGATGCATACTTGATCCTGCCCAAGACTTCAGATTAACAACAACACTCACAAGCAACATCGTAAGGGCCAACACACTAACCACAAACTATCTCCACCGCAAGAGCCGCCACACTTCTCCATCGCAGAATCCCGCACAAGCACCACAAACTCCATTCAAAAAAGCCAACGGAAACACTCACTGGAAGATCTGTGCAACTCCTCGTACACGCCTGCACCTCCTTGACCAGACCCTCATCCCTAAACTCTGCAAGCCAAGTCCTTATCACCAAAACAACAACTATGGTTTCCATTTTTCTAACTTCCTTGTCCTTTGTTCGCGCTCACCATTTCCACCACAACCTGTGCGGCCCCGACCTTGATGCTATTAGCCATAGAAATTCCGGGTTGGGAGGTGGATTAATAAGCGTCAGTTCTTGCGTTGACTCCCTCTTTATGGAGCTTTCGCTTCTCTTTATAGGGTACTCACAGTGAGACCAGATCATGGTACATTGCTGTTGCGATTCAAGGAGAGGCTGTTGGCAGGAGATAGAGTGAACATCTGTGGTATTATTGTATTCTTAAATATGAGAACTGCAGGATATGTTTGATGCGGACATTTCTGGAGGAAGAGGTAGCGGGGGGGGGGGGGAGCTAGACTTCTTAGTGGTACTAATTTAGTTTCCTTGCAAAGAATTTCTCCCTTCTGGCCCTTAACGCAGCTGAAGTGAGACTTGTTATCTTTGAAGCGGGCGAACTGGAAAGCGCCGACGTTTCCCTTGTTGTTCCATGCGAAGAGACGGCACTTATCGACCATTCCACTAACATCGGGCTGGAGATAGCGCTCACGACCGTTAGAGTTGTTCCAAACGGTGCAGTTGTCACCGCAGTAAATCAACTGGCTGGGGTCCAACCACATGTCTTGCTTGTAGCACATTGGGCTGACGGCGGTAGGAACACCAACAGAGGCCTTGACGGCTGCAGCGCTGGTGACAGTTGCGCCAACAAGGGCGACAACGGAAGCGAGGAGGAAGGTGAACTTGGCCATTTTTGTAACGTTCTAGTGTTGGTTTTGTAGATATAATATATAAACATGATTAGGATTAGTTCATGTTTATACATCGACAAGCAAGTGTACCGCAAATGGTATCATGATGTGAGGAGTAGGGGGTGGTCTGTACCTTTGTGAGAAGAAGTGGAAGGGTTGTAGGGTTGCTGTGAAGTAAAGATGCTGGATGAAGATGATTGAGACGAAGGTGCTTTGATCCCTCCTCTTTTATACCTCACAAGGGAGTCAAGAATGGGGTCAAACGGCTCCACTCAATGAGTCTATGCTCACAGGATTGCGTGAAATGGAATCATACCCATCAAAACCGAAATTGCGGGTACATCTTCTCTAAACAGGTATTGAATACAATTCATAGTTGACAACCAAGCCACTGTATCACCAGCACTGCAAAACAAAATGGAGCATGCCAAATGCTCACAAGAAAGCCATTTCCGTTTTTGTTGATATGTATGCAGTGGGGGTGAGGGCTGAGGGATTTTTCCTTTTTTTTTTTTTTTTGCAGTACGGTCGACGCCGGGTGCTCAACTATTCTTGCCACTTTTCATGATGGAGGGCGCGGTACTGTAGAGTGGTGTGAGATGAGAGTTTGCGAATCGGCATATGTTCAGTCTGTTGAGAAAATTGAGCCTGGAAAGAAAGTTTGCAGTGCCACAACAACCTGAATATCGGAGTTCATGATTTCGCTCTTAAACGTCACAACCTTATTTCAATTCAAACAACGGATGAACTTTCTCATAAACAAATGTGGCTTAAGTCCCCAGATCCTTGCATTAACGCGTTTTGACTTGGGTGGTTCTATTATTCATGATATAGGCCTTAAAATGGCTCGTCCTTCGATATCTGGTGTTACTCGATAATGGCTGAGGGCTTCTTAGCTACTACCCTTCACTCAATGGGAAATGGAGATGTGCGCAATATACCATTGCCCACTCAATGGTATGGGTCTGGGAGTCCGCGGAGTAAGTATGTATAGAAGAGACCGGAGTAAGAAATCCATTTCACTTTTGTGTCGCACAATGTGATTCGTTCGTGATAACAATCCGTTGCTGCAATTCCTCTCGGATATTCATGGGCTGTTGTTGAAGAAGAAGTAGAGTGGGCCAATCGGCTACAACTACAACAACAGCCCTGCCCTTAATGCTCCCGACTTTTTCTCCTTCCCATTACGCTGCCACCTGCGATCCAAATGCCATCTATATTGGCCAGCGCGGACTCGTGAATATCCGAGAGGAATTGCAGCAACGGATTGTTATCACGAACGAATCACATTGTGCGACACAAAAGTGAAATGGATTTCTTACTCCGGTCTCTTCTATACATACTTACTCCGCGGACTCCCAGACCCATACCATTGAGTGGGCAATGGTATATTGCGCACATCTCCATTTCCCATTGAGTGAAGGGTAGTAGCTAAGAAGCCCTCAGCCATTATCGAGTAACACCAGATATCGAAGGACGAGCCATTTTAAGGCCTATATCATGAATAATAGAACCACCCAAGTCAAAACGCGTTAATGCAAGGATCTGGGGACTTAAGCCACATTTGTTTATGAGAAAGTTCATCCGTTGTTTGAATTGAAATAAGGTTGTGACGTTTAAGAGCGAAATCATGAACTCCGATATTCAGGTTGTTGTGGCACTGCAAACTTTCTTTCCAGGCTCAATTTTCTCAACAGACTGAACATATGCCGATTCGCAAACTCTCATCTCACACCACTCTACAGTACCGCGCCCTCCATCATGAAAAGTGGCAAGAATAGTTGAGCACCCGGCGTCGACCGTACTGCAAAAAAAAAAAAAAAAGGAAAAATCCCTCAGCCCTCACCCCCACTGCATACATATCAACAAAAACGGAAATGGTTTTCTTGTGAGCATTTGGCATGCTCCATTTTGTTTTGCCGTGCTGGTGATAGAGGCCGTACCAATAGGTCATAGGGCTATATGATTCCATTTTGGGAATAGTGCTCTTTTTATTTTGCATTTGGGTTGAGTAGGTAGGCGAGAGAGGGTCGACTCCTGCACTGCATCCTCGTCGTCCTCGCCATCGGGAGTTTTCTCAAACTAGGCATGCCTGTCGATGTTATTTGCTGATACAGTCCACTGTCAGTCCCCACATCTCGAACAGATCCACGAAGATTGCCTCGTCATCAAATATGTTGCTATCGTTATTGCGAATGCCCTTCGCGTCCCTCCCTAGTTTTTCGAGCCAGTCATAAACCACTTGAGGCGCATTGGTCAGGACAAGAAAGGCCTCCCCAAGGTTGCAGTACTAGTTGTGAGAAATAGCAGCCTTGATATGATAGGGAAATTTGAACGGTGCGGGTTTCGGCCTGGAAGTAGCGGAAGGAAAGTGTTCCTCATCCATAACTTCAACATTTAATGGGTTGGGGTTGGCAATATCACGCAGGCGTTGGGCAGTGGAGGATAGTTGGTGATATTTTGAACCATTTTTTTACCTTGCCTTCAAATCCAGTGGAACGACAAAGTTATTCAGGGGAAGTTGGTTGGAGTCGGGTTGGTTATGGTGTTACCAAACATATGAAGCTGATGGAGCGATGTTGGGATCGGAAGTGGTTAGCATTGCCGAATATAACAATGCCATGGACTCTAGATGTCTCACCCAACTCGCTCTTTTCGAGCAAGCAGATAGAGATCAGGTGATCGCCTAAGGTCCTCTTTTATTTGTTGTTTCCATTCATTTTTTTTTTTTTTGGCAAAGGACGGTTCATTATTATATGATACACATTAAATCCAGGAAGTACTATTGTTTTGGTTACGTATTTATATATTGTTTGCTATCTGGGTGAAATTACTACCGATGGCGGGTACGGCTTAACGGACATGACGTTGGAGAATCACGTTTACGATGCCATCAACCGTGGAAACATGCTGTAATCCTGAGTGGCAGGAGTTTGGACGCAGACTTTATCATATGAGGACTTATATTTTCTTTTGCACTCGCTCTCCTTCTCGAGGCACAGAAAACAAAAAGTCAGCTGGCATACTGTGCATGTGTGATACTTGCACTTGCCATCATATGCACCAAAATTGAAACACCGGGGACACGTACGCTCGCTCGGAATCTTCATGTTCGCGTTGTAATGGAAGGGTATGAGCCGAAAGGAGATCATGGTCTCATAGAGACACTCCTTGCCACATGAATTCCGGTGATCGGACATTGTTGCGGCATTCCAATTGCGGTTGCAAAAGAAACAGAATACGCGGAAGCACTGAACACACGTCTGACGTGCATACATGGTTTCGTTAAGCATAAGCGCACCACAGTCGTGGCAGCGCCCGCAATCCATGTTCCGCAACAGCTCTTTTTCATCCTCCATAGCCTGGAGAGTTGAAATATATTCAGGTGTCTTGAATATGTCTTTGAGCTTAATTGCTTCAGAGCATACTGTGCAAGACACCTTGAACATCTTGTCCCGTAGCCACCTCTCAAGATCCTCTCTGCAGACCCAGATGCAGCATGCTCGAATACAATCCACTGACGTGTCAAGGCAGATCGAACACTCGGCAGAGCATGTGGCCACCTCTCCCAGTTCCTCCTGAAGTTGCTGCTCAGCTATCTCCTGAAGCGTGTCCGAAAGAGCCCATCCTCCCAGCAGACGACCCAGCGTAAAAATGCTGCAGTCTTCTGTAATATACTGCTTCTGCCTATCAAACTCCTCCTCGTTCATCACATTCAGAGGTTTGCCGCAGACTGTGTATTGAAAGCCTAGAGTCTCGTCTCGACTGCGGTGCCCCAAAACTTTGCCCGCGGTATAGAGGAAATCCTTTAGAGTAAACGCGTCGACGAGCTGTGCGCAAATAGACCGCCCATTGAGGTTTAGGAAGAAAATCTGCATCGTTTGATTGAGTTTCGAACTGTGGGTAAACAGGAATTAAATTTGGGCAAAAAGAGCTTTAGTCTTGGTGAAGAATAAAATGGAGATAATAGAATGATTATAAGGAGGCACTTACTAGAGGTTTCGAATACAATGGCAAAATGAAGTATTTTGTGTTCTTCGACTGCTTCTTTATATTCGATTTGCACTATGATGTCATTACAGCACAATGATGACCTTATCTATTTCGATACATAGACAAACTAAGTGGCCAGTGCTTTGCCTCCATCATTACAGTACAAAAAAAGCGGCCATTGATTTGTCTCAGCGCTCCAAACCAAGCGGTCAGTGCTCCAAGTTCACTAACAAACCATATTGTCAGTGTTTTACAATGCCCATTACCTATGTCTCAAGCTGACATGCGCGCTGCAACCAGTACCTATTAATCAGCTCTCTATAGTAATAGCATCCATATCACCTCTTGCACCTTGCTCTGTCTCTTTTGCTATTCACATGCATATCAACTATGTGTTCTCACGTAATAATGATGGGTCACGAGGGAATGGCTTGTGGCGCCAAGCGTTCATAGTGACGTCGCTTTACTATCCCCCTATTTATATACCAAAGCAGAGGTTATGGTTTATTCAAGTGACCAAAAAGGAAAAAGTTACAAAGCAAGAAAGGTATGAAAGGGCAACAAACGCGAAAAAGACGGAGAAATATAAAATGAGTAGGTACAAGGGAGATTCGACGGCATCCTAAAAAAGATGGATGCAACAGTAACAGAGAACAAAGTGAGAGAAACAAGGAAGTGGACAAGAGGAAGACAAGAGTATTAGGGACAAGAGGACGAGGCAAGAGGCGATGACCTTTGTTGTACAAGTAGGGAGGTTATTTATATAGTGGTAGTGGTAGTGGTAGTGGAGGTGTGGTGGATAGAAGGTGAAGTAATAGGACGCTCCTACGATACAGGTAATAGGACGTACTTATGATACTGTGACGACAGACAACGGAGGACGCTACGCGACAGAAGAAAATCCGAGGACGCGGGAGTACAAAGCCAAAGGCAGAAAGGAACATCGAGGGATATCAGTATTTATTTTTAATGAGCTCCAAACTGTTCGTGTTCACGAACAAATCCTAGCTATCCTATCCATTTCGCAGTAAACTTAATGTTACACAATCTCGCCCCGCGGACATAATAACTATCGACTATTACGATCGCGAAGCAGTCCCTTTCGTCGGTTGTTGTTGTTTTGAGAAACACAAAATGCTATTAAACAAATATGTTTTATGGGGCAGTGCAAGTACTAACTACATACATGCGAACAGGTTTTTTTGGTGGGGAAAATGGAGTAGTCTATGTAAATACTAGCCACATAAATCTGACCAGCTTCATAGTTTTGGAGGGGCAATATACGCGTATTAACTACGTTCTACTTTTGCATACAGCTCCATCTGAGCGTCCCATACTTCACAACGCAAGTTCCAACAATCTTCTGGTTACGCCCGACAACAATGCAACCATTGTAATCGACGGGCTCGGACTTTGAAGCATTTCCGCAGTGGTATCTGATGGTGTACGAGTCCGCCTCATTTGTGCCCTCAATCCAATTAAATTTGTTTTTGGTGTATCAAGAGAGATTATCGGTTAAAACATCTCTGGACTCGTTTGGCTTCCAAATCATCGTAAACGATCCGCAGGCTGGCGCGTCGGCCCGTGCAAGCTGAATAAACGCAAGGCAGGCGATCAATATAAGTGTTACTTTCATGATTGGCAACATGCTATCAATGAACAAAGAGAGGGAAGAGGGGTGAGAGGTGAGCGTGTGTCAGAGAGTGTACATAGGTCAATTATGAGTATTCGCGAAAAGTTCAATAATGTAGACGACATACATGAGTCTGGTCAGATCAAATGGTTTGTTTGGAGGTTGTGTGGGACTTCTTGTGGGCACTTCCGTAAACGTTCTTGTAGGGGTGTGTGGCGACTTTTGCGGTGGTTGCTGCACGCGTTACGAATGCTATCGTAGAAAAAAAGTATTAAGGTAGGTGCAGAGACGTGTTTGTGGAGGATGCTGAATAGGCGGGTATTGAGAGTTTGTGAAGGGGGCGGGGGACTGTATTTACCTTAATCAAGGTAAGGTTGCGATGTCGAGGAGGTGAGGATCTGATGACTCGGGGGACTATGGCCTTTATATACATGTAGTTTTGTTTGACAGTATTTTGAGGCTTCGTGGCGATGCCCGCGGCAAAAGCAACGGCTTTCTTTTTTATGCGCTGTTCTTTGAAGAGTGAATTGGTGGAAGCAATCGAAAAGAAAAAAAATCATGTTTTTAGACCTGAGAGCAAATTCATACCGTCCTGCCCTCTATATCCCAATGTAGCCTTTCTTCTTTCTCGTAATTTATTCTTTTCTTTCCGTCTCTGCCGAGTTTTTCTTATGCCGGCACACCACGTTCTCTTTCTACATCCTCCTCAACGCCGAGCCTTGAAACCTACGCAAACTATCCTCAAAGCGACAAACAGTAGGAGTCGTTAAAAGCATTAAAAAATTTACCGTACTTCGTCATTTCGCGAAATCGTCAATTCTCACTGTCGGCCGCATTATCCATATCTATACGAAAACAATACACCACAGCGACACGCATTTGACTGTAAGAGAGAAGGACGATATTTCAATCACTAAACGAAAATTAACCGGTCAACATGGATCTGGCAGAGGACCTGGACCTTAGTACACAAAGACCAATGCTGAGAAAGAATTGGACTGAACCCAAAAGGACAAACAAAACATGTACCAAAGCAGGTGTTCAGTAGGAAGGACTTGCATGGTCAAACGGCCCCAGAGTCAAATATTTACTTGCGGATGATTTGCGCCAAGAGCTAATGGCCATTTTTACATTGGATTGCAACAGAAGCCGTTCATCCATCTGTATGATTGATTGTGCCAAAAAATGATAGCTGTTGACTTGCAAGATCAATTCTTTTCAAGAGCTGACTACATACTTACAATGGTACACAAGGCGAAATGATAAGAGTTGAATGTTTAATAGTCGTTGTTCGTACTTAGGGCGTTTGAGTGCCATGATGGAAAGACACCAGAGTCCAGGGCCATCTTGGGAGAGGAGGAGTCCGATTTTTCAACCTGCTCGAGTAAACAATCTGCTTCAGCCCTTTATTGGGCGGAAAATTTTGCTCACAAACACAAAAGTCTTGCTCACAGTCATTCTGCGTCCGGGGCGAGTGTAGCCTACACCATACATAGTAAGGCAATGTGCATGTGGCACTGCATTTGTCAAAAGGATATGACAAACAAACAAACAAACAAAGCAATGTGTGAACGCGACCTTGTCGCAGATACGGAGTAGGATTGGGCTGTTGCAGTATTTAAAGTTTAATTGTCCATGTTTGTGCCTACGGTGTTGTAACACCTGCTGAAGGAAAGGAGAGTGCAATGATCATACAAGTTTTGTTAAATACACGTTTTCAACAGACTGGTAATGCAAAACATTCCTCACTCACCACCGTGGATAATGGAAAGTGGCAAAAAATGAAGGCTCCCTAGTCGTAATGATATGATTGGCCGCTCGTAATATGTCCTGCCATCATAGCCCATTTTTCCCCTTCTTTTCTATTACCATTTTCCTCTCAGGGAAACGTTGGCCAACGTCCACCCCACCATTTTCCCTCCCGGTAAACAAAAACCTACAGGCTCCACTTTTCCACTACGTAAGTGAGGCCCAATTAATCTGTTGGGTGTGTATGCGACAACACATCTGGCACTGCATTGGTCAAATTGGATGGATTGTCTATAGCTCTTGTGACAAACAAACAAACACGACAAATCTCGGAAAACCCGGCTTGTGGCAGCCAATCGTTCATAGTGACGTTACTTTATGATCCTTCGATGTCGGCTATTTCATTCCTTGCTTAAGTAGAGATTCCAGGTCGCATTGTCGATGTTTTGTTCACTTGTATTGTACTGAAGTAGTTCGTGTATTCTAACAAGTACTCCAAGTCATTGCCGGTAATGGTCTGCATGTCTTATTCATAAGAGCGAGGAAGCTTCCAGAGTTACCGTGCTAATGGCAGGGCATTATGAAATCCAGTGGGAGAACGTGTAAAGAAAAAGATAGACCTAACTCATTTATTGTCGTCCTGTTCACGTATTCTTCGTGATTCTTCGCTAAATAAAAAGGGAAGTTGAGGACAGGTCCCAAATCTCAACAGCATTTACTGCAATGGTGGTAGGAGCATCCGCAGACAGATGGCCCTCTGCATCCATGCACTTCCTCAGCTGGTCATGGAACACCTCGAATATTTCACCCTTGCCGCTTCTGAATACAACCTTGGAAGCGTCAGCGAACTCGAAATCAACGAAGTCGTCCTCGACTAGGTCCACCATCACTGTGCGCAGCGTTTCCAAATCTAGAAGCCAGGGATTGTCACCGCCATCCCTGGTGTAGACTAGATCCACATATGATGAGATTCGGCAAACCAGCGTGTGGGAGACGCAATGCAGCTGGGGGGTATCGATCACTACTGCGTCACGGTTGTCAGCGGCGAGGTATATACGGCGGTGGGCAATTGAGGTGGAGGGGTTGTAGAACTTGGCTATTATGGCCATGTCCTCATCACCCAGCGTGTCGAAGTCATGGCGTCCACTCGGGACGGTCCCCAACAACTGGAGAGTGCTGGCGTTGTATACGCTCACGACCCAGGGAAAAGTACTGGTGATGTAGAGAGTAGAGTTCTTGGGGGTAAGGGCCAGGGTGGGGCTCTTGGGACGGAAGGGCAGGTCAACCTTGGCAATGACTTTGAGGTGATTGGTGGCGTCCAGGGCATAGAGCGTGTTGTCGTCGCGCGTCGCCACATAGAGAACCGAGGCGTCACTGTTGAAAAGAAAGTGGCTATCACGGTCATATATTGACCAATCACCGGTCCACACATGCTCGAAGGTGTCACCAGTGTACTTCCATTGGTTCACTTGGTCATTGAACTCGAATAAGCCAACCAACATCTTACAATTGTTCGATTTCTCTTCGTTTTCAGCGAGGAGCTTGGCGGCGCGTTGTGGGTTGGCTTTGCTGTTGGAGAAGCATTCCATTCTGATAATAGGATGGGATTGCAATGGAAGGATCGACATGCTGATGGTCATTGTGGCTGTTGCATGTACGATGTTGTTGGAGGATGAGTTGGCTTTTTTTTTTTTTTTTTTTTTGGAACCATGAGGAAAATGGAAAATGGGCGCATACGTCACCGAAGACACATCTGAATACCCGCTCCTCCTCCATCCCTTTTCTTGCTGCGTTCTTCCTGTTCATTTTCATGGGCTCCTGAAATGCACATCCTCCTCTACTCTCTTCAATTTCATTGTCAGCATCAGGACTCACCCATCCACCAACATCCACAGGATGACTACGGCCTGCGAATCATTCTTCACCCTCCCAGAACTGATCGCTCTCATCACTCCACCACACCTCTCCCGCCAGGACATCGTCTACCTCAGCCTCGCGAACCGACGTCTGTGTTCCATCTGCACATCCTTACTGTGGCATTCCATTCATCTTCTTGGAGAGGACTTTTTTGACCAGGCCAACACTATCCAGGCAAGTCTCCTGGCCTCACCCGAGGCTGCAGGCACTATACAACAATATCGATGCCGTCCGCGCTGTCTACTGGAAGGCCGATTTTTCCTGGTCCTATTTCCAAGCCGTCTTGGCCTACCTCAACACGACTCTGACAAGGTCGTCAGCAGGACCGGATGCACTAAAGGATACAGAGAAAGACGTCGTTTCGACGGACGCCCTCACACATCCCGCCTATAAAGGAATGGAGATCTCAGAGTCGCTGCCTGCCATCTCCCTGCCCCCACTTCGTCGGCTGACCATTTGCAAGGCATTCATCGGCACCGATTCCTATGGTAGCAGCAACGTCGACCTACCATGGGGATATCTTTACGAGCCTCAACATCATCAAACGTTTTGGCTACTCTGCCTTAACAGTTCGACGCTTTTGCATTTGGATCTCTGGACATTGGATATCAATTCGTCGATGGTAATGCGGGACCTCTGTCGGACAATCTCTGGACTGCAGCATCTCAGGACCTTAAAACTGCATGGTCTGGCGCCGAATGATATCCCCTCTTGAACTCTTGAGGCGATCTTCTTCAGCTGCCCTGTTTCCTTGGAGGAACTTCATGTGCTCCCGATCGTGGAGGACCGGAAGGGGATATTGCGGCTAGATCCATGGGAGAGTGACAGGGATTATGGACAAGGGTCTTTAGTTCTGCGGAAGGAACCTTTGCGTCACCTCAAGACTCTCGAGATCCCGTCATCGTATACAGGATATCAGGCGCCTCTTCTCTGCAGGGTTTTGGAGTATTGTCCGCATTGGAGTATCTCATGGTCCCTTCCCTCAGGGACTTGGTGGACTCTGAGAAGGTTGCAGAGACGATTGGTAAGCACTGCCCTCACATCGCTAGCCTGTAATGCCGCATCCCTTCGTGGACAACAACGGAGCGACGATAATGAGCATGATGGATGCGATCCCCGGACAGCAACTGTAGACCTTTAAGCTGTTTGCATATCTGGATCACTCTCCTGACAAGCTGAGGGCTGCTTGAACCCGACATTCGGAGACACTTCAGAGAATCGAGCTAACGAGCTGCCGCACGTTAGCGAGTGCGGTCCTCAGGGCAGTTCTCACAAACTGTCAGACGCTGGAAGTTCTTGAGCTCTCATAGTTTTACTCGAGCAAATGTTATCTGACACTGGAGGATGCTATCATGGACGGATGGGCATGCACCAACATCCGGACCCTCAGCATCCCAGTCAAGTTAACCCCCGACGGCAAGAGTCCCGTATACTTGACTGATCCAAGCAAGGAGTGGTGGAAGAAAGATGATCATGTAAACCATTACAACAACCAAAACTCTCCCAGCCCCTAAATAACAACCAACATTGAAGATACTCTCGAATGCGATTAAACTCTGCATCATTGTCATGATGGTATTGCGGGGTTATCCACATAAGGTCGGTTTATAAAAGTCACGTGACACATATGGGTTTATCCCCGTCGGCATAGGCACGGTTTTAAACCGATAGGCAGCCTTGCATAATTTTTTTTTTCTGGCGGAATCATCCACATGGAACGCATGCATGTCACTCCATTCTTCCCTCTTTCTCCACTCCACATCGCCACATTAGCCTCATTCAGACAAGCCCACACCCCAATCTTCCCTCTTTCTCACTTCACATCGCCACATTAGCCTGATTCAAACAAGCCCACACCCCAATACACATTACACACAACCCCCCCCCCCCCCCCCCCCAATACCCGACTAATTAATGACACGGGTAAGCTAAAAAGGTCTTTGCACAATTGGGGCGATATGTCCTGTACCTGATTGGCATCCACCATACCACCATACTTACTATTTCGTTCTATTGTTTTATTGTTTCGCGTTAAACAAGTCGTGCAGCTTTTCTGTTAAAGGCAAAGCCATAGCACGAAACAAACGGCAGCAGACGAGCATGCAAGGCAGCCAGCCGGCAAGAGCAAAATCTAAGCTGGAAACCTACCGCGAACGCAATAGGGTTGAACAGCAAAATCACCTCTGTAATAAGCAGAAGGAGCTAGCAAGCTCCCAGCTTGTGGCCGAAGCTCGCAAGTCCTTGCAAGCCCAGTCGACGCGGGACCAGTATGATCGGTACCAGGAGAAGTTCATGGTATGGCAAATTGTAAAATGTACCCCCATTTTTGCACAAGCATAGATAAACTATGGCCCCCGACTCGACGCACTAACTAACTCAATCACTCCATCCATTGGTATAGGAATGGTGCGACGTTTCTGGATATAAGGATGATTACAACGTCACGAAAGGCAAAGTAACCCGTTACTTTGCTTGCCTGACCTGCGAGACGGAAGATCCTCAAAACGGTATGAATATGAAGAATGGAACTAATGTGAGCGGTCATACGATACGACGACGACGACGAAACGCTATGGTGGTGTTTGAAATTATAAGAACTAACGAAAATATAAATGCTATAGGTATTATACGGATCAAACCGTTGCCAAGAGACAGGAAGGGCAACAACAGCAAGGACAAGTCCGGCGAACGGCGGGCAAATATGGATGACCCGTGTTCTGATGATGATGTCGATGGAGGCGATGTGGAGGACAAAAGCGATGACGACTGCGAGGGGGACGCCAGTCGAGACGTTGACATCCACAACAGCAACAACGATAACAGTGAAGAGCGGTGGTACTCGACGGCAACCATTCTCTTGCACCTCGCTGCCATTGGCGACCTCTATAAGCATCAGTGTGAAGACAGGAACAATTTAGCGATGGATTATGGCACAGTTCCGGCCCCGAAGACGTACCTTCAACCTCTGATCGACGTTTACCGCGTGAGGATGTCCGCCAGGAAGAGGTCGACAGATACCGACTTTGGCTCTATCGACTTCACCCAGAACCCAACTTCGATTGTTCGGCAGCTAATGAAGCGATTCTGGATGCGCAATGTGGAGGGCGCAGCCAGCTTGAGAAAGCGCCGCTTGAAAGGGTTACGCGACCGTGCGGATGTAAGTCTTTGCTTTTTTATGATGTTCCGCAGCGAGGTCACACGCCAGATCCGACTCCCGGATCTTTTCGCCCACGACGTCGAGCCCAACCGCAACAAAAATACGAACGATGCCAGCTGCAGAGAAGGCCAATTCGTGCTTGGAGTTGTGCTGATGATGAGGCAAGGCAAGACGAACAAGGACGGCAAGATTCAGTATGGAGTTGCAGTTCGGAACAAAGAAGTAGATGTGTGTCCAGTTGGCGCGCTAGCCTTTTATTTGCTTGAGCTTTGGTCGGTAAGTGGCGTGCATGTGGTAAATGTCGGCGGCCGACGCGTCGTGTCACTCATATTTCAACACTCATTTAATAATGCGTTCTTCCCCCCACCTCTTCCTTTTTTTTGCTGTACTAAGAGCAAAAACAAAAGGGCGCCTGATCTCACCAACCCTAAATGGACCGACTACCATCTGTTAGCTGGAAACAAACCAATGGATGCACCGATGACTTACAACTCCCAGTTCCAGGCGCAGGTGGAGGCTCTTCATGAGAGCGGGATATTGGACAAGGGCACAGTGACTCACCTTGGGCGCAAGCACGGCTCCAGATTCGCGCATATGTGTGGATCTACGGTAGAGGCTATCGCTAAGCACGGGAACTGGGCATCGAACCGTCTCTCAACTCACTATCTCGAGGGTGTAGAGCCTTCAGTGGCCCTTCGATTGGCTGGATTTGACCGCGACCGTCTAGAGCGCTTTTGGTTGGCTCGGAACACTGTGATCCCCAGCATTGAGCTCCAAAGGCAGTTGTTCCCTTTCATCGAGGATGCTTGCTCCGACACGTTCTGGAGGCTCACGATTGACAACATTATGCGTGACTGCGACGTTTTCCACGGACGCGAGGAGTTGCGTGAGAAGCTGCGACGGGGCGAGTGCAAGGAAGTCAAGCAGGTGTACACGGACAAGGATATGCAGACCGTTCTGTCGAATGAGGTCATTTCAAGAAAGCGCCATCTTAGCCTTCTCGCCCACCTGCGAAAGGTTATCCTTCAGGATGCAGCTGTCATCCTGTCCGGGGGTGGTGCTGCCGCCGCGCACCCTGTTTTCGATCACCCTGTCTTCAAAACACCTGCGTTTCAAGATTTCCAGCAAACCCTACTCGAGAGCATGAGAAATCCCTCTCCTCTCACGGATTCCCTCGCATCTGCCACACCCATCATCCAACTGGAGTTTGACAGGGTCGGCGCGAGGCTCGGTGTCCAAGATGCTGCAATCCGGAGCCTGCAGCAAAGCCAGCAAGCCGGACTTCAGAGTTTGCACGCCGGTATGAATGTTCTAGCAGCTACTTTACAAGCTCAGAATGATAGGACAGCATCCGAGCTGAAGGACTTGAAGCGGTGCATTGGCAACAATGACAAACTGGCAGGCAACAAGCGACAATGTTTGAACAAGGATGCCGTTCGATCTCAGTTGATGCAAGCTCTCAAGTCAACGGTGGAAGCCGTGGTGGCGATTAGCGAGGACGATGAGGTGAAGGTCAGTGACGACGTCAACGGCAGTGTAGCAAGCCAGAGTACCACTATGGCTACCGCCATCGCTCTTCTTCAGCTTCCAGAGCCGGACGCTGGCCAGCAAGAATCAAGACCTCTGACTTCTTCCACTGCAGTTCTTTCAAGGGATGCGCACCGCCGCGCAGCTCTGGCCGCTTTCAACCCCAGCGACAATGTCGAGGACAGAATGCGACAAGTAGCCGCCTTAGTCGCCGACGAGAAGAGGGCGAGAGGAGAGACCCAACACCATATGCCCCTAATGCCCGAGTGCAAGCTGATCCCACGACCGAATACGCTCGACCAACTGTGGCAAGAGTGGGTTTACCACGGCGTCGATGGGTCCCCCTCCATCGCAGAGCTTAATAGGTGGTTCGGTTCAGCGTGGCGAGGCATAGATGCACAGCTCTACAAGTGGAAGAAGGACATTGTACATTCGGTTCTGCGCTCTATCCCAGCTGGCTTGCAGGTTGACAAGTCCGCCGTAAACAATGCACTTGCCTTCGTAAGAGGGCAAATCGATACTGTTGGTTCAATTAATAAATACTACAAGGCTCTTCCCAAAGCACCCTCGAGAAAGTACCCAAAGAGAAGAGAATAAACACCATCCTTGGTCTATCACAGTGTTACATGTCAGCTCGCTCTACATATGGTTAGGAGCAGGGTGAGGGCAATGCTGAGGGAAGGAGGAGAGAAGAGGATAGTAGAGAGGGGAGTAGAGAGAGTGATGATAGAAGGACCTAGGGATAGAGGGAGGGAAGAGCAGAGAGGAATAGAGGGCAGAGAGTGTGATGTAAGCAGGAGGGCAACGCAGTTCTCAATGTGTTCAGGCACAGGCACGAGAGGAGAGGGCACATGAAACAATCTATTCACACATATGTGACTGGTTTATAACTGTCTATCGTGCTCGGAATAAAAAAATCTATAAACCATTATAAGCCGCTAATCTGTGTATAATGCGCATTTCACATAAAATGCTTTGTTTTGGCCACTAAACCTCAATTAGACCAAAATGAGTAAAAAAAATTAACCACTAATCCAGTTGCGAGCGGGGTTTGCATGGACGTGGAACAAAAATGTTGTTCTGAATAGCTGGCTCCTCTAATACTTTCATCCTTCTCTTTTAAAATAACTAGCTGCCCCAGCGAAGGATTCTGCTCAAAATACCGATGGCACAGCGGCCGCCGTTGGACCCAAACCAAGCTACCCCAACGACGGCCCCGGCCTCCTTCGTCGTCGCCGTCGCCTCTCTTACTCTCCTTCCTCTCTTTTATAGTAACAGTTGCAGTCTCTCATAAATGAGTTTTGATTTATGTTTCTCTTGTCCTTATTGCTCTGTGGAATGCGCTTTCTTTAGTTTGTGTGCACAGTGCTTTACGTTAGCAGAAGAAAAAGAAGGGGAACGTTGTTCGTCTCCAAGGCTGTACACAAAAAAGAACCTCCCTCCTAAACCATAGAGGTCAACGCGCGCACATCCTCAGCCATGTCTGCCGAAAAGATAGCTTTCGGCTCGTTAAAACTGTTTCGAAGCCGAGGTTCATCCATCCAATACCAACAACTCCTTCGAAAAACGGCGACGACGAAGAATCTCCTTGAGGTGGTCGCCGGCAATTCAATCCTCATTCCACACTTTGCCAGCACTTTATCGGCTGTGAATGCATACTTGAAAAACGTCCGCGCCGCTCTGGACTCTGCCTGGGCGGAGCAGTATCGGGAATACAGCATAGAAGGGGTTAGATGATGCTTTCGCGAGATTGGAGTCGGATCTGAAGCCGTTGGACGTTGTTGCGGGTGAGTCAGGAGTAGTTGGAGGAGGGGGGCAGTGCGTTTGTTGCATGGGGCCAAAGATGCAATGTTCTCCATCTGTGCTGGAGACCCGACATTCTCGCCTGTTTGCTTCCTCTGCATTTGTTTTGACCAGGCGCCATTTTTTTTCTCCCCCTCTCATCTTGTAGCGAACAGAGCAGTAATAGCAACCCTCGTTCCTCCTTCCTTTATATTCTCCCTTTGCCTTTCCTTTCATTAACCTCTACGAATGTTCCTCCACCGTGTGTCGAGCCATAGAAATGAGGCGGAATTTAAAAAAAATATTGTTCCATTCATGCATGTACACTCTCCAGGGGAATAAACGAAAAAAGCAGAGCTATATCATCAGGTCCCCATGCAACAACCCATAATTCCTTTCATTCATATCAAAGGTGCGCATGTGCACGGCCCAACCCTTCAAGGAAGAAAAGGTACTGTTATTGCCGGTTCTTATTAGGAGAGGCTGGAATCCACGGCGTACTCAGCGATTTCTTGGTATTAAGAAACAAAAAAATGACACACTCTTCCCTCGGTCGTAACTCGAAAAGTGGACGTATATTTTATCTTCGCGTGTATCTGTACGTGAAGAGGTAGCATTGGATATATCACCAAGCACCATAGAGCAACGGACACCAATGGGCCATTGGCACAACACACAAGACCAAAGTAACAAAAAAAAGTACTCGCCTAGATCACAACAAACAGGTCGCTCAGGACTAAAGCCAGGTAGACTATTATGTCGCCGACTAGACTATGCATCACTCCATTCTTTTTGTACAAGACACTGCATGCACACACAATGATCGTCCATTCGTATCTGTGTTTTATGAGTTCCTCTCTCTGTTTTTCTATTTATTCTCAACGCCCAGTTCCTATTACAATGACGCCACACATAGATCTAAAATTTAGATAGATCGAGTCCAAACCGACGGGATGGGGTCAACATTTTTCCCTCCATGGAAAAACAAAGTGGGAGGGGGATGGGGGATATGTGAAAAGTGATGCGCTGTGAATGTGTAAGAGACTGAGTATATCTCTCCCTCTAGTCCGTTGTAGTGTGTCCGTCACGTATGTGTCTGTTGTGTGTTGGTGGTTGTGAGTGGAATTTGGAATCACAGCTCTATTTAACGGTCGTGCATGCATCCGAATTGTTGTTTTTGTATCTTCGAATCCTCCTATTCTCCTTACCTTGCTCAGGCGAACAAAAAAAAAGCAGATGCACAGGAGAAGTCTCTCTCTCCTTCTCTCTTTTCACCGTCTTTTCTTTTCTCATCTACCTCTCGTCTTATCAACGTATCTGATATCCTTCTTGTTCAATTCTCCTTGCTTCTTTCACTTTATCTAATCAACCGCCTCCTGCATAAAACACACGCTCGGTGCACGGACGCAAGATCTAAAAATCAACAACAGCTTACACAACCACACCTCGTTCCCTCGATCTTTTACACAATGCTGAAATTTGGGATATCGTCCGCGTTGTTACTGGTGCTCGCACACACTACAATCGTGCAGGCCGACGATGTGATCAGGTAAGACTTTTCTTCGTTTCCCTCGGAAATTCGTCCCGTTGTTCATTTCTCGTTATACAAACACTCCACACCGTCTTTTTTTTGGTCCCACTCCTGTATCTTCGACTAATCCATCCTCCTTGCCGTTCTTTTCCTCCTCGATATCTTTTCTCTCTCCCTCTCACATTCCCTCTCTCATAAAAACAAAAAAAACAGGATCCCAATAACAACACTCGCCCACTTAACAAGACCCTCCACAGTCGGACGGTGGGAACACACCCTTCGCAAATACGGGCTCTCAGCCGACTTTGGACCCAACCAGCGCGGTGGACCACAAGGGCGCCAACGTGGGCGTATTATCGAGGATGCAGATGGGGACCAGGAGAAGAATGTTGCGAGGGTTCCTCTTGTGGACTTTGATTTTGATCGTGAGGTAACATAAACAAGGACAAAGAAAAAGATGTGATGAGTTTTCATGCAACCACGTTTTTCTACCTGTTTGATTCGACCAACAGACTTACATGCTACTGTTGTTGATCATTTATTTTATGATAGTACTATGGTACGGTCCTGGTTGGCGAACCTCCACAGTCCTTCAAGGTAGCCTACTTTCCTCTCCCCTCTCCTTCTCTCCCACAAAAAAAAAAGGTTCACTGATCAAATTCCAACAAGTGATCTGACAATTTCACTTCTTTTGCCACTAACTTTGTTCGTTTTACCCAACTGGTTGATCAAATCACCCTCCCTCCTTCCTCTCTCTTTCCCCTCCCCATCACAGATCGATTTCGACACAGGATCCTCACGGTTCATCATCTCCTCCAAGGACTGCACCCAGTGCTCAGGAACAACCCGCTACGACTCCTCCCTCTCCAGGACCTTCCGTCTGAACTCTGAGGACACCCCCTCTTCCTCTTCCAACACCACATCAACAGCAGGCACACTTCCTCGGTACTCATCCTCGAAACCACCTCAAGACCCAAATGCATGGCACATCACTTATGGAGACATGTCCCACGCAGAGGGGTTTCTTGGTCGAGATCACGTGACACTTGGTGCTTCATTGGAATCAACATCAACAGCAGGAGGAGGGAAGAAGGGAGGAAAGGGAGGGTTGACGGTGCAGCACCAAGAACTGGCTCTTGTGACGAGTGAGAGCGCCAATTTTGATGAAGTCATCGACGGTATTATGGGGCTTGCCTTTGGTACCCTCTCCTCCTCTTCCAGCGGCGGGACAACTCCATCCAAGGTGGTGCCGACAAAGACGGTCTTCGAGAACATGATGGCGCAAGGACTAGTCGACCGAGGGGTGTTCAGTTTCTATCTCGGTAAATCCTCCCGCGGTGGAGGCGGAGAAGTCATGTTCGGTGGGTGGGACCCTTCCCGGATCGAGGACGGGCACGAGCTGGTGTTTACGAATGTGACGAGACCCAAGTACTGGCAGATCAATGTCGAGAATGTCTTTGTCTCCGACCATCAAGTCGATTATATGCCCGTCAAGACTGTGACCTACCTCACTCCCAAACCACCGCTTTCTCCCCCTTCCCCTCCCCCTCCTGCCTCCCCCTCCTCCTCAGAGAAAAGATCCAATATTGCAGGGATCGTCGATACAGGGACGACACTGATGATTACTCCCTTCCGCCTGGCGAACGCAATCCATGCACAGATCCCACATGCAAGGATCATGGGCCAGTCCTGGACGGTGCCTTGTAACCTGGGTCAGACACATGGTGATTCAAAAGTCGAGTTGCAGATTGAGGGGAGGCGGTTCGCGATTCCATTTGAGGATATGGTTCGTGAGCCTGTTGAGCGGCCTTCTGGCCTTGCCACTACCGACGAGTCCCTCTCTTCCTTGTCTAGCGGCGGCACCCACAAGGACAACGGCAAAGATGATGAAGGAGGGAAGGGGAGCGGGTTATGTTTCTCGGGTGTGCAACCGAGCGGCGCAAACTTCATGATCATCGGCGACGTGTTCATCAAGAACAACTATGTGGTGTTTGATCAGGAGCACCAACGTGTCGGGATAGCGCCCCTCAAACTTGCTGATCGCAATCCTTCCCCCTCCTCTTCGTCGTCGTCGTCATCGTCCGTCAACGAAAAGAAGGAGAAAAGGAAGAAGGGCAAGAAGGATGTAGAGAAGAAGAAGGGCGATGGGAAGGAGAAGAAGGATAAGGAGAAGCGTGAGGTCGCAAGGATGAGGATGGGTTGGGAGGTGGTAGACCCCTCTGGCGAGGAGGTTAAGAATGATGAGGTCGAGGCTCCTAAGGGTGGACATGCGATCGTGTAAGCCATGATCCTTACAGAAACCCATGAATAATAGATACCTCTTTCCTCTTCTACTTCCTCTTGTCTTCTTGTTTGTTTTCATGTTAGTCTGTTGGGATTGAAAATCAAGTAAAAATGGCATACACTAGTTTCATAGTCGAGGAGACAAAATGTAAAATATACATCCATGTACGTGATCTTGCCAAGGTAGAAGACATGGGTTTTTCATTGTCTGCTCCGTTTAGCACACTCTCCTATTTTATTTTACTTGCGGTTACACATACACACATACACACATACACAACACTGCGTTCAGCGAAACCTGACTCATGGCCGAGTAACAAGAAGGGTGTTGACCTATGTTGCATAGCACCATAACAAGGAACGGTAAAAGGAAAACATAATGAAAAAAGAGGGGAAGGAAGGAAGGAGGGAACCCCATCGGGGATCGAACAGGATGGCGTCAGTCAGGTACCGAGGCCTGCCCCGTCACCATCCAATATAGAAATCTCAATTGGAATTTCCCTTCTCGTTGTCTTTGATTTAGTTAATGGAGGCTGGGTCTAAGAAAGAGAGGGTAGGAAAAAGAGTGGAGATAGCCCTTTTGTGTATGTGTCACTTCCAAGGCACACGTAACCCACCCCGTTGACAAATCATTCGATACCGAAAAAATTGACACTATTTCTTGAAGGCAATCAAAAAAACGGCGATAAAGACGTATAGCATCGGTACGTACTCCATCGTTCGTATGGACTCTTTTGTCCAGAACACAAAAGACAGGAACCGCAAAAGAAATAGAGCAAACAAGAATACCAGGGCTGTGTGTGCGTCTTTTTGGAGTCATGTTGTAGTCATGTTCCTTATTCCCTCTCTTCCCTCTCTCCCCTCCCCTCTCATGGGACCGGAGACTTTTTTTCTGTGATCGTTTTGGTTGATAGAACACAGAACCTTGATTGTGTGCTTGCGTATGTGTGGAGGGAGGGGATGGATGGACGTGCTCAATTCGATCGAGATAACGTGTTTGTTTGAGTGTGGGTGGACTGATGATTGAGATTGCAGATGTAAGGAGGACAACAACAACAAGGAGTAGGTGAGTGATGCTTGTATGCACCAAGCAAAGAAAAGTCGAGAAGCGATAACAAGAAAACGAATCCCGGCTACTCCTCTTCCTCTCCCTCCGTCTCTTCACGGAAAGAATAATCAACATCAATTGAAAAGATCGGAGAATGGTGCAACAAATGGCAATAAGACTACAGCAGGTAGCCAGCGCCAAGTACCTGCGAGGCACCAGTGAGTAATGACGATAGAGACCAAGAAAAAGGAAGTACCGAAAAAAAGAAAGAGAAAAAAAGAAAACGAGGAAGGAAAAGCGATCTCCGACAGAGATTGAATGCCAGCTGGAGGGACAATTACTAAAAACTGTGCGAATGGTCCACTGGGAGGAGAGAATTACTAAAAGATGACAAGGGCAGGTACATGGCTTCTGCGCCCGTGTCTGTGTAGGGTTTGGGTAACAGGAAAAGAGGAAAATAGATTTTGCTTCCACAGACAAAGGAAGAGTCCAGATCCAGGTCCACTTCAATTATTGAGGGCAGCAGGTAAAAGAAAAATTTTCATTTACCTCTTCAAGATGAAGTGTAACACAACATCCATTTTAGACAGGGTCTTGTTTTCCACGGTCCCTATCGCATATTTAAAGGCTCCACTCCAGACACGTTTTTGCCTTTTCTTCTTTCTCCATTCTTCATACTCTCTCTTTGTTCTTTCCTTCTCTTTATCGCACTTGGTTGTTCAACTTTCGCCTTCCACCTGTAAACAAACAAACAAAAACAACCCTTCCCTCTCTCCAACCAACCAACACAACACACACATACCCAAGAGAATGCTCAGGACAACAACCGCATCCATGTGGGCCTCCTCCGCCAGGATCCTCCGTCAACCCCTTTCTTCTTCCACAACTCGCTTCTCCAGGACCGCAGCCGTCTCGTCCCTCTCCGCCTCAGCCCGTCTCTTCTCCATCTCTGCCTCCGCCTCGTCCCCACCACCTCCTCCTCAGCACTACAACTCTACTACTAGCGCAGCTGCCCCTCGCCACCCCAGGGTTCTGGTCACCGGTAAGTAATAGGGCTGATATAGCAGTTGGTTCAGTATGTTCGTCAGTTCAAGGCTATCATCAGATCAAAGTCGCTTTGTTGGCTTTTTTTGCCATGGTAATCTGCTGCTGTTTGTTTATTAATATGGATGGACATGAGAACAAAAAAAAACAAGCAAGTCAAATATGTATACAAACATGCGCCTTTGTGTGTCCATGTGTTTGGCGTGCATGGACTGACTGGGCTGACTGCGCGGAGAGGGAAAAAAGGAGAGAAATTTGTATTTTTGACTGCCCTAATGCCTAAACAATTGAACCTGACCTGACCTCTCCTTTATTTTCATTTCTTCCCAACAAACAGGATCGTTGGGTCAGCTTGGTTCTGGACTCGTCAAGGAGCTTCGGTGAGTGAATATTTTTAAAGCTCTAGTAACAGGCGACCCTTTATTATTGGCTGTGCATTCTCTTTATTTTTTTTTGGCGTGCAGGGGAGAGAGAGAAAGTTGTCCGTTGAAGAAGTGATGAGGGAGGAAAAGAGTGACGGTGGTTGTTCATTCTTTTCGTTCATTTTTCCTCAGTTGTGTTGTGTGGTTTGTTGGTCGCACCAATGCACTCCGACAACAAAGCGTTAAACGTACGCAGAGAACATTTCGATGTACCAAGGCACAAATACCCCCAACAACGACAACAATAACAACAAGCAGCAAGCCGTTCGTTTGTTTTTTTTAGTGTGTAAAGAAGGGGAAGGGGGTCATAACCTTTTTGGGGCAATGATTCCATTTTCTTCCCACAGTACAATATTTGGGTAGTTTCCTTCCTCCTTACTTTGCTGCACAACAAACAAAAGAGACAAGCGGACGCAAACAAATCAAAAGGGCTGCGAGAGCAATAACAGGAGAGCGATGGGAGAAAGGGGATGGACGGAGAAGAAAAAAGAGGAGGGAGAACAAGTTCATTACTGAAATTCAGCTCAGTCATTTGTTCTTTTTTCCCGACCCCTCCCTTTGTTCCTGCGGCATTTCCAAGAACAGCCAAAAGAAAAAAGAACAAGTCGAGACATGGACTGAGGTCGAGTTAGAGATAATTGGATCGAGTTTGAGGAGCGAAGGGGGAGAGGTCAGGGTGAAGAAATGGCAGAATATCGTTCTGATATGCTGCCATCTGTATTCGCCAGTCCTCGCCGGAATGAAGCAACAATCAACAACATTCCTCTCTCTCTTCCACACCCTCCATTCACCGCTACACTAGTACTCTCGGAATGGAGGGAATTCAACATAACCCAGTCCTACACACACTACTCCACCTCTTCTTGTTTCGTGCTTTTGACATATCCATCTAACATCCATCGTTGCTATCTTTTTCAATCATTAGTTCGATGTATGGAAACGAGAACGTGGTTGCTTCGGATATCCGCAAGGCCCCTGAGGAGTTCATGGCCTCGGGTCCCTTTGTCTATGCCGACGTTATGAACTACTCTATGCTCGAGCGCATCGTTGTCGACTGGCGCATTGGTAAGTCATCTCTCTGTTCACCCTGTCTTGTGTTCTTTTTCCCACTGTTTTTTTTTGTTCTTGTCCTTCCATCAAAAACGAAGGTGGCTCCTTTTTGTTCGTTTACCCTCTCTTTGCCCATGTGGCGTGCCATCGCCTTCCCTTCCCCACTCCTTTTTCCTCATCTCATTTCAGCTCAGCTCGCATCTCAGACAGGCAGGACTTTCTCGGACAGGACCGAACAGGAAACCGAACAAACAGAACACAACGGACACACAGGACAGATGACTACAAACTCAGGAACCACAGGATGAAAGCAAGGTTGAACTTTCAGTCCTGTTCTTCCTGGGAACTTTTCTGTTGTGCGCTCTCAATTCTTTCTATGTGGTGCATTCATCCAGTTCTCCCCAGTCTCAGTCCCTTCATCTCATTTTTTTTTCCACGGTTATGATTTTTCCACGGTGATGTTTTTTTTCTTTTTCTTACCCCGCCAATTTTTTAAACCTTGTGTGCCCTTCGTACATTTCGTACATGGATTGCTTGTCTTCCCAAAGTTCAATCTCCACACAGACAGGCTGCCCTTTTTTTTCTTTTCTCTATTTGGACCTGTTCGCTGTTCATGCCACTGTGCGAGCACTCAGTCTAGGCATTGTCAAACTCGCACGTTTTCCTCTGCCTCATGCCCTCCCTTCCAATTGCAAATTCCTCCCTCACCTGCACAAGGTGTGGTCTCATCCAACCCGCAGGAACATCACCCCAAACGAATAACTAACCTACCAAACCTTTTTTGCTCTCACATCAATCGTATTAGACTGGGTGGTGCACTACTCGGCATTGTTGTCGGCGGTCGCAGAGAAGAACCCTGCCCTGGCATTGAGCGTCAACATGACTGGTTTCCAGAACATGCTCGAGCTGGCCAAGGTCCACCGTCTCCGACTTTACTCACCCTCGACCATTGGTGCATTTGGCCCCTCGACGCCCAAGAACAACACCCCTGATCTTACGATTATGAGACCCAATACTATTTATGGTATTACCAAGCTGCACAACGAGCTCCTCGGCGAGGTAGGGATCTCTCTTTTTATTTTGTTGTTGTGTTGTTGTGTTGTGCCCATGAGATAGCATTGGGTAATAATTGCCCGTTGATTTCCTTTGTCAAGTACTAACCTATTTTCTCACTTTCCCCATCCTTACTCTCTCTCTTTCCTCCCTGTGTAACTTCCATCGAAACAGTACTACAGAGAAAAGTTTGGTGTAGACTTCCGGTCGGCCCGTTACCCCGGCGTCCTGAGCGCAGATACCCCTCCAGGCGGCGGAACTACCGACTACGCCGTCGACATCTTCCACCACGCCATCAGGACTGGTCACTACGACTGCTTCCTCTCTAAGGACACCCGCCTCCCCATGATGTACCTCTCTGACTGCATCAAGGGCACAGTCGACCACCTCACTCACCCCACTCCTCTCCCCCAATCTGTCTATAACATCGCCGCTTGTTCTTTTACTCCTGCCGAGCTTACAGCAGAAATCCAGAAGTATTTGCCTCACTTCACAATTTCTTACCCTGATCCTTCCAGACCCGATTTCCGCCAGGCCATTGCGGATTCATGGCCTGCTTCATTGGATGATTCGATGGCGAGACGGGATTTCGGATGGAAGGAGGAGTTTGGTATGGAGAAGATGGTCAAGTTGATGTTGGATAAGATCCAGGCTCAGGTTGATGCTGAGAAGAAGGTTACCAACGGACCTGCTGCCATGGCTGCTTAAGGACTAGGTTGCCATGACCTTGATCTTCATTACCACTTACTCTTGCATTTTTTTTCCACACTTTTTCATTGTTCTTTCGTTGTCGTTCAACTGTATCAAATAAAACAAAGCATCTAATCTTTCATATACTCATATTCCACGCACCGAATTAAAAAAATGTGGCGAAAAGGGAAAGGACCATGAGTGTCTTGGTATGTGATTGTGTGCATTTGTATGTGAGCGACGTGGAGCATTCCTGGTTCATTGTGAAAAGGAGTTCTGCACCCGTGTAAGACCCATTCCAGCCAATCAGGATGCAAGCACGATTTGGATGTGGCGTATGTGTACAGCTTTCTGGCCCCTCTCTGTCTGTTCCCAAAAAAAACAAGCCTTTGTTCTGAGCAACGAAGGAACAACCTTGCGCCCTTCTTTCATCATCAATTCCCTACTTTGACGCACTTACACACGGACAGCACACACATATCGACTAACAACTATACCGACGCTCGCGACACATACAGACAAAGACATCTACAACGATGACACCAACTAGGTCATCCTCCTCCAGATGGGCGCGCCTACGCACCGCTGCCCTCTCCACCCTCCTCCTCTCCTCAACCTTCACACAAGCCTTCTACCTCCCAGGAGTCGCGCCCGCAGAGTACAAGGACATGGACGCCGTGCCCCTTATGGTCAACGCCCTTACGCCCGGGTCTGATTCTGAACTCAAGTCTGTGATCCCTTACGACTATTATGATCCGATGTTTAACTTCTGTCAGCCCGAGGGTGGACCACGGGCACAGCCGGAGAGCTTGGGGAGTATTTTGTTTGGTGATCGGATTTGGGATTCTGCTTTCAAGGTAAAGGTCGATGAGAGGTGGAGAAGTGATGGGTGGGTGGTGTGGGAAGAGGGAGGGATGGGATGAGGGAGGGATGGGATGAGAAGGGAAGAGGTTGCAGTGTCGTTGTTTGCTTTATTTGGACGCGTGATCTTGGCAAGAAGGACGAGGATGATGATGATGAAGACACGCGAGCACAGGGAGAAAGAGAGACTGATGGCTCACCGTGTTGCGATGAATCATAACAACCTGTCCACTCACCCCTTATTATTCAACACTACCCTTCCACTTTTCCTTTACCATCGCCTTCCTTCTCCCACTCACCATGCCCTAAACTATAGATCAACATGCGCGCCCCAGACAAGTGCAGGGAACTCTGCAAGCGCGAGGTGACCCCCGCCCAAGCACAATTCATCAACGCCAGGATCAAGGAGAATTATGTCACAAACTGGTTGATCGACGGCCTTCCAGTAGGACACCTCCGTGGATCAAGAAGCAAGGACCAGGAGAAGCAGTTGTATTCGATCGGGTTCCCGCTGGGTGTTGACGCGGGGAATGAGGCTCCTTGGTTTAATAACCATTATGAGATCGAGATTGATTATCACCATAATCTGCAGAAGGATACCTTGCGCGTAGTTGGGATTACTGTTGATCCTATTAGGTAAGGCCTTTATTAGAGGGGTGGGTATGGAGAGTGTGTGTGTGTGTGGGCGGACAGCAGAAAGGGACAATAACAAGGAACAATGACAACTAATAGGAAGCGGTGAAGAGGGGCGACAGCAAAAAGGGATCAAAACAACCACGACGGACAACAACAGCACCAGAAAAGAACAACCAAAAGGAACAACTACGAGGAATCAAGAGGAGGAAGGGAGGAAGGAAGGAAGGGAAGGTACAAAAGGATAATTGTGGTGATGTGATAACGGCACAGATAAGCGAGGCTTATTATAGCAAGGCACAACATAAGAAAGGACCAGGAGCAATTATTGGTTGAAGGAAACAACGGGGCAGTACGTGCAAACCAGAGAACTAACATTATCTCTTATTTCTTACGTTGATGAACCTGTTAGTGTTTTGGAGGCGGTGGAGGATACAGAGTCGTGCGGTACCAAGACAGGAGAGAGGATGCCCCCCATGATCCTGTCCGAGAAGGCCACTACCTTGGTCACCTACACATACACTGTCAAGTGGAACGTATGTTGTTCTTGTTTAATGAACGGATCCGATCCGCGCTCCTTCTCAACTCCCCGCTTTTTTTCTTCACCCCCTGCACCAGAAATGTAACACCTTCCTCTTAAATTGACAAAATAGGAGGTGCCAACGGCATGGGCGACACGTTGGGACAAGTACTTGCTCGTCGGAGAGCCCAGAATCCACTGGTTCAGTCTGGTGAACTCGATCATCATTGTTCTCTTCTTGACAGGCATGGTCGCCATGGTTCTTCTCCGCGCTCTGCACAAGGATATTTCTCGGTATAATCAGCAGGAAGCTCAGGAGGACTTTCAGGAGGACTTTGGCTGGAAGCTGGTTCATGGGGATATCTTCCGCACACCCTCCTACCCCATGTTGCTGTCGATCATTGTTGGAAACGGCTCGCAGATGTTCTTAATGGCTTCGGTCACGATCCTGTTTGCGGCTCTGGGATTCTTGTCCCCCTCGAACCGTGGCTCATTGGCGACGGTTATGATTGTGTTCTACATGTTCTTTGGCGTCGTTGCTGGATTCATCTCTGCCCGCCTCTACAAGATGTTTGGTGGTGAGGCTTGGAAGGCCAATGTCATCGGCACCGCCTTCCTGTTCCCTGCGTAAGTTATCTTGTGTGATCATTCGCTTATATGCGTGACTGTCATTGACGCAACTGATGGACATGGAACAGGGAAGGCAGAAAAAGATTCACTAATTCGACGCGACAAATCAATCTACTTTTACTTTTATAGGGTCATTTTCGGATCGTTTGTGGCGCTGAACTTTTTCTTGATTGGAGCCAAGTCGTCGGGAGCGGTTCCTTTTGGCACCATGGTCGGATTGATCGCCCTCTGGTTCCTTGTCTCAACCCCTCTGTCAGTTTTGGGCTCATACCTCGGATTCCAGCGCCCCAAGATCGAGAACCCTGTCCGTGCCAACCAGATCCCTCGCCAGATTCCCGACCAGGTCTTCTACCTCCGCCCTATCCCCTCGATGCTCATTGGAGGCATCTTGCCCTTTGGCGCGATCTTTATTGAGCTCTACTTTATCCTGAACTCGATCTGGTTCCACAAGATCTACTACGTCTTTGGTTTCCTCTTCATGGTCTTTGGTATCCTCATCATGACCTGTGCCGAGGTGACGATCCTGATGTGCTACTTCCATTTGTGCGCAGAGGATTATCACTGGTGGTGGAGAGCGTTCTTTACTTCGGGCGCCTCTGCGGTGTACATCTTCTTGTACTCGGTCATGTACTACTTTACGACACTCCATATCAAGAGCTTCACGTCTGTGGTGCTCTACTTTGGATGGACGATGATCATGAGCATCATGTTCTTTGTTCTTTCTGGAGCCATTGGATTCTTCTCGACGTTTGCGTTCGTCCGCAAGATCTATGGCAGCATCAAGATTGATTAACGAGGACAAGGAGGTTGGTGTTGTTTCCTGACGGTGGTGGTGTTTGGAGGCTATATTTTTTTTTAGATGGGGAGCAGATGTGAGTGTTACTTTCAGATAAAGCGATGGGTAGCAGATGCCCTCTATTGTTGTTATGTTCTTTTTGAGGTTGTGTGCATGATGTAGCGTAGTGGATAAGAGCCTCGGTCCCGTCACCCCTCTGTCGCGATGTTCCAGACAGGTCTGGCCCTGTTCTCGGGTTCGTCCTGCTTTGGAAACTCAACACCCCTTCCTCGTTCTGTCCTCAGCAAACAACCCACCCAGGAGCTCGTCTTTTCCAACCCCTCCCATCACCACCAGCACCACCAATGCGATCACCCCCTACCAGCCTCACGTCATTACTGTCACCTGTGACAACAACGACGCCTACGTCGCTGGAGGAATCATATCCTCCCCAGAGGCGATCGAGAGGGAGGGTGGTTGGTGGCTCACCGTGACCACTGCTATTGAAGAGGCGTATAGTTCGACGAAGACTTAAAATTGGTGATGTTGACAGAGAATTTGGCGGAGGACTGGAGGGCACAAAAGCTGACAGTAAGGCAGTAGGGCAGTAGTCTGGGAAGCGGGTGTCTCTGGTGGTAGGGTGGTCTGCATGGGAGGCAGGTCGGAACCGAGACATGCATCCAGGACGGTGTCCTTGAGGACCATTGTTTTCCAACCTCTCTCTTTGGCACCTCCACATGATTGGACCCAGTTGGAGTAGTTGTAGGTGGTACTGGGGTACTAATCAGTAGGTGTAGTAGTAAAGGAAAGTAGGTAATGGTGCGTGTACATCAAAGCGGCTTTTTGATCCCACGATGTCGGCTCTTTCAACCCTTGCTTCATTAGAATGTCAGGCTCGCCTCCCGATTTGTTGATGCACCATTGGGGTGTATAGACATGATCGGTTGTTTCCTATCGAGAAAAGAAATAAAGAGTAACTCAAAAAACCTTAAAATGGCACGCCGCTTTTTTTTCCTTTCCTTGCTGATTTTGTTGACACAACATATCAATGAAATGAGAGCACAAGAGCACCTGCGGCTTGGTATGGTATTCTGGTGTTTTCTGGTGCCGCTGGGGGAGGGGGTTCATCTTCTTCTGTCTTCAATTCACTCTTTGTCAGCTCGTCTCTCTTTTTCACTTTTTCCCCTTTCGCCGTCTTCAGTAACTCTTCCCCTACTCCCCTCGTTCCATCCTTCTTCGTCCCTCCATTTCTCTCCATCTTGACCATACACTAGCACTATCTAATCCACCTTCCACTCTTTCCACCCTCTGGCACATCCAGACCGCCACAAAAAAAATGATTACCATGAGCAGCAGACGCCTCGTCCTCGCAACCGTCGCAGTCTTATCCCTCACCTGCTGCTCCATAACCCCAACAACAGTCAACGTTGCCATGGCCCAAGTGACACCGTCCGCAGTCCAGGACATGGCCTTTGGTCGATCCGGGTCCGACTTTTATATCCAAGGAGGCTATGTGGCTATCAACAGCGTCTCCCAATCTGTCTCCTCCCAACTCGTTGCCCTCGACTTGTCTTCTCCGTGGGGGGTCACCTCGCCCGCTTGGCGCGCGCTAGCCAATGGAACTGCGTCTCGCTCTTTCTATGGGGTTAGCTTGCCGACCAATAAGACCTTTATCACGCTCAAGTATGTGGATCCGAAGCAGTATACCATCACCGACTATAATGTGACATCGAATACCTGGTCGCTTCCCAAGCCGGTGACGACGGTTACAGATATCTTGACGTATGGACTGAGACCGGTCGTGGACCCGACTTCGGGGTTGGTGTATATTGCAGGGATAGCGGGGATGAATGTCTACAATCCGACGACGCAGCTGTGGACTGCGCCGACTCCTATATCTGGGCTGACGGCGAGGTACTTTGGGTCGGCGATGTACAACACTGCTAGAAAAACGATTATGTATGTGGGCGGGTACAACTATGGAGTTGCCCCATCCCATTTCGATCCGGTAGTGGCTGTGACAGAGTTCTCCCCTTCGACGAGCACGTGGACTGTTTTGGTATGGGAGCAAATCGCGCTTTTTTATTCTGTGATCTCTGGCGGCGGCAAGAGATGAAAGAACGTTTGTCGGGTGGTATTGTTCGCTTTGAAGGTATATTTCAGCGTGCTAACTGGTTTGCTTCTCTGTGTGAGTCCACCCTTTTTTTTTCCTTCTCATTATGAACAATGTTAGACTACCTCTGGAACGCCTCCCAGTCCAAGAGCAGACCATTGCTCCGCTATTAGTAAGACCCTGCCTTGGTGACAACCCTTTTTTTTCTCCTCGCACAACAAATGTACCACACACTGACTTTTTCCTCTGTTTTGTTTTCAACTCCATAATCACATAAAAACAAAGGCGATGATGGTAAAACACTAATTGTCTTTGGCGGACGAACCTCAGTCGTCACGCCAACCTTCACAGGATCAATTTACCTCCTGGATATCACCACAGGCGTCTGGTCTACAGGACTTGCCCAATCCACTCCTCGAATCTACATGGCCTGCACACTCGTTGGTGACCAATTCGTGGCCTGGGGCGGAAGTGCCGACGCCAACAACACCCTGCCCTCGATTCAACCCATCGTCTTTGATACCACCTTGAAGAAATGGGTTGACGCTTATAAACCTCCGCAGTACTACATTGACAACCCACCAAAAAAGCCAACTCCAAGCTCAGGTGCAGGAAGTAACGGCGGTTCAGGATCTGGAGGAGGAGGAACTGGTGGTGGCAGTGGTGGCGGCAGTAACAACAATGGAGACGGACCAGGACCAGGATCCGACTCAACACACAGTGGACTTGCGCCGATCATCGGTGGCGTTGTCGGCGGATTGGTCGTGATTGGAGCCATTGTTGGGTTCTTGGTGTACCGACGCCGGCAAAACAGGAGATTCGATGAGGTCAAGGAACAGGTCTCGCTGCAGAGGATGGTCATCGAGGCCGAGCGATCCAATAAGGGTGTTGCTCAAAACAGCTCTAATCATCACAACGATGGCGGTGACGGCAGCGCTGGCGCTTACACCACCGCAGTTGCTGGTGTCGGTAGCGGTTATACCAGCAGCAACAACGGCCGCAAAGATAACATCAGCACGACCATCACTTATCCTACACCACCAGCCTACTCGCCCAATAGCAACAACAAAACTACCTCCCACCACCAGCAGGACAATAAGTCGGCGTTTTCTCCACATCTGCCTCACAAACAAGGGATTGCACATGCACCCAACAATCCAATGGTGTACACGGCAGCGATCGGTAGCCCAAGCATGTCCTCCTCCTCAGCTGCCGGATTATCCCCCACCAACAGCAACAACTATTACAACAACTACAACATCAACCACAACAGCAGCACCAGCAACCTCCTCAACAACAACAACAACAACAACAGCCCTCGTGACCCCCAACTAACGAAAAAGTCTGGCGGTCCTCAAGCTGTACAAACCCTCAGCGGACCCCAAGAGTATTACTCACCGACTGGTCGCGCACCACAAACGATCACCGACGGAGTAACTGATGCGAATTTTTATTATCATGAACAGGAGTCTGGTAGGAGACGACAGAATCATCCCCAGGAAGGAGGCGCTCAGTACTAGTAAATGAATGCATGTGTGAGACACCCTAATTTTGGATTTGATCAATGGGCGAAGTGTTTTTTTAATTATTTTGGTAGTGAATGAAAACAAAAGGAGTTGGAGTGAACGGCGGAGGAAATAACGCACGAGAACCAAGAGTACTCTCTCACTCTGTCTCTCTCCCCCTTTTCTTGCTTTCTCTCTTTGACAACAAACAAAGGAGGAGGGGGGGGGATGACCGAGGAAGATAAAGTAAAGGAAAGAAAGGATGATAAAGCGCTTGGATATACATGGCCGTCTTGCCAAACATAAATCATGTCGAATCTGTTAGTTGAAGAGGGGGGAAGAAAAGGTGGCCCGTGGCCTTGACAAAAAAACCTATCGGACTTGGCTCACATGCAGGAGGCAGTGTAAAGATTTTGAGACCAAAAGGGTTAATCATGAAAGTATATCAGTGATAAATAATTTAGCTCGTGTTTTGCTTCGCCCACCTATCAAGCAAGACGCACATGAGAGGTCCCCCTGCTAAAAAAAAAGGATGGATTATACAATGACAACAGCGCATATGCCTGGATAGCCGAACTAAAACGAAAACGTTGCATATATTCACGAAACTAGAAGGAATAAAAGTACACAAAAGCATAGTATCATCCCCTACAAACGGACGGAACAGTCGTTCTCATAGTAATCAAACATAGTGGCAAAGAAAACACCATGTTACTCCTGCGTAACTAGACCCTTGACCTTAGTAATATCCAAGTTCATAGAAAATTATGTGACAAGCGTAAGCAGATCCTTCGCCTCAATCGGGGGTCCTGCTTGGGGAGCCCCGCGGCACGCCGAACTGTTTCTGCGATAGCGACGCCATTGGCCGCGATTTCTCCATTCCATCTTGCCTAGGATTCGGGCTTTTAGCTAAGCTTTCGTGGCTGCACTATTGTACTGTCTCCTGATTTTATTGCATGTGTTCAACGTGGATCCACGCTTGGTCTTCATTTCACGATGGTTTTTGACCGTGGAGCGGGTTCCTAGCCTGGCTGCTATGTTTTTTTCTCTGTGTGTTTCTCTGTGTTACTGTCTCGTCAATACATATGAAGAGTCGTAGCTCTCATTCCCTGTTATTCTTCGGTCAAATATAATCATCTCCTCTGATTGGGGTTCCGAAACTCGGCATTGTCAGATTTGTGGGCTTATCCAGACGCGACGCTCGAAAGATCTCCATTGCGGTGACCAGCTCCTCACGCAAGTTCAGGAAGGTATTGATGGCTCCTGCTACAACGCAGAGGTCGAACTGAAACTGCGGGGCATACACTAAGGCATAGTTCTTCATCAAGTATATGCCTCCGGCCACCGGCTGCATGGAGTATATTACTCCCCCCGTCCCTAAACAAAAAAAAGAGTAACAAGCTATACACCAAGTTTATCACTACAATTTGTTAGCACATATCACATTCTTGTTACTTACCGATCATGACCATCCCAAACACCTTCAGCTTGGCAACATCAACTCGATGCCGGGCCATGTCATCGATGGCATCTTTAAGCAGGAACGCCACCTTTTCCAAATCGATATGTAGGACCTTCTTCTGCCCAGTCTTCTTGGCTTCCATAACGAGAACAAAGGATTTCAGATCAGGGAAATTGCATTGCAAAAAAAAAAATCTGGTCGCCTTCCTCTACCCTCTGCAAGGGCGTTCTTCCTTCCTTCTTTTGATGGCAAAAACATTCTATCCCTATTGATACGACGCATACAGAAAAACTCTCAGGCACATTTTTTTTCGGCATATTCTTAACTGCCTCAAATTCTTACCATCATCCAACATTACCTTGAGGTTGGAGATACGTGTTTTGAGGAAAGGGTCGAACAAGTGTTTAACCATTTTAAGCTCATTAAAATCGGCTCCTTTCCAAAGAAAATCTTCTGCCAACAAAGAGTTTAGGAGCTTTTTCACATCCCGATTCCACATTCGGTCCAGAATACTGTCCTGAGCATCGGAGTAGCGCATTTGGGACAGATCAATGGCGTAGGATGACAAGTCCATGATTGCATCCTCTAGTAGAAGCCTTTTCAAGCTCACTGAAGTGACAGAAGCCCAGTGTGTAGTCCCAATGGCGTGATAAATGCTACTTGACGTTTCTTTTGGCTCGGATAGATAGATGTGGTTTATGGCCCTATCCCTCCCAAAAAAAAAAAATAGAACCGTGTATTTCAAAAATTGCTGTTTCCATTGGATGAACTTTAATTAATACGCTTACAGTTTCTCCACAGTCCCAAGCGGCTCTAGGTTTTTGGCCTTGCGGCAAATCACCTCTCAAAAGCCCTAAACCATGCCAGCAAGGTCCTCCACTCCATTGACCCATGGGGTCCAAAGTTCTTTGGGGTGGTTTGCGCTGCCGTTTGCCAGCAAGATAATAAACAAATGACGGAGACATGGCTGGCTGACGTTTTGCTCCACCTGCCAAGTACTCCGACCCTTCTGAGCTGTGGGAGGCACTTAACTTTGACACATCGCTATCATCTCCTTGTTTCTCCTTGTTTCTCCTTGTTTCTCCTCGTTGTCATCGTACTCTTCTTCCTCATCCTCCTCAGACTTGCCATCATCTTCATCATCCTCATCCTCCTCCAGTTGCTCTTCCTCTGGCTCCTCCTCCTCCTCCGCCTTCTCCTCTTGCTTCTCTCCGAATCTAGTTACGTCGTAGTTCCCCGTAAGAACCGCTGACTGACGCCTTCTCTTCGAACTTCCGCTATCATAGATAGTGTCCATTTTTTTTTAAAATGGGACGAAATGTCAATGTTTGGCCAATGGCAGCACTGATAATATAGATATGTAGCGCATGCGAATGTCATATGGTTGTCAACGGCATGGAATGCTTGAGAAAAGTGATGTCGGACTGATCAATATGATCTCTTGCGGAACATAGTCGCAGTTGCCTTGAGGTCGTCCTGTTCAGACTCTAGCAGCTCCTGTTTAGCCCAGAATTCTGACAATCCTTTCCCAGGGGGTTTTCCATATTGTCAATAACCTAGACCCGTTATGTTGGAATATGAGAGAGCTGCTGGCGAGAAGAATTTTTATAGCACGGCCCCAATGGTTGTGCAGGATGGTCTTGTTAGGCCTGTGTAGGTCTGAGAAGGTCTTGAAATAGTCGCCAGCATCATATCGGAATGGCTTGGTATTCAGCCAATAGAAAACGTTTGGGATATGTTCAACATCCTTGAAGGGATGCACCAACTTCGCCATCGCAGGAAAAAATGATAACGGGCTCTAAGGGGGAGCACAACACGTTAAACAATGTTAGCAATGGAGTAGACAATATCGGACGCCACAGCTCGTGCTCACAACTAACACCCATGCAAATAACTCATGTAGTCCTGCGCCTTTTTCATATCAAAGACAACCCCTCCCCAGCTGAGAGGCGCCTTGTTGGACTATGTGTTCTACCTAACATACTAAAGCGTGCCAACACGGCCCCCTCGCCAGTAACGAGGGATTCGCGGAGGACAAAGACGCAACTTTCGCAGAGGCATCCTCGAATAGCAGCCTTCCCAGAATCCAGCAATCACTCTCTTTGGTGAACTCCTGTCCGAGCCGGTAAAACACCCAATGCAATTTTGATACCTCTCTAGACATTCAACGGGTCCATAAATAAAACAAATGGTGACTTTCCTTGATGCGACTTGGTTCCGCCTTGGTTGAAGGGCTGGTGTGGCCTTGGTTCGCGGTAGGATATCTAATATAGATACGCGCTGTAGGTAATGGCTGGTGACCTCGATGATAACAAACACAACCATACAACTCCCTTGATGCTATTAACCCATACAACGTGGTGGCCCCAGTCACCCAGCGGTGAAAACAGCCGCAGCCAGGAGGCTTCCGGTCACCATAGCCATCCCAAGGAACAGCATCGATTGCAGCTCCACCACAGCCGAGAGGCTGGGTGAGGTCATATGGAATGGCAGTCCAGCGCCCGGCTAAGCCTATGACCATTCATGGACCCACAAGCAACCAACCAACTGCAACAGATCGAGATCAACAGCACCATCAAAGCCAGGATGTTAAACCCTGTCTCTGGAGAGGTCATATGGAGTGGCAGTCCAGCGCCCGGCTAAGCCTATGATCACTCATGGACCCAAGGAGTTGACCGTCACTGGAGCGACATGGATCCCTGCTCATCCTGACGAGAAGAGGATACAAGGATAGATGAGGCCGTATGGAGGGGGGTACTTCATGCATTTCATTTCCGTTCCCTCAAGGACCCACGCGCAAAGTCCAAGGAGGACCCTACTCGCATCTATTCTCGAAATCCGTATACGACGCCATGCATGTTGCCTTCAAGGACACCACCATTACCTTAACTTCTGGGCTACTTTAGAGATTTTTTGGCGATCGGGTTGTTGCGATGGATGGAAAGTGATGTACCAAACATTGAAACCACGGGCCATTTCTTGGTCTTGTCCCCAACCCACGCGATGGTTCCAGGACAATGGGCGCAACAACTACGTCACCGAAGTGACAAGTCGTACGCCAAACGCAAACTACGTCACCGAAGTGAGTAGTCGTGCGTTCTCCCGAACCCAAACTCGATCATATGTATTTGCTTATACACAAATGATCTAAATAGAAAACTACACTGATACTCTCCTGAATTGACTGGAATCCGTTCCCTCGTCAGTCGCCTTTCGTTTGACCCCTTTGCCCTTGTGCCCACCAGCACCAGACCCCCCAGGGTGGGGCCTGAAACTCTGTTTCTCTTCCCAGGGATAATTGCCATCAATGTCCTTGGGCTGGAGGTAGCGCGGTCGCTCTTGCTTGAGGAGGTGGCCACGAATGACATTACAGATATTGTGACCGGCCATCACGTCTCGATGCATGTACTTTTTGCACTCTGAACAGTACAGGCGCCGGAGATCCACTTGGCCAACGAACCCTCCACAAGTTGGGCACTTCTTTGAAGTGTAATACTCGTTTACACCGACAACAATGTATCCAAGCGATCGTGCCTAATAGAGAAAAAGAACAAAATATAACATAGTTAGTCTCCGCATGCTGCATTTCCCAACGATAACAGAAGACTAAGAGTAATAGTTCAGCGTACTTACTTTTTGAATAAAGTACGACTCAAAAGACTCGTGCAGCGACGAGAGCCTGATCCTGGAAGAGAACTGCCCCAGGCCAACTCCAATGACGATCTTGTTGCTCTCCTTTCTCTTGGCTCCCAATGATCCTCCAACCATCTCGAGCAAACGATTGGCAATCAGACGGTACTCCTCGTCGCGAGCCTTCCTGGCGTTCCACCGATGCTTCTTCAAGACAACACTACCATAAAAGGAACCCAGCTGGGCCTCCACCTCCTGCATCCTTGTTGTGTACTCGGCAATACTCGCATCAGGACCAAAGCGAGCGGGCAGACTGGTCTCAATCTGGCAGATGGATCCTCCCCCCTCGAGCGGCTGTGCCTTTCTCTGCTCTAACCAACGCCGGTGCTTGAGGGTAGGTTGATACACCGCTTTCTGCTTGACTGCGAGGTTGAAATACTTTGTCGTAGGTTGCTTGACCAATGGATCCTTCTGGGCTCCCTCTGGACCTCCTTCCGCGTCAAGGTGCTTGTTGCGAGAGGGTAATAAAGCGCTTGCTCCCACCACAAACGCCTGTCCCAAGTCGATACCGAGAATCTTGATTCTTTTCGGATCACATCCCCAGAGGTCGACAACGTCCTGCGGGGTAGACACCACGTTCCGAATCTCCGTCAGAAAGTAGTCCGTGCCGGCAACAGTGGAAGTGAGACGATTCGGGAGTCGATCCGCCGGTAACTGTCGGTACTTGACGGAATGCAGCTCGTTCATTTTGAAGGCGATGAGCTGGAGACGGAAACCATCAGTCCGAATGGATCCATGGAGGACATAGCCCTTGTCCGTGTATGATGTGGGCTGGAAGTCAGCGTGTCGGATTTGTTGTATGTGTCGTCTTGTATCTTCAAGAGGCATCAGGCGAGTCGACCGGGAGTAGTTCCGCAGCTTTTTCCGTTCCACCTCCGAGTATCCCCCAATGTCAGTGAGTAACTTCGTGATAAGGCAACCGGGTACTGCTCTAGAGAGCCACATTCCGACATCAGTCTGAGACACTTGGTCGGCGTATTCGATACTTGGAAAGTCGGGCCATGCGTAGGATTGAAGCACTGTCTTTAACATCGGATCCCGCCAAAAGATCCTTGTAAGTTCCAACTCGGAGACAGTGATAAACTTGTTTTCAAAAGACGACATCGGCACTAATGAACGGGGGCAGCCGCATACCCTGTTCAAAAGGACGAAATTCTCAAATGCAGTGATGTCGGGATCGACGCAATCCCTTGCTTCGAGTGGCAGGAGCTTCTTCGTCTTGAGGAGGGCAAACTTTTTTTATAGAAAAAACGGAAGAGCGTCAATAACAGCGTTCGTCCAAGTCTAAACAAAGGATTCAATAGTAATTTTTTTCGCATTCAAACGATCTTTACCTTTTCGCAAAGGTCCGTCGAACCATTCCTGTAGTGCTTCTTCAGCTCAACCGACAGTTGCAAGGCGGTTGATCGTAAAAAGCTCGAACCCGCAAAGTCCCTTTCTAACCCGTCCCCGTCCTTCGTGATTGCTGGCAGAAAATCCCGGGCTCGTTCGATAAAGGTGCAGACTGCGCTTGGACTGTCAATTGAGGGTGCACCCCCCTTTTCCTTCCCCTTCTGCCTTTTAGGCAGTTTGCCAGAGTACACGGCATTCAACAGACACATCAAGAACTGGAGGGGTTCGTTCTTTTTGTCCAATGTTTCATCGTGCTCTGAATCATCGGGCTTGGTGAGATCCTCTGTTGTGCCGTCGTTGATGTTTCTGCCGTCAGCAATGTCCTTGGCGGTGAACTTTGGGCATAGCTTATCGAGAATTAAGCGATCTTCAGCATGAAGCTTACTCGCCTGCTTCTGAAGGGGCTGCTGTTGAAGGGGTTGCTGTTGAAGGGGTTGCTGTTGAAGGGGCTGGACGGACTCGATGGTCCCCACCACATCCATGACCATTGGCAACGCTGGCACCACTGGCACCGCTGGCACCGCTGGCACCACTGACTCGTTTATGGAGAGTGCAAGGCGCTCCAGATACAAGCCAATAGCCCTCTGGCAAACCCGCTTGACATGAGACGACTGATGGGCAATATCTCGAAGGGCGATCTTGACCCTCGGAAGATAAACAGACGAGCCTTCTGGACCAAATTCCCTGTTCAGGCCTCTGGTTGCGTTGGCATTGACGGTGCCAATGTCAAGTGTTCGCATGGGGTGGTCCCTTGCCATGGCATTAACCAGATCCTTCTTGTCCATACCCTCCGCAGACGGCAGACGTTTCGGTGACTTGGGTTTCGATGAAGAGACGGCTGACTGCGGTTCCAACGGAGAATCAGGGGCCGACTTGTATGGTTTCCATTGGTTCTGTTTCATGGCTTCTGGTGGCTCATGCTTCACAACCTGAGAGCGGGTCTTGATAGCATATCGTTGGCGGTGCTTGTATCTTCTCCCTGATGAATGAGGAGGAGGCCGCTGATCTGGCGGACGGTCCACGGTGGCGTACCGGTTAAATACATCCGTCTGTTGCACCAGTTGATCGGCAACGAGACTACAAAAGAATCACAGAAGAAAAACAAAGGTTAGAATACAATTCATTCATTTAATTACAGTTAAGTTATCGCCGTTGGAACAACTCCTTATCTTTTCTTGTTCTCGTTTAATCGCTGGCGAAGAACACGCAGCCTTTCAAGCAACGCTGCTAGATCGGAAGACTTTTGGGTCGAGCAGTTGGTTGAGCTTGTATGGTCAGATGGCTGTGATGGTGTTGTAGCAACCGCGACCTTGAACTGCCGGCCAGCAAAAACCCTCACCGCTGCCTCGAAGTGAGTCGCGGCAGGGTTCCTCCTGACTACTTCCGGATGAGCCAAGTACCGCTTGACCATTGTCTCGACATTTGCTTCGGTGACTGGCTCTACTCCAGCTGCTGGATCTATCATAGTAAAAGACAAATGGACAGAAGCGTTGTTAGCAAGGTACTGAGGTCAAGCAAAAGCTATTGAATCAGAAAACCCCCATTAGCGTATATCTTCAAAAAAAAACATACAAGGCAATTGAGCTTTACCTTTCATCTCCTCTAGGGATTTGAGAATCTTGATGTTGGTCGATAACCCCATTCGAGTCAAGTTGGACGTGTAGTCGTTCTTGCAAACGATGCCTAGAACCGTCAATGCCAGTCTTGAGATGCCCAGATAACTCAGCACATTTGGAAGATCGTACACCAGGTATTTGCCTCGCGAAATAGGTCTCCATATGGTATGAACGGTGGCATAGATGAGCATATCGCTGTCTCCCGATACTACAATATCCTGGGGTTGAGAGTCGATAGCGATTGCAATGTCTGCCTCAGAAGGACACTCGACAACCGTCCATCCTTGCACGCGAAGGTAAATGGCCAAGGAGGCGCGGGCATCCGGAGTCCAATAAAAGGCGGCTCTGATGAGCTTGTCGAGTTTGGTGAAGTCACGTTTCCTGACCCTCCTCCGACCACCAACTCGGGTCTCCATGTTGCAGAGCCAGATGTGGGCTTTTTGCAATGCAATAATGCGCTTCTCCTCCCTGAGTTGCCGTGTCTCTCGCTTCTCCTCAGGGGATGGACCGTCAATATAAAGCACCGAGGATGCCTTGGGGATACGACTGGAGACCAGATGTCGCTCGAAGATGACGTTGGAGGTAAGGTAGTCGTGAGTGCTGGAAGAGAAAATTCGTCGGATGGAAGGAAAGAAGGAGGCAAGGAGGTCGACACGATAAAGGGCATCAGGGGGTAAAGGGCCTTGAGGAAACTGCCAAAGCAGAGTTGCCTCATGACCCTCCTGCCGTATGTGAGGCCACAGCAAGGGAACTCCCATGAGGGCGAGAAAGTAGGGTGAGTAGGGTGAGTAAGGTGTGTTGTGGGTGTGTGTGTTGGAAGTGTAAAGAAGGAAAAAAGAAAAAAGAAAAAGAAGCAACAACGAGCTACATATTCATTAGGGTGCATTCACCGTCACCCTCCTTTGATGACCAATGTCTCTGTCCTCCCAGTTCCTCTATGAGCATCTGGTGACTTTGCACCAATCATTTCCTTATGTTTTTGCCACCGTGCATGTTACATCAGAGCGGGAAAAGTTTCACTCCTCCCATCCAATCAAACTCCGCGCTCAGCCGTCCCTTGAAAGAACAAAAAAAACAAAAGACTTCTTATCATCACTACACCCCTTTTGCTGCCTTTCCCAGTTTCCTTCATATCTGAACCCCCTAACTCCTCCCAGGCATGACTGCATTGAGGGCTGGGGATGTTTTCCTTTACCCTGAGGACTTTGACCCGTTGCTCCCGGTCGCACCACATCATATACCCCCGGAGGACATGGTATGGGAAGACGGACAAGCGACATGGACACATGTATTCAAAGGCGAAGAGTTCAGGTACAGCCACAGTACGCCATTTGCAAACTCAAGCTTGGATCCTAGTAAATTCTCATTCGCATATTCCTCGACATAGGACGTTCTGGCGCAACGAACGAGTTGCGATGCAGTTTGAGCATCGTCAGGAGGGCAGAAAAAAAGGGGATATCATACAAACAAAGCTCGACATCGACCAACTTCTCCCCATCAAAAACGCAACAGCGCCAGGTGCACCTGGTTCACCACGGTTGTACGACTGGAGCCTTCTATTCAGGTGCAGGAGACATCGCCCTCCCAAGGAATTGATCCTCAAACGGGATTCTGTTGGCGTTAACTGTCCTGCCATGATCAGGATTCGAAAGATCTTGCTTCAAGACAGGGTGGAAGTAGAGTATACCCGCATCCACAATCACCCGGATACACCGCAAGAGAGAGCGAAACTACCCATGGCCAAGAACGAGCTGGAAGGCGATCAAGGCGCAACTGCGGATGGACAAAAAAACAATGGATACGGTATTCTATTCCTTGCCATTTTATTTTTCCTTGCCTGGACGACACTTCTCTCATCTGACTTACTTGTTAATGGCTTTTCTAACGATATTCTTGTACTTTGCTCGTTCTGCATAAAGCTTGAGAAACAAAAAACTCTCGGTCCCATGCCTCCATGCCTTTACATGCACTACGGCGGTGTTCGGACAGCCGCCTACCGACACAAGATTGCAGATTCTCGTAAGCATGATGATGCTACGGCAAGCGTCAAGCTCTGGCTTGACAGTATCCAACAAGAAGGAGGGAAATCCATGTTTATGGACGGGGTCAAAGGTTTCGAACACCTTTATGTGTTTGCTTGGTGCACAGTGTTCCAGATGAGGGCAAGTGGAGCAGATCTGTTGTCTCATTTACGTGTTTTTCTCATCTGCTCATCAATCCACTGCTGCTAACGTTGGTTCATTTTCATTTGTAGATTATGGCCAACAACAAAGGGATTGTGTGTATGGACTCAACCCATAGAACAGTCAAGTCATTGAGACCGGACCCCAACAATCCGAAGGCCAACGGAACCGCGTACTTGTTTACGATTCTGGTCAAAGATCGACAATCGCGCTCGGGAATACCGATCGCTTTTATGGTTTGCAACTCTGAGTCGATGTAAGTCTTGTTGGGTGAACGTCGAATGGGCCGTTGGAAAGTGGAAAATAATAAATGTGGTTCATGAGTGATCGCGATTTATTATGTTTCATTCGTTCGTTCGCTCGTTCGTTCATCCGTTACTTTTTACTAATAATAATTCGATCCATCTGTACTCACAATATTTTCTTCTTACTACTATAGCATGTTACTGAGAAAGTGGCTGACTTGGCTCAAGACAGATTGCGGCCTACAAGCTACCAAGTTCATGGTCGACTGTTCCGTCGCGGAGACAGAAACACTAAAGCAGGTATTTCCGACCTTGGAGATCTACTACTGCTTGTTTCATGTGGGACAAGCATGGGAGCGAAAAGCGCGCGGATTTCTCGAAGTGCTTGGGGTATGTGAACATATACATCGAATTGAGGCGTACGTACTTTGACCTATAAAGGATGAGTTACCGTGTTGTTGTTTTTTCAAATCACACAAAGGCTAAATTATGCATGTTTGTTTTTGGTTTGTTCGATTTAGACGGCGGGCCTCCGTGATATGCGCAAGGCCTTGAATGCCGTTCGGTATGCGAACTCAGAAGCCGAGCTACAGGAAAAATGGGTCAACTTTCAGCGCTTGTTTCCGGGTCAAACCTCGATGATCGATTATATCAACAATAATTGGATGAAGCCAGAGAAAATAATCAGATGGGTACTTTACCAACGAGAGGTGAGTCTTTTGATCATTGATCGTTACAAATAACCAAAAGAAAATGCAGATATTTACCTATGTCTTTTTTTCCTTCTCCGTCAACAGGACTACCAGCATATCAACACAAACAATCTTGTAGAAAGCTGGCATGCAACTTTGAAGAGGCAACATATGGAACATATCCGTGATATGCGTGGAGATGATCTGATTCATTTGCTGACAGGCGTAATTGACATTGACTTCAGGACGCATCACTTCAAGGTTGTACATGGATTGGAGCCTATTGTACTCTCAGAATACGATAAGGCGATAAAGAAAAAGGCAGCGGTGTTGTCACTCGCTGCCTCCAAGGACATGGTTGCCGAACTGGACGAGAACAATGAGGTAAGAAACCTGTTTTTGCATGTGTGCTGACCTTTGAAAATACTCTCTAAGTATTATTACATCCCTCTGACTTTTTTATTCATTTGTAGTTCTTTGTCAATTCTTTCACTACGCCTGATGTCAAGTACGCCGTCAGCGCAGACGCACAAGCAGCTCGACTTCTTTTTTGCACATGCCCCGACTACGTCCGGCACCAAATGCCCTGCAAGCATATGTACTTGGTCTCCCGGATTTACAATAGCATGGATATCAGTTATGACGGAAGTGGCATGTTTGTCCGGGATGAAGGCGTGACTGACGACGATATCAGCAATGGCGGTGAGGTAGACGATGATGAGTCTAGCGAGGATGAAATCCCAGCTGCATGGCGTGTTATCGTACCTCTTGTTGTGCTTCAAATGGAGCTAGCCCGTGCTGAGAAGAAAGCAGAGCGGATGAAATTAAGGGAGTCTGAGCGAGCAATTGAGTTCAACGAGTGCGAGAAAAGACTGTTACACTTATTGAAGTCGATGGGTGATGAGGCACGCGCCAAAAAAAGAAGAAAGTGCACTCTTCAGTACTTTCAGAGCACGGTAGCAGACCTTGAGTGCACTCTTCTTGGGGTGAAGGGTTTGAACACGGTTCATGCCGGTCGAAAGTGCATGTGAATAAAAAGATAGTAATGTCAAATCAATTGTTGCTGTCAAATGCACTGTCAAATGGAAAGTGTCTTAGGTCCTGACTAGGAAATGAGAATTGCAGTCCACTTTTCCCAGAATGGGTTGGCCCATTGTCCCCGGAACCCACGCGATTTATGACGTAATAGAATGGATTGCGACCGCTGGATTTATATAATAGCATCAGTGAACCACCAGAGGCAATGCCAACGTCGCCATCGCCCGCGCCAGCATCATCCCCGCGTACCACGAAAAAGCCAAAGCGAGTGTCACCGAGAGCAGTAGGGGAGGTGAGTACCTTGCTACAAGATTGACAAATGGTAAGAAGAATGAAGAATTCGTGATGCGGCACTGATCCTCCCACCTCCATCCTTTCTCTCTCTTTAAACCTTCATCAGGAGGAGCCTCGGCTATCAAAGCAGCCAGTGCTTGATGGAGATGGCAATAACTAGAGCAGTATATTCATGCAGTGGACCTTGACTTTGTTTAGATTCTTTCATAGGCTGCCCTCCTGACAGATATTCTGACGATGGAGATCTTTTGTGCCCGACCCAAGAAACTCGAAGGATACTGTGTCCACTACATTGTCGCCATGAGAAGTACCCCGTCGCCTCAACCCATTAGGTTCTCAAGTTTCTTCATGCACGACATCGTTCGGCAACAGAGGAGGCGATGGCAAGGGATGGAAGCAAGTCAAGGACTTTTTCAGGGACGATAACATGACTGCGTACGAGTCTATCAAGGAGCTGATAGACGTGATCGGGTTCGCTACTGCTTTCAAGAGCGCTCCGTATATGGAGATCCATGAGTCGACCACAGCCGCCGCCGCCAATGCCACGTCACCACCTTCTGCCTGCACCTCATCGTCAGCATCAACTCACTCAGGACGCAGCAGTGGTAGCAACAGAAGCAGAGGCTGCAGCAGAGGCAGCAGCAGAAGCAGAAGCAGAAGCAGCAACAGCAGCAGAAGCAACAACAGCAATAGCAACCGCAGTAACAGCGCCCTTAGCGCAATCGGACTTGCCAAGATGCAGGAGGAGTTGTTAAAGCACTACAATGCGTTCAGGGATGAGGCCTGGATGCTGACTTCTGGTGCGGTGGCCGATCAAGTGATTGCTGAGCACATCAAGATGCTGCCGTACGAGTTGGCCCTTCATGGTTTTGTTATTGAGGGTATCGAAGCCATCATTGACTTGTTTCCCGAGGAGTCGGACAAGATTGAATTGCGAGAGGCATTGGGACAGCAGTCAGGAGGACGAATGGCGAGCCTTTCCCCCGAGGAACTGGATTATCTCTCCCTGTATGACAAGTCGCCGAGCGAAATGGACGACCTTCTAGCGGGTGGATGGACCAGTATGTTCGTCACTGCTGCAGGTGCTCTCCTCAACAAGGAATTCCGTCGACTTGTCCACCACTGCGTGCAGCAACTCTACTTCATATACCGCAAGGGAAACTTCATCCTTCCTGGCGAGCAATCAGAGGTATGGTTTATGCACAAGGTGGAGCGTCATTAGCATTTTTTTGACAGCGAGACCAGGCTCGACCAGGCTCGACCATCAGCCAGGAGAGACCTCATCTCAAGCATCAGCCCTACGGAGGAACAAGTTAAAGAACTTCGACGACAGGCAGTTCCTGGGTCGGATGGCCGACGGGTTGATTGTGACCTCCGACACCCGGCTTGAATCTGCATCATCGAGGCCGCCAAGAAGAGCGCTGGGGCTACGTCGACCAAGGCCCTGACGGATACGCGGAAAATGGCGAAGACCATGAAGGACATGCACGACTTGATTCGTGCAAGATCCACGCGAAATATCCATAGTAGCCTCAAGACTATTGGCTTGCGCATATCTGGCCCTTCGATCACCTTTTACAACCTTCGCCAGCGCCGAGGACGCCTTTATATCAGATGTATGCAGAGTCTACCGTCATGTTCCCGATATGGTGGAGAGGCTCCACCACAACCCACATCCTCTCCGTACTTGAGAGACTCCTTGAATACGAATACAAGAAGGAGTTCTCTGAGACTGCCGACCAGATTGCGGATGCCACCAAAGCTCCCCATAAGACCTCCAACCGGGGCATTAGAGATTTCTGGGCAACAACCCTTACCACTCCCACTAGCTCTCCCGGTTGGCACATCTCATGTAATGTACTCTTACATATTAACGTATCCACCTTCTTTTTTCACTGAGGCTTCCCCTGCTGCTACTTCTGCCATTGTGCAATAGCAGAAGTCAGAGATAGTGAGTCCATGGATGGGGACGAGAGTTGGAGCAATTACTGATGATTGGTATTATTATGCTACTGCTACATATACAAGTCGCTAACTAGGTTTCTAGGTGCAGTGTCATGAAGCGTCAAAGATGAGAACGTAAGACAGAGAATGACTAACTAGAGTGCAATAGTAAACCTAACATGTTGCACCTTTCCCTCTTAAAAAAATTCATCAAGTTTTGAGGCCATGATTGGGCTTGGGCTTGGTTAAAATAATAAACAAAGGGAGGCGACCAAAGACATGAGATGGGGGAGACGTGGAACACGAAAGGGCATGGGGGCAGGGGATACGCGACACACACAAGGGGCGTGAAGCCGAGGTAGACGCAGCAGATGCAAGGAACTTGGGGATCATCCTTACCCTTAAAAAAAAGTCGTGAGTAAGGGTGGCGAAGGAAGAATGAAGGATATGAGAGGGGAGAGAGAATAGGGAAAGAAAAGAGGGAGAAAATAACGAGAGAAAAAGAACGACAGAGAAAAGAAGAGCCAGGGTGAAGAGACAGAATGAAGAGACAGATGAAGAAAGGAGGAAGAAGAAAGGGAACAGAGTGACAAGAGAGAGTGTGGGGGTCGGAGACAAAAGACCAGAACTGCAAAACATGGTGGTGATGGTTCAAGGTTGTTGGCGGAGTGTTGCACCCAGTACGACCAAAGTGTCTCATTGTATCTTGTCCAAGCAACATAGTACAGTACGGTGTCAGATTGGAATCTAAGGGGGGCGGAATCAGTCGTTGTATATCCCTGCGCAGACTTCGTCCCTGACCCTGAAGCCACTGACAGCGTTGTCTCTGCCACTCCAACATCTCCGGTTTTCTAAACGCGTCTTCCGCCTTTCTGGCAACCTTTTGTAACTCCTTGCAAGTCTCGTTCCATTGGGTCCCGAGCTGAGCAAGGTGACGCTCAAGGTGGTTAAGGGATGCTGAGCTATGGGGGTCTCGGGCGGCGGAAGCGGGTCCTGACTGGGAGGGTCCTGGTGCCGGGAAGTTTGGAAGTGTGAGGGAAAACCCCTCTTCAGCCCAACGAGGGTGGGATTATCGTTGTCGAGCACTGAATCAGTGGAGTCGACCAGGTGGTAAGTGGATGACATTTCTCAGCGAGTTGGAAGGGGTACTCATGTCTCAGGTCAACAGTAAAAAAGACATTTATGGCCAGTATATTTCTCTAGAATTTTTCAATGCGGCATCGGAAGGTTGTCGCAGTTGATCAGGTGGCTTTCATGTTTCTTGGGCAAAGACAGAGACCTGTCCTTAGGATATGCCCCTCTAAGTCTCTTCTTGTCGCAAGGGTAAGTTGGTTCAAATATGACACGCGGCCAGGGTTGGAGCAATAACCCCATCAGCTAGCCAGGTTTCAATGTGTTTTTGCGCATTTGCCATCTCCGCTTGAGGAGAGGGTCTGTTTGGGTGTCGGTAGACAGTCACCCCAGGTGGGATAGCAGATTTACCTCCATCAGTGGATGAGCATGGTAATCACTTACCCTGCTGAGGTTGCGTTGTTCAGCTTAATCCCGCGCCCGAACTTGAGGTCTTCCAGCGTGTGTCCATCGGTATCGATGATAACAGCTTTCCGAACATATTCTCACGCCGCTGCCTCGAATTTCACACTTTCTCCTCGCATATTTTTCGACTGGCCTGATTTTGTGCTGCGTACCATACCTCTCTTCCTTATACTTCTTTCGCGGAATTTTTTCGGACACCTCTTTCTACTTTTTTTTATATACCCAGCCACCACAAGTAGTGCAGTGTTGAACCTTTTTTTGTTGATGTAACTTGCTACTTGCTTCCTTTCTTCAAGAACCCCTCCTTCCTCTACGTGCTGACTTCTTTTTGGAAAGTCGTTTCTATGTTTATGAATTAGTAAACTAGATATATAAATGTACCGCGTTAGATGTCTGCACCGTACTCGAGGTTGTGCCCTCGGAAAGCACTATCTGAACGGCACCGTCGGTGGCGAACTTGCTGAACAAGTTATCTATGACTCGTTGGCGAAGGGTTGCCTCGATTCCCAGGTACGCCCCAAGACAGACGAGGATGTTGACGGTCTTTTCACCCATCACTCCAAGGTCCAGCCCCCTCAGCTCCTCCCTCAGAATAATCGATAATTGTCCCTCGTCCGCGTGGCCAATAGCCCAGTCCAAGTTCTTGAAAGACGCGTACAACAGACCCATAATCAGATCCGGTCTCTCGTCGTTCTTGCCGTACCAGTTGAGCTTGGCGCAGAATGTCATGTACTGGCATACATACATCGCGTCCTGAATGACGATGCTGCTACTGTTGCTGCTGCTGTCACTATCGAAGAGGGCCTGGATCCTCCACATCTTTTCGCACGACTGTTGTTCGACGTTTGCCAGAAGCGCTTTGACGACGATACGGTTCGGGATGTCTTGCATCAACAGCGCAATCTCGACGACTGAAGTACAGAACGGTTGACCGAGCCCTGAGAATTGGGCGTTGGACTCTTGAGCGTATCGACTCCTGCTCGACTTCGCCTGGCGGGGTCGCCATTTGGAGGTTGTCTCGACCTCGTCAATCAGCTTGATGTTTAGGGTCGTCGTTGCTGTCGCTGCTGCTTCGGGGACGGTTGTCCTGACAGCCGCCGTCGAAACTCCTCCTTCTTTTTCTCCTCCTCCTCTTCCTCCTCCTGTGGCTCCTTCAGTGGTTATTGTCAGGCCACAGATCATTCTCGCAGGATTCAACCCTTTGTTCCGTGCGACGATACCACCAGCGACAAACATCCATTTCGACTCGTCAACGTTCACGAGCGAATACGACGACCGAATCCTGTCCAGTGTATATCCCGTAATGCCTCTGGAGACTCGTGGCGAGAATAGACCGCAGTTCCTACCTCCCCACAGGATGCTCATTTTTGTCTGGTCAACTTGATGTGGTGGGTAGATAAATTTCTTGGCAGATGGAGTGGATCCAATCTCGGTGAAAATCTCGGCGACAACCTCGGGGGCTGTTTTATGGTCGTTTCCTGTGGTTGTCATGTTCTCTGCTCTATGCTTGAGGACGGCGACGAGGTCCTGCTTTATCTTGGGCGAGAGCACAGCACCGTAGCCTGGTATATCGACACTGGACTCGAACTGAGCGACCGGTTGCTGCCGTTGCCGTTTCTCCGTCATGGTCATCAAACTCAACCTCTGTCTATCAGTAATAAGACCCGTCATCATAGCCGCCTCCAAACCCCCACACCCAGTCCGACTGTTCCCCGTCCATGCCAACCAAAGCAAATGGCGAAATTCGGCATGCAACGTGCCCTGCACCACATAAATAAAGATGACAATACCGACCTCGGCAGCCAGCAATAAGATCGTCGCATCCACGCTCTCGCCCTTCGAGAAGGCCACCAGGTCCATTGCGAATGCGACAAGGACAATGGTGCTCATCCCAGTCCACCATTTGCTCTCGTCCTTGACAAACTCGAGTCGTTGGGTCCATCGGCCCTCGGTCTCGAGGATGTTGGTCAGGCCCGCGTAGCCACCAATGATGATGTTGATGACCGCGCCGCAGCCGATTGCGATCCAGCGGTAGACCCGTCCTGATTTGTCTTCCGTGTCGAGGGCGGCCGCGGAAGCAAGGGGTAAGTCGGGGCAGTCGGTGGGAGGAGCTGACCCAACGACTTGTAGGATCGCTAGTGCAAAAGCGACCGTAAGGTGTATTTTTGTCTTGGTGTGCATCTGTAGGCCCGTACGGGTGAATTGGACCAAGGAGGGAGGCAAAGAGGTGGGTGTGAGCGGTGAGGTGCAACGGCTGGGTAAAGGGGAAATTGAAGAGATGGAATGTAGTGAGAGGGTGTCAATGGAAAATATGAAATGTTGATGTGGTGCTTTAAAAAGGGGAGAGGGCGATACCTGTCGATTACGAATGGTCTTTGAGAAATCGAGAGAAGCAAAATAGAAGAATAAGGAAAGGATGTGTTCAAGGGACACGATGATGAAGTTACATGTCCTTGTGAATAAGTTTTGGCTGCAGAGTGGCAAAGATAGCAAAGCGATTGGTTCCTCTTATGCATCCATGCATGATCGGTCGACCCTTGGTAAAGAAAAGCAAAATCATGCATCTAATACATGTAAACAATGTAAAATGAGAGATGGAGCATTGGATTGAGGAAGGCCAATAGCGAGTAAAGTAGGTGTTGAATATTCCCTCTCTGTCTCTGAGCCAGTTTTTCTTGGACCTCTGGCGTGTTAAAAACAAGCACAGATAATAAACAGAAGAGACAGAGGGCATGAAGGGTAGGGGCACAATGTAAAAACCATTCAGCGGAAGCCTTCGATGGATGCCTGGTAAAGTTGTTTTTTTTGTTTTGCGGGACAACATCTACGACAGAGTATGCGAGGATGAGTTAACAAACAGAAAACAGAAAGGACACATATGGCGCTGTGATTTCTTTTGTGCAATATTTCGTGCATGCATGCCCCATCAAAAAAAAGGTGAAGAGCAAAGGTGACCCATGAAATGCACGTGTTTTCTCAATAGTAAGAACAGATTTGGATCTCGACTCTTGGACACAACTATTTCAAACCCAAGCACGTTTACTGAGGGACTTGATTGTTCGTGATCCGAGAAAATGTCACTTCAGCCCAGTGCCGGACATTGCGAACACTAAAAGACTTTGTGCTGGTGACTGTAGGTTGTAAGAAACAAGGAGGAATGGAGAGATTTCGGATGAGGAGAAAGATTCAAAAGGATGAGTGTCTGCGAGTCGTTGTTCTTTCCTTGAGGGACCTGAAACAATTAACAGTTTGGTGGCAAAAACAGTCTTTTTTTTGGTGCTCTTTCAGGCGTTTTTTTCGCTCGAGAGACCCTTAGCGCTAGGTTCACTTCCGCATTTTTGTCATTTGTTTTCGATAGTCCGCCTTTTTATTCCTTAAGATTTCTCCGCTTCTATGCGTGTCAAGAGGAGTGAAGAAAAAAGATGCGGACAAACTAAACAGGACTGAGAACAAGAAGAGGAACGGTGTCAATTGTCATGAACGAGAAGTCATTTTTTTTGTTTTATGCACCACGACATACACGATTGTAGGAGAACGTGTTAGCTCAAATGCAACTTCTTATCAAGAACAACCTTGATCTGGAGCTGCCAAAGATTTGGGCTGATGTGAGAACAGGTTGAACTGTAGAACATTTGGCTGATAGCAGCGAACATATCTAAAATCCCCTAGCCTCTCGTACTTTGACTGCTTCCGTGCATTGAGCGGAAAAAGTGACGAAAAACATAAGGGGAATTTCACCCGTGAGAGCGAGGGTAGGAGCCAGTAAAGATGAGCGAACGGTCCGAGATGCGTTACAGGTAAGCGGCTAGTTCCTGATACCCTCTTTTTTTTTTTTTTTTTTTTTTTTTTGGAGGGGCTGGCCATGAAAGGTTATGAAGATCTGGACGAAAAGAAAAGAAGGAAGAGCAAAGTAGGATCGGGGAGGTAGTCGTTTTCCGCGTTCACCTCTCTCCTGTCAACCCCCAGAGCCGTTTCAACCTTTTCGTGGCTCGATGTCCAGAAACTGACGACACTTGGCTACTCGCGTATAAACAGGGCATGGACGTCCATTCAAGATTTATGACCTATTACTCTCATCGGTAAAGTGCTGATTAGTTGATGGGAATAGTACATCGCAAACGCGTTCATTAACACAACAAACTGATGGACGTATGTCGGCGGAGGAGGAAGGGACAGAGGCAGCACATCGACTCAACTCTGCCGCGGTGAAATGCAACTCGGAGGAGACCTCGATACGGTGTTCGCAGAGAGAATCGGGTATAGAGCTGCATCTGCTCCTTCCCTGCTCCATCGATGTAGCACTTCGATTCACGCTGCCGCGGCGAATTGCAATCCCGGAGAGATCTCAATGGTGATCGCAGAACGAATCGACGGTGTAGCGCTGCATCAACGAAACAGGTCCTGGGAGGTGATGGCGGACGAAGAAGGGATGGAGGCAGTCGAGAGTGTAGTGGAGAACTCGTTGAAGTGCATCAATGAAAAAGAGAAGCATCGGTCACAGGTGTAGGTGATGTCACTAAACCCGACCGATAATGGGCGCGAGAATTGCGTCACCGAATTCGGAGTTCGCTCTAGCAGACCTTCCAGTAACTCGGTATTCCATTAGCTCGTCAGCTCCATTGGCTCAACTCTTCCTCCTCTCACCTTCACAATGGCAAGATTACAATGAGCACCAGTACGAGCAGCAGCACCGCAGACAACAAGCTTGCGGCACAACAAGCTTTTCTGGCAGAGGGAAAGTGGGAGTCACTGATGGATTGCGCCCAAGCGTTCTACGACAAATTCAGCTTCTATAACGCCCGGACAGAAATAATAGGGGGTTTCAAGCCTTGACATTTGACGGCGTGGGAACCAAATGCGCCGTCAAGGAAATCCGCCACGGAAATACGTTTCCTCGAGGGCTGATGTATTTCGAAATACGCCTCGATTTAAATGTGGGCATGTCAAAGTTTGAAACTCCCTAATCAATGACGTGGGCCGTCGGAAGGTCGATTTGACCCTCCACATCATGGTAGCAGGCGGTGTATGGGAAGGCGGGGTGGCAGTCTTCGAAGGAAAGCGACAAGTTTCTGATAAGACTTGCCGAATTCAACAACAAAAGTCTGTGCGTCTCAACGCAGCTATTATCGACGACCTGGAGGATCGGCCTCTGGATACCAGCAAGACATACCCCGTCATTGCCGAGACCCGTGCGCTTGCCGTCAATTTCTACACGCTTAAAAGACAAGGTGACGTCTTTGGTGCCGGTAGGGCGACCGAGCGACGAGTTTGGCTCTCTGCACATCCAACAGATGAAAGCCTTTCTACGTTCGGATCCGCCACAAGTCTTACTGGGGTTCCGGGTAAGGATGTGAAATTGCTAGCAACAATAAGACATTTCATTCGCGTGATAGCATGCTCTAACATATAGACTTTCTCTCGCATACTTTATAGAGCCATTCGTTAAAGTACGCCAGCGAAGCCTCAAAACTCCTTACAGCACCACCGCCACCCCCTTCTCAATATTGGCAGCGGCCGGCCCTGGCGATGGATTCAATTGAGCCTCGGGCCACCATTACCTTACCTCACATCATCCAACCATCGCCACCAAATGATGCCACATCGCTGTCTTCACCCCCAACCCTCCTATCCTCTTCGACAACCCGCCACGCTGCACAACTCCCCCACCGAGGAAACAGACATGACCATTCGTCGTCTTTCCCCCCCAAGTCGAACAAGAAGAGGCCCAAACACAGCGATTCTGACGTGGACGAAGATGAAGTAGGGGAATATGAGGAAGACGAATAAGCCTGTGCGTTAGGCAACACCCATAAATAAAAACAATATCAAGTTGCAAGAAAATCATATTTAGTTTTTATTTTCTCAATAATGCTCCGTCACGTTCAAAGCCGTCGCGCATCTCCTTGGCGAAGCGGTCATAGCATCGCGACAGCTTTTGGTTGAACCACAGGTTGGCATCGTTGATAATGTTGACATCGTAGTCTTGGTCAGAAATTCGGATGCAAGATCCAGAACAGAGAACGTTGGACAAGGGCATTGAGCCAGGAATCAGGGATAAAATAATCCAATCAACATAAAGGCCAGCAATCCCCACTAGACATCAATCACGTCCTTTAATAAATCTTGTTCATCATACTCCTCGTTCTTTCAATGTCTGTACCTGTTTAAACCTCAAGTAGATTATGGCATCTGCTTGGCCACATCCGCCTCCATCCGGTCCACAGGATTTTCTCGGGCTTGGGCGTCCGTCAGAAAGGTGGTTGAGTGGGCGTCGCGCAAAATTCCGCCGCCAGTCTGCTCTGAACCACTTATATCATCGCCGCCATTGCCACGGCCGTTGGGTGATCGAAGTGCCTGATCTTTTTAGCGTTGTATGTTGATCCATTTGCCTTGAATTCACCGAGGCGCGATTGTGGTTGACATCATTCAGGGGGAGAGAGTTTAGAAGTTTGCGCCATGTCTTTTGGTAGAGATGGGGGCATCGAAATGACGGTTCTATGATTGAAAAAGAACGAGGAACTTATCCACTAACTTGTTCTTCCCCCATTCCTTTCTGGTCTCCTCTTTTTCGTTCCAACGCTCGACATTCTCGGCAGGATAGCCCCAAGCCTGCTTGCGCTCATAGTCTTTGCCCGTCTCTTCGGTCTCCTGCTTCTCTAGTAGCTTGAAGTCCTCGGCGTGCAGTTGCTTCTTGGCTCCCTTGGGGTTGATCTTGGACCATAACATGGTGTCCGCGATTGACTTGATTTGATATGTCCTATGGATATCATGATGGTTGCATATTTGTCTAAGCTAGTGTACTTACCTTGCTCCTCCCAGAAACCCAACATTATGAACATTTACATGACACTCGCATTGAGCCCCTGCTTGAACCCTCGTGAATGCAGCACCCATCAAACACAGCACCAATAAATATGGTGGGAATTATATCGAGGTTGGAAAATCCTATTCGCACTCGATTCCTGGGCCAGGTAGGAGTTCAGGACCATGCTATGCACCTAGACCTCACTATAGCCATGGAAGGTCAGGCCGTGTGTAACAGGGTAAGGCGTCTGATTCAACTCAAGACGGATACAGCAAAGATGGTTCCACAGCCCACCAGTCTCAACAACCCATTCAAGGTACCCTCTCGTCCATAACAGATATCTTGTAGTTAATTGATTTGAAAGGATTGGGTGAGATGGGCAAATCAAGAGGGCGAACTTCTATTTAATGTTACTGTTGTGGAGTACGACAGAAGTAGAGGAGTGCATGCAGTACTGTTGTTAGGATTTGCTCTGGAATGAAAAAGCACAAATTGTCGTGGGTGGCTTTGTCAAAAGAACGCTTTTTCTTTAAGGGGTTTGTCATCTCTGCCTTCCTGTTCACAGCGATCAGTTTGTGAATCCGTCCGAGATGAACTCTTTCATCTGTCTCTAGCAGAAGGTCAAGGATGAGTCGATGCCGTGGTCCCACTTTTCTGGGGCTATCTCTCCTTTCTATTCATTCCTGGAACTAGACTGGTTGATCAGTATCACATATTCATCTGGCCAACCGTATCGGTCTCACTTACTGATGAAACGACACGGTCCTCTTGGAGATATTACATACATATCCTAGCTAGCTACCTTTTACATTCCTCCCTCTCTCCTTCCCTTCCTCTCCTTCCCTTCCTCTCCTTCCTTTCCTCTCCTTCCTTTCCTCTCCTTCCCTTCCTCTCCTTCCGTTCCTCTCCGTCCTTCATTCTTCCCTTCCTTCCTTCATCGCCTTTTTTCATTCCCCATCCCTCGGTCCTAAACACCACACACAGCATCCAAGCCTTTTTTTTTCGCTCTTCAAAACAAGCACGTCTGGTTTACCGAGGTCAAGAGATAGGCTATGTGTATGTGTGTTTATTTTTAGTGCCAAGAGAGCATTAACTAAGTGCAGATCCTCTTCCCCCTCTGACTTGTCTTTCATCCACCGACCTAGCACATTACACACTAAATTACTTGGCAGAACAGACCTTACTTACTTAGCAGAGCAGACTCTCACAATATCGTAAGCAAAACGAAGCAAGATCCAAAGGACCACTCACTTCCTAATGTGAAAGGGAGTGTAACAAAAATAAATAAAAAAAGGCAAGAAGGAACGAAGATGTTGAAAGACGCCTTGCTGGCCCCTCATCTATCTATCAATCTACCTCCTTCTTTCTCTCTCTCCATATATCTCCCGATCACCAATGATCCCCCCCTCTCGTACACCTTACTCCTTCCCCTGCAAAAAAAAAAAAAAAAAAAAGGTTTTTGGTACGTGTGAGCACAAACAAATACAAACAAATGCGAAAAAAAGTGAGAATGCCATCAGGAATGCTATTTTCGTATCCTCAGGAAAAAAAAAAAAAAAAAAAAAATGAGCACTTGAATGCGTGTGAAGTCTTGCATTTCTGAATTCTTTGGCTGCAAAAAAGAGCAGAAGGGACAAATCAAAAGACCCCCTGTCAGCTGAAGGATCGAAAGAGAGAGAGCCCGCGGCTGAACTTTGGCCCACCACACAGACACAGGGGCAGGGGAAAAGAGACACAGAGGGAGTTAGAAATGAAATTAATATGAAGGGCAGAGGGAGAGGAAAAACAACTGTGCAAGTGGTACAAAACTGGAGATTGGATTAAAAAGGGAAATGGCATCTGTCTTTTGTCCCACAGGTGCCGCACACCAGACTTGGTTTGTTTGTTTGCTTGTCTCAACGGTCGAACAAAAAGAATGTACGTTCTCATTCACTCACCCTATCCAGAGAGAAGCATCAACAGAGACAACAAAGGCGCGAGAGGAAGGACGAACCTTTCGGTGTACGCAAGGCTGTCCTTCTTGTTCCTGGACTAAAAGGACCTCCTTCACCGTCATGGTTCCTTTCTTCCTTCTCCACTCTTTTATGCGCGTGCTTATGACAACGGCTAATGGAGCTAAGGCAGCCCCTTAGTGCAATTGCTAGCTGTTAGCACTATGTCTGTCTGTCAAGTTCAAAAGGCTCATCTAAGAGCCAAAAAGGCGGCCATTACTAGCGTACCGAGATATACACATTCTCGCCTTGTTATGTCCATCATGTCCTGAGGTTCATCCAGACCAGACCAGCATCATAAAACGAAATAAAAGGAGATAAAACATAGGGATGGTATCAAGGTATTATTATGAAGTGCATTGTTGTTGTGTTTTTTTGTTGGTGTTCTACTATTTTTTTATACATCTAAAAAGTGCTCCAAGATCAACTCAGAGCAAGTCGAAAAAGAGGGGAGAAAGACGCTTAGAAGATGAAGGCAGCGACGGCAGCAGCAACGGCCAAGGCAGCGACAGAGCCGGTCTTGAGGGCACCAGCGTTGTTGGGCTTGGTGGTGGTGGAGGTGGTGGGAGCGGTGACGGAGGGCTTGGTGGCAGAAGCGGTTCCGTTAACGGTGCTGGTGCCGGTGGGCAAGGCGGTGGAAGTAGGAACACCGGAGGCGGTGGTGGTGGTGACGTTGGCGGAGGGGTCGGGGATGGCAGCGTTCTCGATGGTGAAGAGGGCCGAGTAGGACTGGTTGCCGTTGGTGACCAAGATCGAGTAGAGCTTGCCCGAGGGGACGGTGGTGGGAACCTTGACGGAGAGCGAGCCGGCCTTAGCGCAGTCCAAGTCGCCGAGGGAGGCGAGACCGGCAACGGGGATCTGGACACCGTCAGCACGCTGGGTCTGGAGCATGACGGGGAAGGTGGTGGTGGTCTGGTCCGCGCAGGTGTTGGTCCAGGAGATGGTGGCATCCGAACCGGCCGTCCAGACGGTCGAGGAGATGGGGGCACCGTATTTGAGGAGCTCGGCAGAGGCGACGGTGGCGACGGTCGAGGCGGCGATAGCGAGAATGGCGGTGGTCTTCATGTTTGTTGTGAGGAGGTGGGTAAGTAGGTGTGTTGTTGGTGTTTGTTGTTGTTGGAAGGGGATAAGATGTGGAATCAGATGAAGAAAAAAAGAAAAGAAAAAATCAAGAAGAGACGGGGCAGGGATTGGTATTTAAGGCAATGCGAATTGGTGGCTTTCTTTCTTGGTTTGGCTGGTAAAACTGACTGGCTGGCGGTTGTAAGAGTGTCCGTTAGAGGCGAGAAAGTGGTGAGCAGTTGAGAGTGAGAGTAGAGATGGTTCGCTTTTGATTTCGTTTGGTTGGTTGGTTGGTTTTGCTTGCGAGAGTTTGTGTGTGGAATTATTGAAAAAAAAGTGCTCACAAATAGCCGGTATTTAAACAGAAATGGGATCAAAGGGGGACGATTGGTCAACAAGGGCAAAATGCTTTTTGCTCATATTTTACACAACAGCACTCGCGTACAATGGACCTCCTTTTTTTTTTAAATCTACTTTCTGGCATTCCTCTGACTGTGTCTGTGTGTGTGTGCCTGGATCATTCACATTTTTTGTTGCTTTGTGGCGATGTAATGAATAACAAGCAAGCGGAAGGAAGCAAACAACAAACAGCAACGCATCATTTGTTGTCGTGGATATGTGAACACATGGACAGGAAAGAAAGATAGAAGTAAAAATAACAATGCCCAGCCAAACAGCCAGCATATGCATGGTCCCACTGTTCCATTTCTTTTTTGTTTACATCAAAAGAATGAAAAAGAGAAAAATAGAAAGAAAGTTTTGTTTGTTGTTCGTTGGAAAAAAGTGTCGGTAAGTCGACTCGACTCCTTGTGTGCCCTCTAGGAGGCGCGATTCTCCTGTGTTTGTCACTCGTTCTCTCTGTTTTGCTTCGTACTCCACTCCACCTCGCCACCACCGCGCCTTCACAGCCATCATGGCTGTGTCTGTATCTATCTCCCGTACGACACTTCCTGGTGGCGAGGAGTCGACACAACAAAAAAATCAAATCATGAACACTTCCCTCCGCTTAAGAGATATAATAGCTGATTGATATACCAAACACACAGCCAACCGCGTCTTTCTGCTCTCTATCAGTTAATGGTTCCTGAACTTCCTCCCTCCCTTGTACCTGATACTCACGTTTTGTTAGCACGACCCTTGTCACCTTAGTACAGGACTTGATGTCCTTGCTTAGTCCCCCTCCTTCCGTGGACCCTTTTTTCCGCTGCTACTGCTCCTCACTCCTCCTCCTCCTCCTCCTCTTGTGATTCTGGTACACACAAAAGGTTCAAGACAGAGAGAAGGTAAAAACAGTCGATTTCGCTCCGATTACTTCTCCCGTTCCCCTCTCCAAATAACCTCTTGGATCTGTCTCAGATGATCATCATATGGACACAAGAGCCAGAACCCCGACATGTTTCTCACATCCGTGCTCTCTTTTTGACCCACTAGAGGGAGGAAGGGGGGGGAGGGAGGAGAGAATCGGGTAATCAGAGGATGGAATGGATGTCTCTAACTACCCTTTTTACCCTTTTTTTGTTTTCGCGAGTTGTCAAGACATATCGTATTATCGATCGTCAAGAGACAAAAACATGGGGCTGGAGAGAGAGAGAGGGGGGGGCAGATCTTTGTCAGCTCCCCTCTCTCTCCTATAGACAGGACCACTTGTTTCCTACGTGCACAAAAATACAATGGGCTGTCCTGATTATTCTTTTCTAGGGCTGTTGACAAATGCCATATTCATGCATATCGCCATTTCTGTGTCCTCCTTATCCCACTCGTACTTTGTGCTGTACACAAGCTCCCGACTACACCCAGCAGCCCCAAACAATATTAGCTTAACAATAACAGGGGCAAAAAAGCGACACGAACGTATATGACATAGTGTCCGTTCATGCGGACTTATAACCACGATAGCCCTCTTTTCGTCATCTATCCATCATGTTATCTCTCCCCCTCTTCGTGGCTAATGTCGTTTGTCAAATTACTGGAGTACGCTAAAAGAAGGAGGTAGAGGAGGGGTGGGGACACCTCTTGGCGTATTCTTAGTAAACCACATGGAAATGGATGGGATTTACGATCTGTCTCAAGGTTGTTGTACCTATAAGGGGAGGCATACTCGACAGCTGATGCACGCAACGGATCCAAAAAAGGGTCCAGAAAGAGCCCTAATCTGTCAGTTTATCTGTGCCGCAAGCCCAAAAATTGAGGCTGAATCCTTTGTTCCCTTCCCCCCCCCCCCTTCTCCCCCTTTTTTTTCCAACGACGCAAAAGTGACATTGACGACAAACTAACAGAACGAACGGAAAAAAAGACAGACAAGGGAAAATAATACGAAGGGAAAGAACAAAATGTGAAGGAGGAAAGAAGGAAGAACGATTCACCATCCTGCAAAGAAAAAAAAATAATCCTAGGCGGGAAGAGGGCATGCGCGGCGCTCACAAAACGCAGGCAAACGCGGAGCACAATGCATTGTCGGCTTGAACTAGTAAAAAAAAACCATCCCCTCCACAAAACTCATATTCTTTTTTTAGCCCCACTTCTCTTTCTAATCTCTATGCATTTGGCTAGCTGAATGTTGCGTTTGCCTCTTTTTTTTAATACCCGGGATTATCTCCTTGCAGGAACAAGAGACGGTCCGTCCGGAGAGCATAGATAACACAAAGAGGAGAGCCGACTAGGCGAGGACGAAAATACGCCATCGTCTATTGAGAGAGAGAGAGAGAGTGTGTGTGTGTGGCAATGAGACGGAATGGGAAGGGCAGGGTATGGGCGGGTGACTGCCAATACATACATGCATGCACAGCGCCCTTCTTTTTCAACACGACGCCTCATTCATCGCCACACTCGTTGTCCTGTTTTCCACATGTATGAGCGCAACCTTTTTTTGTTCTTTTTCTTTCTCACACACACTTTTTACTAAAAACGCGTATAACCTCCACCGTTTCACGATTCAATTCAACACATGGTAGATATCCATTTCTTTAATCTATCAAAAAAACAAAAATAAACACCATCCTGAATCCTCTAATTCTTCCTCAGAGTCCTCTGCTTCTCAGCATGCTCAACAATCTTCTGCTCCACAAAAAGACCCTTCCGCTTCCTCACCACATCCATATACTTCTTTGCAACATTATCCCTGTCCGCCTTCTCTCCCAAATCCTCCAACTCCTCAACCGTATTAGGAACCCAGAACGGATCCATATCCAACACCTCGAAATGCGAGAAAATCAATTGCGGGGACGCGGCACCAGACGTCCGTTTGCGGATATCGTCCGAGAACCCAAACGATTCGACAACAGGGAGGAGGGCTTGGATGGAGAAGAACGGTGTGCCTTCTTTCATCTCTTCGTGGAGGATCTTGCCCTTTCTGCGCGCGATGACTGCGTACACCTTACCCAGCACCTCAGCTATCGTAGGGAAGAAAAGAGTGGGGAAGAAAGTCTAGTTAGTACTTCTACTTCAAACACAAAAGAGCAGCACCTCATTATCAAAATAACTTACCGGTAGTCTGGATGTCGCAGGAGTACATGGCGAGCATGAGACGGGGACTCCATTCAAGGAAGCCGAGTCGGCAGGCATCCCTCATACTCGTGATCACCTGTCCACTCGACACCGCCATCTTGGATCGTCCCTCACCTCCAACCTCCTGTGAAGAATCCAGAATCTCAATCTCCTGCAAGAAGAACGCCATTCCGAGCATGGGCTCCCCGCACAGAGGTCCTCCGTTGGTCGCAATCTGGAACCCGGTCTGAATCGACTCGGCCATATCCTGCACCGTGATTCCCCCATTGCTACCGCCCTCCTCCGCATCGGTAGTGTTAGAGTTGTTGCCGCGGTTACGAGAAAAGTCGAATCCGAGCTGATTGATCAACAGGTTAGGTCCGACACGACGAGGTCCAAACGCCAGGATATCCTTCTCACGACCCTTCCAGTCCTCGCCGGCCTGCGCAAACAACGGTGTCAGCCCATCCAACAGCTTCTTTTGTGCCTTGGCCTTCTCTCCAGTCTCGACTTCTCCCAACAAAACTGCTGCTCCAGAGTTGTTCTTGGCGTTAGCGTTGCCGCCGTTGTCTTCGACATAGGTCTGGATTTGCTCCGCATGGTCCAATAGGTACTTCTTGAGATCTTCAGGGATGGGGACTGTTCGGACGACGAATCTAACATGGCGGTTAGCGGTTGTCGCAACAATGGTTCCACGGGCTCCCGTATCGCTCTTGGCAATCAACTTCTCGCCCTGGTCCCTGGCCTGAGCTTCGTTGACAGCCATCGCGCTCGAGGTCACAATCTGTGCGGGTGCGTTCACAGCAGTCTCACGGAAGGGAACAATAGGCTCACTCATCGAGATCTCGATCCTGGCGAACCGCTCTCTCAAATCAGCCATGCACCGCTGAAGATGCACCTCTCCCGAGGTCAGAATAACGTGCTCTCCTGTCTCCTGAGTCAACACCTGGACCGAGGGATCTGCCTGGTTGAGCAACTGCAGACCTCTGACCAATTGCGCCATCTGTGAGGGATCCTCGGGCTCCAGGGCAACACGGACAATAGGCGTCGTCTCCAAACCTTTTCCGACCAAGTTCTGACCGCCTTCCCACTCGGCACTCCAAAGAGTTCCATACTTCAACACATGGCCCTCCAGTCCACCAATACCAAAAACGTTTCCTGCGGGCACCTGGTCCAGTCCAATCAGATCCCGTCCCATGATCATAAACAGACTGTCGACAGTGACCTCACTACAGTGCTGGGTCGGGTTGGCAGGATCGTACTTGGGTCCCAAAACCTTCAGCTTCTGTCCAACACGGACAGTTCCAGAATATATTCTCGAAAATCCAATCAGAACCTCTTTACCCTCAAGTTCCTCAGCCGCGGCCTTGTCCTCCGCCTCCTTCTGCAACCTGTTAGCAATCACCTCATCCACATCCAAATGCACTCCGACCTCACCCAACTCGGCCGATTTGGCTGCCGCTACCAGCTGATCCCGCTGCACACGTCCTCGCTGCCTCATCTCCTCGGCCGACAAAGTCTTGCGCTTGTTCTTGGGCAAGACATCCAGTGGCACACTGACCATCTTGCTGACATAGGCAACCACTCCCGAGGCAGGGTCGCAGTTGACCATACCCTTCTCCCAATCCTCGGTGGGCTCAGGGGGTGTAGTCTCGAAGGGGTGCAACATCTTGGGCATCCGGATCTTTTGTGCTGCTGCAGGGGAGGGGAGTTGTTCCACGACTGCCAAGAGGACACATGTCGAGAGAGGGAGCCACTGTGAAAAGATGGTTGTCAACACTGCTCGGGTATCCTTAGACCTCATGTCTCTCGGCAGCACCTTCAAGTTCAGCGACTTTACCACCTTCTCCGTCATTTCCTTGTCCCTATGATGTATCGGTGCAAGAAACGAGATCGTATTAATATCAACATGTTCATTCCTTAAATAAAGAGCCCCGACAGCAAAGAACTCCAAGAACTTACGGGTTGCAAACAACGACATCATAGACCTTCCAGACGTTATCCAGCACAAGATGAATCGCCAAGGGCTTCAATGCTCTGCCTTTCAGACCCTTATACCCGATCACCCGCTTCGTCTTGGGATCCAGATAAAAATCACCCCACAAACACTTGCGCAACACCCCTTCCTTCATCCCAAGCTTCTGCGCATATATCGCCGCAAACTGGTCCACTCTGAACGCCCAACCATCGATGGCAGAGGCAAAGATGACGTTGCCCTGGGATGGGTGGAAGTAGATGTGTGAATCGTCCTGGGTCTCAACGTGCCAGTCCGAGAACATGTCCTCTAATCCCGTCGTGCTTTCCTTTTCTTCCTTTCCTTCCTGATCTTTCTTCTTCTACTCGTCAAAAGGTTGTTACAAAACATGGTCATTAGCTTCTATACTTTCATACTCGTGTACGGCAAGGTTAACAGACTGAAAAAGGAAAAGCAAAAAAGTACCTCGGCCTTCTTCCTGTAGTCTTCTTCGAGGACGTTCTCAGAGAAAAAGGTTCCCATGACGGCATTGACTTGCTCAAGGATCTTGTTGAGATGGAGGTAGGCCTCCAAGGGTGTGAACTGCAATTCTGTAATCAGCCTATCGATCTTGTTGATTACCAGTACTGGACGTACCGACTCCCTCCATGCCTGTCTTAACACCGTATGCGTCTATTTTGTTATTTACAATGACAAAGGTGTTAGTAGGCAAGTTGAAAGATAGCGTGCATTACCGTGACCACTGATACCCTGACAAGGAACGGGTCCTTAAAAGACAAGGACAAAGAAGAAAAAGGTACCTGGGTGCAAACACCTTCGACGGCATCGACGAGGACGAGGGCTCCGTCACAGAGCCGGGAGGCCGTCGAAACCTCTCCCGAGAAATCCACATGTCCTGGCGAATCAATCAAGTTGATCAAGTACTCCTCCGCAACCGAGTCTGCAGGTGTCGACGTCCCACTGTTTGCCGCACTATCCTCTTCCTTTGCTGCTGCTGCTGTTGTAGCGGTGGTGGTATCGTTGCTCTGATCCGTGACATTTCCCGAAGTCACCGCAGCTGACGCGGCCGCCTTGTTAGCAGCCGCAGCAATAGAAGCAGCCGCGACACGACGCCGAATCTTGAAATACAACGAGATAGCACTGCTCTCCATCGTAATCCCCCTCTCCTGCTCGTCCGCCCTAGAGTCCAGAAAGCGGACTTTTCCTGCAAGCTTTGAGGAGATGATTCCGTTGGAGGCGAGGAGAGAGTCTGAGAGTGTGGTCTTGCCGTGGTCGACGTGGGCCAGGATACAGATATTCCGGACGTGGGCTTGGGTCGCCTGGAGGCGGATTAGTTCTGCCTCGGGGATGGATGGCATGTTTGTTTTTGGTTTGTTAGGTTGGTGATGTAGGTGGTTGTTGGGGGTGTCCTTTGTGTTTTTTGTGTCCTTTGTGCGTGTGTGTTGTAGTGTGTCCTGTGTTGAATGTGTGCTGATGAGTAATGCAAAAGAAGGAAGTACAAGAAGTTACCACCGCGTACGCTCTCTCTTATATGCGTGTCTCGTGTGCCCCTTCTGTGGGCATGAAAAAATAAGGTCTCCTCCTGACTGCGGCCGCAGAGTCACAAATTATTCACACGCATTAGAAGCAAAATTACCTGAAAAACAGTCACCGTAAACAAACATACTCAGAGAAAGGAAATGAAAGAAGGGACATACCTTTTTCTCTTCTTGTTGTTCTAAACTACAACAACTCCAGACCACGCAGCAAGGACACGGACGCGCCCGCTTATTAAAACAGAAATGACTTCGCGCGCATACGCCCTCAGGCTCACAAGGACTGGCAGCAGGACTCTAGGCGCTGCAGCAAGGAACAGCAATTGCCCTATCTATATCTTCACAGACAAGTCCTCTTCGACGATACCAACACGACGCGTATTACCTACTTCCCGGCACTACACATCCACCTCCACACCCTCCTCGCACCGATACCCAACCACTCCGCTTCTCACATCCACATCCTCAACACTACGACACCAACTGCATCTCCCCACCAGGACCCGGATACAACCCTCTGCATATTTCTGCACACACCCCGCACTCCGCCAACTCCAATCCTCCACCTCTGCCGACCAACAACATAACTCTGAGGAACACAGCAAGGAACTGAAGGCACTGGTCGGACTCCCTTGTCCGGGCTGCGGGTCCGCATTCCAGATCTCTCACCCGCAAGAACCGGGGTACCTTACTCGACTCCTCGACGGCCCCCTTTCTTCCTCTTCTGCCTCTTTAGAGAAGGGCAAGGGAAAGGGCAAGAAGGGGAAGAAGACGGCTCCAGCGGTGGCGGAGGATGCGACGACGATGAGTCATGAGCAGTACGAAGCCTACCTGGAGCGATTGGACCCCAAGCTCTTACAGGAGATGGGCATCCTTCCTCCACCTTCTCCTTCGGCTCCTGTTGCGGAAGGGGGAGAAGAAGGAGCTGTAGGTGCTATGGACGCTGGAGCAGGATCGGAATCGGGATCGGGATCGTCAGAAGCAACTACTACAGCAGCAGGAGAGGCGGAGCAGTCTGTGGAAGTGTTGGACCGGAAACCAAGTCGGGCATCTTCATCCCAACCAGCACGGATCGTCTGTCACCGCTGCCACTCCCTCTCCCACCACGCCTCACCATTGGCAAACTCCTCCATCCTCCCTTCGTCAATGTTTCCATCCCCACCAGCACCCGTCCCAAAACACCTCGAGACCCTAGCCCAGTCCAAGACTTCGACCGTTGTCCTCGTCGTCGACCTTATCGACTTCCCGCTCTCCCTTCCTCAACCCATCATCCAGGAGCTCCTCAAATCCAAGAAGCATAAAGGAACGGGAGCTGGAGCAGGAGGGGCAGTGAAGAAGGACTACCCAACAACGCCAATCATTCTAGTCGGCAACAAGTTCGATGTCATGCCATCTGGCACCCGAAAACAAACCATCATCCAAATCATCCAATCCTACCTCACCTCCCACGGACTGGACGATAACATCCGAGCGATTCATCTTGTCAGTGCCAAGAACCCAGAGGGAGACGAGATCCGGATGCTGTTGAAGAGCATTGGAACGGCGTGGACCAAATCCGGGAAGGGGAATGTGGTGATGGTAGGTGGGGAGAATGTGGGGAAATCGCAGTTAGTGAATGCGTTTCTGAAGGAGGGTGGGAGGTGGAGGGCGAGTGGGGTTCAGGTCGAGAGGGAGAAGTTTGGAGCGGAGAAGGCAGAGCGACAGAAGAAGTTGAGTCTCCTTCTTGGCACTTCTTCCGCCACCAGTGCCCCCGAGGAGGATACCGACAAGGATAACGAGGAGGACAAGGAATGGGCGGCGATGACAGGGAAGGACAGCGTCGGTGCGGACATGGACAAATACGAGACCCTCTACAAGGACCGCGGACAGGAGAAATTGGCAAAGTACCAGACCACAGTCTCAAACGTCCCAGGGACAACACTGGAGCGAATCAAGGTCCCTCTGAGTGTGTTGTCAAGATTCATGGGCGCCACGTATAAGGAGGTTCAGACGAAATGGTTGATGGATACACCAGGCATCCGACCTGCCGCGGGCCAGTTGACCAGTTGGTTGACCCTTGAGGAGTTGAAGGTTGCCTTGCCCAAGAAGGTCCTCAAGCCCGTTAGCTTTACCCTTGAAGAAGGTACCTTTTCGCTTTTGTCTGATATGGCTTATGTTCGTTTGCGCCAATGTGGCTACGATGTCAATTGCTAACAATTTGGTTCCACGTTGATGCAATAGGGAAATCGTTCTTCTTGGGAGGTCTAGTCAGGATCGATTGCCTCTCCATCGGGGAACCAACCCTCTCACCATCCACCACATCCCAGGACCCAACAACACCACCACCCCGTCGTCCAAGGGGCTCAAACCCAGCCCCCAAACTCACCATCTTTACAACCCTCCCCCTCCACAAGACATCCACCACAGGAGCCGACAAGTTCCTGGAAAAGATCAACTCTGGCCAACTCACCATCCTCCAACCACCCTTTGGAACCCCCGAACGTCTGGCCGCCTTTCCGGGATTGAAACCCGTCTCGTCCAAGGACATCGTTATCGTCAACCGGGCCCCCTCCCCTTCCTCTTTCTCCTCCTCGTCTTCCTCTGACAGTTCAGATCCCTTTGCGCGCCTCAGTGGTGACTCTTCTTCTCCCTCCTCCCGCATTGACCAGGAATCATCATCATTAACCCGCCGAGAACGCGAAACAGCCTCCTTGCAATACGCCGGTCAATACGGGATCTGCGACCTAGTCTTTTCCGGCATCGGCTGGGTCATGATCTCTGGAAAATTCCATGGTGACGACCAGGCCGTGCGGTTGAAGGTGTGGACTCCACAGGGTCAGGGGGCAATGGTCCGCGAACCGGCGTTGTTGCCTGATTTGGCGGGGCAGCAGATTGAGAAGACTTCAGGTGGAGTTCGTGGGAAGGGGCAGCAGGGGAGAAAGGTCTTTCAGGCTCTTCCTCACTCTCCTTCATCCTCGCCTGAGGAGTAGGTGATTTCGCAGATAGAAAGTAGAAACCCAGAGTGTATGCATTGTAGACGACGATTTTGGGTGTTTTATCTTTATTGTTGTTGTTAATATTTGTTGATGTACATGGACGAGTTGCTGAAGGGAGAGGGGAGGAGGGTTGGATGATAGCGATGGAAGAGTGCGGGGACGAGAGGATAAGATCGAATAGATAACGTCGAGAGAGGAAAGGGAGCAAAACGATCGATGCCCGTTTTTTTGCGGGGGATGTGCTATTATTGTCCTGGAGGAATGGATGTGGGGATGAGGGAGGGGGAGAAACCTTGATCGCCGTGATGATCCCTTGTGTTCAATTCACAGCTCTTTCTTGTTGCAAACCGCGGTGAATCATTTTGTTAATTGCCCGTACAGAAGGACGTTTTGTACGTTACTCCACACTTCTTTCCTTCATCCTTATTGCACTGCGGCCAGAAGGGAGTTCAGGGGTTGGTCACTGGGGCGGTCGAGTTGGCTGGTCCTGAGGAAGGAGGGAAAGAGTGAAGACTGACTCAAGCCCTTTTCTGTGGGTTGTTGTTTTTGAAGGGATTCAGAGCAGAGTGGCAGACAAACACTTCTCTTTCGAACCTTTTGGTTTTGAGGGGATTCAAAAGGTTGAAGTGATGGAAAGGATCAATTTGCATTGGAACTAACAGCCATGAGTAGATGTAGCGAACTTCGAGTACAAGAGTAGGATTCTTGTTTGGGTACATGAACTGATTCGCTTCCTGTCAACCATCTTCGCTCATCGTGCTACTCTCTGCCTCATTCATGCACATTCCCAACTCAAGAAAGTGGCACGAGCAGGTAACAACAAAGTCAACCCTTCAAAGACCATCAACCGATAACCAAGGCCTGGCTCCCACTTTTTTTCTCCGCGTTGCGGTGTTTTAGGCAGAAAGAGAAAGGTCGTACCCCCTTGTGTGTATAGATTCGAGGGTCGGAATGAAAGGCATTATTGGCTGGCTGGGTTCAGAAGATGTTGCGGACGAAGGAAGGTGGAGAGGAGAGGTGTTCATGGGAAAGCAGGTAGGCCGCTCTCCCTCTTTGACAATAGGACGTCAGTGATCGGGAGAGTAAAGTAACTATTAACAGAGGTTCTTCGCTATGTCGAGTGTGTATGCGTGTGTGTGTGTGTGTGTGTATATAGCGTAAAGCGTCAAAGAGAAGGTGAGAGAGAGAGAAAAGGAGAGGAAAGCGTGCACTTTACCATAGGAAGTATGTGTGTGCAAAAAGAAAGAAGAGGGAGACACGTTAAAGTGATCAAATCATAGAAGTGATGAATCAAAAAAATCGCCTATTGGTGTGTCTGATCAGTGTGCATTGGGAATCGTGAACAATAGAGCTCCGATTTCACCCTTCCTCTTCCTCTTGGTCATAGTAAGTAGGTGCACTCACTCACATGAATGTGTGCAGGAGAGAGGGAGGGGCATGACATCAGAATACGACATTACTTTTCAACTACAAGGGATGAAAGTGGACCACGGGGAACCAGGACCGATGGCTTTGTGTTTGTTCCGCGATGCTAGCGCTAGTGCCACTATGGTAGCCGATCATCAACCGAGATGAGTGTGTGTGTGCCAGAGTAACTTTAAAGGAAGTGAGAGAGAGTGAAATGAAGGTTCTCCCTCTCCCTCTCTGTCATTACTTCCCGAGTTCTTCCTTCCTCTTCTTCTTTCAATTGATGTCACTCTTTCGCGCACCACTCATTTCCTCCCCGCGTGTCAAAGACGCGAACAAAACACCAACGGATCGAATTCAGCCTATCCTGACAGACGAATCGACTGACCTCGTGAAGTAATAAAAGGAACTTCCTCCTCTTTTTCTTCTTCTCTTCTTCTCTCTTCTTTCTTACATTGCTGTTTCTCTCTCTCTCTCTCTCTCCCATTCAACCAACCCTCACCTAACTCGACTCATTCCTCTCTCCCTCACAACCCAAGAAAACTAATTCAACAATGCCATTCGACTCAAAGGTTCCCGGTGTCACCATCCTCGGAAAGGTCACCCCCCAGCAGGCCCAGGAGATCCTGACCCCCGAAGCCCTTCTCTTCGTCGCCACCCTCCACCGCACCTTCAATGCCACCCGCAAGACTCTCCTCCAGAAGCGTGTTCTCCGTCAACAACAAATCGATCAAGGCCATCTTCCCGATTTCCTTCCCGAGACCAAGGCTATTAGGGATGATATCTCGTGGAGGGGTGCTATCCCTGCGCCTGGGTTGGCCGATCGCAGGGTTGAGATTACGGGACCTGTGGATCGCAAGATGGTCATCAATGCTTTGAACTCTGGCGCTGCTACCTTTATGGCCGATTTTGAAGGTTAGTTCTTTTTTTGGTAGTTGTTTTTCTTGTTTCGAAAGGAGGGATACACGAGGATATGAGGAAGAGAGAGAGAAACACGGGAATAGGTCGAAAGAGAGGGACACGACACAACACGAGGAAGTAGTTGTGTTTGTTGATAGTGTTTTTTTTGGCATTGGATGTGATACATCGTTTCATCCTCTGCGACCTTTTGTCTTTGTTCAACAGCAAAGAAAAGAAGGGGTGTGTAAGGGTGTGGGAAAAAAGAAAGATGATTAAGGGACGCACACACGCAAACACTATGAACAAGGACCAGGCGTAGCAAACAATGCAGGAAGTAAGACACGATAGGACGAGCAGGACGAGAAGCGGAGCAGTCGTGTAGGTTGATGGAACACTAATTGGAAAGAAGAAACTGGACCCCAGGTTTTTCCTTTTTCAAAGGAGGGAAGGGAGGGCAGTGGGGAATAACGGAGGGGAGTGTGTGAATAATAGAAGAAGCTATTCCTGAAGGAAGGAAGGAAAGGAGGAAAGAAGGTTAAGAATGACAAGGGGCGTGGATGATGGGATGGATCAGCGAATCAGGAACGAGTCCACCCACTCCTTTCGAAAAGGAGTCAACGGGACCGATCTCCAAAAAATACATTTTCTGTATTTTCTGTATTTTCTGTGTATCCGTGGGTCATTCTCATTCTCACATCCGGTTCGAAAGACAACAACAACGCCCACTCCCCCCGGCACCATGACTATAAGAGGGGGATGGGCTAGGAGAAGAGGGTGTAATCGGGTTCTTCTGTCTCCCTCCTTGACTCCTTGACTGAAGTGACTCCTCTGTCCACGGGCTGACAAAGAGAGAACCGACTGTATTCGAATGGCACGTGAAAGAAATCTTTAATTTTTTTTCTCCTTTATGCACCCCGCATCGTTTCTTTTTGACTTTGACCCCCCGTCGGAACACACGGTGCAATGACACTAGTCCTAGTGTTGCATACTTCAAATGAAACTAACAACGCCAGTCTTTCTCACGCCCCGTCTCTTACTACTCTTGCAACGAATGTAGACTCGAACAGTCCCACCTTCGACAACAACCTGTCCGGTCTCGTCAACATGAAGGACGCCATCCACCAGCGCATCTCCTACACCGCCCCCAACGGAAAGCAATACAACATCCGCAAAGACGGCAAAATCGCCACCCTCATTGTCCGGTATGCCCTCCCTATTTTCTTTCATTGTCTGCAATTAGTACATGCTCTTCCTATGTATCACCTCTAAAGACTTTACTAACATTCCATTCCCCCCCCTCCATCCCAAAATAGCCCCCGTGGATGGCACTTGGATGAGAAGCACGTCCTGATCGACGGTGAGGTCACCTCCGGCTCCCTCTTCGATTTCGCCCTCTACTTCTTCCACAACGCCAAGAAATCCGTCGAGATCGGCATCGGCCCATACTTCTACCTCCCCAAGATGGAGTCCCACCTCGAGGCCCGTCTCTGGAACGATGTCTTCAACTTGGCCCAGGACTACATCGGTATGCCCCGTGGAACCATCCGTGGTACTTGTCTCATCGAGACCATCATGGCTGCCTTCGAGATGGAAGAGTTCATCTATGAGTTGCGCGAGCATTCTGCAGGACTTAACTGTGGACGATGGGATTACATCTTCTCGGTCATCAAGAAGTTGCGTCAGAACCCCAAGTTCGTCTTGCCTGACCGTTCAGATGTCTCGATGACCACGCCGTTCATGGATGCCTATGTCCGTCTGTTGATCAAGACCTGCCACAAGCGTGGAGTCCACGCCATGGGAGGAATGGCGGCTCAGATCCCCATCAAGAACAACGAGGCCGCCAACAAGGCGGCCATGGACAAGGTCCGGAACGACAAGTTGCGTGAGGTCAAGGCAGGACATGATGGTACCTGGGTCGCTCACCCCGACCTCGTCAAGCTCGCCCTCATCGTCTTCAACGAGCACATGCCTCAGCCCAACCAGCTCCACGTCCGTCGTGAAGAGGTCCAAGTCACCGCTGCAGATCTCCTCAACACCACCGTCAAGGGCGGCAAGATCACCGAAACCGGTATCCGCGCCAACGTCTCTGTCGCACTCATGTACATGGAGGCTTGGCTCCGTGGCGCCGGATGTGTCCCCATCCACAACCTCATGGAGGATGCCGCCACTGCCGAGATTTCCCGCTCCCAGTTGTGGCAGTGGGCCAAGCACCATGCCAAGACTGACAATGGCGTTACTGTTACGGCAGAGTACTTGTTGAAGGTGCTCGATGAGGAGACGGACAAGTTGGCCAAGGAGATGGGAGACCAGAGGTTCAAGGCTTCCAAGATGACCTTGGCCAAGGAGAGGCTTTCGACCCAGATTACTGGAAAGGACTATGCCGATTTCTTGACGTCCTTGTTGTATGAGGACATTCTTGTCTATGACGACGTCAAGGCCAAGATCTAAGGCGGAGTAGGATCTTGACCGAGTCATGGAGAAGGTGAAGACGGGAAGGAGAGGGGGTGGGATATGTTGTTTTTTTTCCCCTTTTTCTTTTGCATTTTGTACAAACAACCAACAAACTCTAAACAAAGAACAAAAAATAAATACCAATCGAATTTTCATTTCTCTAATGTCTGTTTGTGGTTTTTTGTTGTGCTGTAGTTGTCGGGGGACACGGCGATTATAGTAGTCAGTTGTTGGTCGCTTGACGTACTACTCTTTCCATCTCGACTTTCATCATCACCATCGTCATCATAGTCACCGTCCTCATCATCATAGTCACCCTCGAGATCGTCCTCGTCTCGGTCGTCATCTTCAAAACTGATAGACCGCACAGCCTTCACAATCCCCTTCTCGTCATCTTCATCATCCTTCTCGTCATCCAATGAAACCGTCGATCCCGAAGGCGCCTTCAACCCCCTGGCACTACCACCACCACCATTACTAGCTCCTTTCTTATCTCCTGGACCAATGGCCAAACGCCCAAACACCTTCCTCCACGCCCAAGACGGCAGTTTCCTCAACACCTTCCCTCCTACTCCACCACCACCTCCACCTCTCAGCGTCTCAAGTGCCCTGGAAAGAAGCCAGGCCCGTTGGGTCGTTGGAAGAAGGGCAGACTTGTAGGCCTTGAATGCGGGGGTGAGATGTTTCAGTTGTGTGGTTGTCAAGTTGGATATGTGATGGGAGAGGGTGTGTGCATCGAGAAAGGCGAAGTGTGCTCCTTGGTTTCCTGCTAGGTTTAGCTATTTTGGGTTCAAAGGGAGAGTGAGTGAATGATATTGATTTAGATTAGATTAGATGTAAACGGCTGTGCGTTTTTTTTTGTTTTTGTTTTTGTTTGTTCCTGAGGTTGTTGAATGATGATCATCATAGCTTATTTTGATCAGTTATAGGATAACTCACCTTGTGGCATGCTTCATTCAAAAAAAAAAAAAAGATAAAGCCAAATGGAACCAGGAGTGGAAAGAGAAAAAAAGGAAGAGTCTTTAGTAAGGAAAAGGTTGCATGGCACACTCGCACACACACACACACACGAGCATCACAAACACCAAAAAAAATAATTGGCATACACGGTATGTATAGCCTCGACTTACCATCGCCAATAAGGATCGTCCGACAATAATACCATGTCTCAAACATTCGCCCCTCAACCACCACCTTGGCGATTTTGTCCCGGGGTGTCTTGTCGATCAAGTCTCCCATCGTCACCTTTGTCTTGTTGCTGTCGCCGTGACTGTTGCTGATGCCGATGTTGGCTTTGAGAGGGCAAGGGATTAGGAAGTCGCGGACTTGGGTAGTAATAGTCTCGATCGCCACGCCGTCACTGCTCCAGTCAAGGTTTGAAATAAAGGAGCCGGAGGAAGGTGTGGTTTGGGCATTGGTGCAGGGAGAGGGGGAAGAGGGGGAGTGTTGGGTGATGGACCAGGCTATCGATCCACCCTTGCACGTCATCGTGTTCCACTAGTTACCCAGAGAAAGAAAGAAAAAGGTACCAGGAGTAGGGTCAAGTAAGTGGTGAGAATGAGAAAAAACCCCCCACCCAAAGATGGGATTGGATGGATACTTTAGCAAAACGGGCATATTCTGGCGGTTGTGACACTTACAGAGTAGGGCTTGTCGTTTGCCCGAATTATGTTGATATTACATTCTTCCTCCCCATCCTCCTTCACACCTTCAGATGTCCCAGACAATACCACCCGCTGGTCTAACGGCTCAGTCTGCCCAACCAAACACACACTCCTCTTCCCACCACCTCCATCTACCATCATCCCACTCTCTCGTCCCTCCCTAACAGCCCCACGATCCTTCCTCGCCAGCTTGTTTCGCTTCCTCAAACTTTCATACAAACCCTGTCGCACCGCACTGGCAGGTCCATCTGCGCCTACCAGGATATCTCCGTCAAAGGTCTTGCTGTCGGAGAAGCGAACTTGGACACCATTCTCGCCCTGCGTGAACCAGAGGAGGCGTTTTGAGGTGTGGATCCGTGAGGATGGGATTTGGGAGAGGAGGATGGCGTGGAGTTTTTCATGCGGAATGACCCTTCCCTCACAGGTCGTGCTACAATGTAAAGTGATGGTATTTGTTAAAGTTTTGGACCAATTCAAAAGAGCAAAAGAAAACACCAGGGGGGGGGAGGAGGAGTAAAGAGCAGCTTAGAAACGTAAAGAGGGACTTACAGTTCGTTGTAGAGTTGGAAATCGAGTTTGGATTCAGGTTGGATGTCTTGGTTGAAGAAGTTGATGGTTGTGCAGAGATTTGAGTGGTGGAGGTATTGGTCGAAGATGCCGAGGTCTTCGAGAATTGGGTGTACTTGTGGGGCTAGGAATAGTGCTGAGCCTGTTTTTCATTGGGTTGTTTTTCGTCGTGGTGATCGGTTGGTGGTGTTGGTTGTGTGAGGGGTTGTTTGAAGGAGGTGCGAGAAGGAGGGGATGAAGAGGTGAAAGAGGAAGGATGAGATCGAGGGATGGAGTAGATGGGGAGAGAAAAGTGTAAAAGAAAATAGAAATGGGTCAGCTGTCTAGTGTCCTACTGCACACGACCTGCGTTGAGATCCGTTGTGGTCCCATGACCAAATATCCGAACACCATCGTCTGGTACCTGCTTTCTACCAAATCAGCGAAACGATCAGTATGTTTATACACTTACCGACGGCACGGGCCTCGGGTAACTTCTCGAAGATGTCAAATGGGATGCCAGCCTTCTGGAGCATGATCCCTAACGTCAGGCCTATTTATGTGTTGTGTCATGTACATTGAAAGGAAAGTGGGAAGCGAGGTAAAGAGGAGCATGAGCATAGCGAGACGCATATGTGCATGAACGATGGTAACACAAGGGCGGAGAAGTAAATAAGAGGGGGATGATGTGCGATTAGATAAGTGGTACTCTTCTTTATTGTTGTTTTGTTGTCTGCCCGTTTGTGTGTGCTGCATGGTGGGTAAGGGTAAAGTGGGGTGGACGTGAGTGGACATGAGAGGAAGAGCTGAAGAGTGAGAGAGAGAGTAGGGGGTGGTTGGGGAGTATTACCGGCGAGACCAGCTCCAATGATGAGGACGTGAGGTTTGCGACCGGAGGTGTCGAGGACTGTTGGGTCGGGTCCGTATATCTCGAATGACATCCTGTTGTTATTGTTGCTGTGCGTGGGCGTGGGTGAGCGAATTGTGTGTGTGTATGGGTGCCAGGATTGTGAAAAAAAAAGTATGAGCAGAGGGAAGGGAAAAAAGGAGTACGGGAGGTGCAGGCAGTGTGATAAAGAGAAAAGGGAAAGGGAAAAAGGGGTTAACGAAGAGGGAGGATTCGCTCCTTTATATGTTCCTTTGTACGTCTGGGTAAATGTGCGGGGATGGTAAGAAAACAATGGCGATTCGGCTCCTGCAGGGTTGTGCTGCACCATGAAAAATAAAAAAAGAGTTGCAAGCTAAGGCAGAATTGATGTCCATGATTGTATGTTTATCGGAGCACCAACTCAGTTATGAAGAGGACAAACCTGTAATGGCACAGGCTGAGAGAGTCTGCCTTATTTAATTTTACCTTCACATTCTGTTTTTCTTTTCTTTCTGGGCGGTGTTTAGTTTTTTTGGTGGAAAGGAGGGGAAGGGCCGCTAGTCTGCTCTCATCCCGGAAAATAACTGAAAAAGAAATGGGTCTGGATGGCCTGTAATACGGGTCTTTTTCCCTCCATGGTGTGGTGTTGCATGTATACATGAACATACATACTTCCACATATATCTCTCCCGCCGCCCGTATATCCCTTCTAGATGGCATGAAACCATGCAAAAGAAAAGATAAAGGAACTTTCCAGTAGTGTATCTGATCAAGGGTACGTATCCCAATGCGACATACTTCCTCCTTTTTTCTCTCTTCTCGCTATCTCTCGCCTTTTCTCTCATAAGAAGTACATACTCCCGCAACTGCGCTGCACCCACTACTAGAAGTCTGTTGCCTTCAACCATGTCCATGCATGTGCGTATATTATTGGACAATAATGTGCTTGTAGAATGTTTCCGAAGGTACAGCTCTTTTCTCTTTTCCCTTCAATCATTGACTCTATCTCTTCCCCCCGAGAGAGGGTTAAAAGTCCAAAGTGCGTGAGAAGTAGAGAACGCACACTTCTGGGATTGAATTTTTTTTTTGGATGGAGTTCTGGGGTGATGATCATTAAACCTTATCTGTCTCTCCCTATATCACTCTTCAACAAAGAGGGGAACTAGCATTTTTTTTTTCTATTTCGTTACCCTATGCTACCCTCGACATCATGTTCACTCCTCCCTTTCCATTTTATCAATGTCAACTTTGTCCCATCCCTCATCGACATTTCTTACGAACACGAAACGTTTGGCATGTCGAAAGCCCTTTCTCTCTTTTTTATGTTTTTGATGTGGGGTTTTTGGCGCATTCCACCTTATTTTTCCTTCGTTTTTCAAAGAACCTCTTTCTTTATAGAAAAACACCTGTTGAGTCAAGAATCGCATACAAGGTATTGGCCAGGTCTTCTCGAAAAAGAAACAACAGCTACCCCTTCTCATACAGGGCTATCCAAAACCCGGAGCGGATCAACAATCTTGGAAATGTGCATTTACAATTCATACCTGTTTGTTGACATGCCTGGCTTTATTGGTGGGAGGAAGGGGGTGGGGGGCTCTGAGTTTCTTTGAGGAAGTGCAAGTCGATTCCAGAGCCTAGTGAGAAATGCTCTTGATTGACGTTAAAGCGACACCCTCTTCTGTGGCCTGGGTATCTCGTTTTTGGACGGTGGGTAAAGGGAGAGAGAGTGTGTGTGAGGCAGGGATTTTGTACGCTGCGGGGTGTATGAAGAATTGGGTGTTGTTTTTTGTGTTTGTGAGCATTGCGGCGTTGTTTCTGTTAGTCAGAAGGTCTGAGAGATGGAGAAGGGGGAAGGAGAGGATGTTTTGCTGGGTCCTTTTTTTTTAGAGGTTAAACGAGGGACTTTTTAAGTGGATTATGCGAGATCTACCTTCTCAGATGATGCATAACATTGCACCAAAAGCAATAGCGATGATCAAAAGAAACTCTATTTTGGGAAACGAGTGACGGAGTTCGTGAAAATGTTTGAGAGAGAAAACAAGTGTGACTAACGTGGCCAATGTGAGATCTCGGATCTCAACCTCACTGTGTTCGTCTTTTTCGTCTTAAATGTTTGCCCTTGACCCATCACCTCCCCCTTAATCTTTTCATCACCTTTCGCAATAGAAAACATAATCATGCATTGCAGACCAGCGTATCAGCGCATAATGGACAGACAGAAACGTCTAAGAAGAAAATTGCGAAAGTAAAAAAATCGAGGGTGAAATTTTTCTGCGGACATGACCAGGCAAATGAGAAATAGTTTGTAAAGAGGAAGGCGGAGTGGCAATAAATGGGTGGATAGACGGACGGATGTAGGGAGGAATGCGCTGGAAAGAATGAGAGGGAAGAGAGGATAGAGACGCATAGAGGAAATTCTTTTTTATATAAGAGAAGAGAGCATATCAAGGACAAGTAGGCGAAGCAATGGGATTGAAGTGGGAGCAAATCATATGAGAAAAGTGAAGAAAAGCAGGGTTGATAATTGAAAAGAATATTCTCGTCGGATAAACAAAAGATTCTTGGTGACTGATGTGATCCATCAGCAGGTCAGGTTCATCACTGTGGCTCTCCATCTCATCGCACTCACCCATAGGTTAAAACACACACCACTTTAACTTGAAAGCATCATTTATGTTTAGGAGCGACGCGAACTAAAATTACAAAGACCAGGACAAGAAAGCGAGCCTAATCCAAGTGAAGGACAAGGGGTAGGTTTGGGTTTCGGTGGTGATCAGTCTCAATGCTTACACCCGCCGCTGCTTTTACATTTTCTCGTTGCTATCTATGTCAGGTGTGTGTATACAAAGACTGCGCCATCTATCATTACCCCCCTCAAACACTTTTGTCTTTTATGCACAACTGGTGAAGCTAGGCGAGAGCGCCGGAAGGCCAGCGAGACGGCACGTACGCAATACCAAAAAAAGTATTGCAATTTGCATAGCTCCCGTTGTGTTTTCATAAACCAAAAAGAGAGAGCGTGTAATGAATGCCATGCACCCCCATGTTTTGAAAGAGGAATCGATCTAACAAAACTCGGTGCATGTGTTTGCTTTGGGACGATGAGGGGAATTGTAAAGAGGAGCAAAAGTGGAGGCGAAACGGAAGAACTGTACCGGGAGGTTCACGCAAGCTCATTGCTTTTCTTCGTCCCTCTTCGGTATAGGTGAGGATGTACGATTGGTCAATTGCTCTCATGTTGTCTTTGAACGATTCTCGAGCGTTCAGATCCTTTCATGCAAATTCGGTTTTATGCCACGTGCGATTGACAGGGAGGATGGTGCGTGTGACGGGTTATATTTTGCAATATACAGGCTCTGTATGCATGGAGCATGGAGTACTTTGCTGTTTAGCCTTGTTGTCTGTTGTCGTGCGTAATTTTTATCTTGATAAGAAGGTATGTATCTTTTTTTTCGTTCCCTTGGTCCGGCCTCTCGGGTCGCGGTGTACGTTCAGCAGACATGTCTTGGTGTCAGCGTGCCTACTCATAACCCATATAAAGTCCAGTTAGGGTTCTTTCTAGACAACGTGAGCGCGTTCCTTATTTACGTATTAAATAAAGACAAATACTTCTTTCATTCTGTTTTTCGTCAGCTTCACAGCCCATTCTGATCTTTACCCAGCTCCTTCTTCTCAAAGTCTGACTCGGGGAGCTGGAGGCCGCTTCCGCAGGGCGATTTCGTTCATCAAACCTGACAACTACGGGTTTTAGCGACACTAACTGAGAGGTGACACCGACAATGTACAAATTCGCTCTAGTCAAGGACGACTCTGAACTTGTTTTCATGGCAGACTCAGAGATCTCCACCAGGGTCAAGTTCAAGTATTACACATATCCTTTGGGACGCAACTGTGGCGAATGGGTGTGACGAAAGTAGAAGATGGATTCATGGGCAGCCGAAATATCATGAGACTGTCGTCAAACAGAACGGTCCTACTTAAGGCATCGTCTCCTTCCCTTCCCTTCTCCGCCTCCTTCCCCCTCTTTTTTTTGCTCATCTTTATCTCCCCCCTTTTGCTTACCTGAACAGAGAACCCGACGCTATTTATTTATCTTCACCAACGCATAATGAATGAGCGCCAACAAAGAGATTTATGAATAGCGGATGAGTAATCATAACAAGAAAAAAGAGAAAGCATGAATGGCGAGTGGGTAAACACAGAAAGGAATGATAAAAAATATTGACTTCATTATTCTCTCTAGCTAATTATTGAAACTGCAGCGGTGGCAACGAGTCTCCATGCATCCCTCGCAATGCATGCTGTAAGAGGGCATACCCCAGCCGCACACACCACACGCCTGTCCATGGGCGGCCCTACGTTCCCAGTGGTGATCGTGCTGGTAATAGTTCCGGAGTACATTCTGTAGGCGATGTCGAGCATTTCCAGGATCGCCATTTCCAACGCGCTCATTCAAAATCGCATTCAGCTCCTCCACCGGGTAGAGTTCACACACGCATGTTCTCCACGGTTTCTGACATGTGTAGCAGAATTCGTGTCCGCACATGCACGTCATATGAACACACCCCGAAACACGATCCACCACTGCCCCGCACCGACCACACACCTTCCAGCCTTTTTCGGAGATAACTCTCGATGCTGCCGCGTCAAGCTCTGCTGTCGGTGGACACGGGTGCTCGATCTCGTGCTTGATGGACTGGTACTTGGTGACATCTTCATCATCCATCAAGCATGCCTCTACTAACGCACTCGCGAAAGGTAATCTACAGCAGCGTACAGGGATGAATGCCCTGTTTGTTAACGCATGACCGTAAAGCGCTCGTGCACACTCCTCGCAATATCCGTGCCCACACGGTGCGTTGTAAACCCGTTTACTGTCGGTGCATGCACAACAGTCCGCGGTCGTGTTGAAGTGCTGACGGACCAACGGGAAACGCGCAGTTGAGGCACTCAGTAGTCTCTCTGCATTGGGATCCCCTCGTTCAACCCGCAATGCCAGCTTTCGGTCGCTGCAGGTTATGTCGTCTTGTAGCTCCAACTCCTCCAGCAGAATGTCGGGCAGCGTTTCGCATG